TCTATCTAATTGGAAATTGATATATCAAAAATCTTAATCCATAAAACATAATTTGTCAAATTTGGATTCACGTTCGGACTATTAATAAAAATTTTAATTCATACCAAAATAATTAGATTCAAATTTTAATTAAAATCAGATTCATCTACAAGTCTAGCTGCAAAACATCCCCTAAAGGCGCCAAAAAAGGTTCAAATTTAGAATTTGTGGACGTATACATATTATTGGTATTTAAAAAATAACTCATAAATATTAATGCGGTATTGCATGACTTATTCTAAAATTAAATGATTTGAATTGATTTTGCTAAGATTTTCTTCAATTAAATGTTGATTTATGAGAAATTATAGTTGGTGAATTTATTTAAAAGAAGAAAGAGTAGAAGCCATGGTTTCTGATTCATAGTTCACATGAGCATAATACAAAGACTTGTTAATTTAATCAAATGATTCGTCTACACAACCCTACGCTCTTGAACTCTGCCCCTCAGTTCGCACTTTGAAAACGAAATTCGTCATAAATTCAGGAATCCATTTCCATAAGTTCTCGAATCCCAATGAACAGCAAGAAAAAAATTATTCCACCAAAACTGTTGTACTTCATTTATCCTCCCCACCCATATTTTACCTCAGTTGGAGAAATTTCCTACTTGAAACGCACAGAAGAGCCCCAATGCCTTCACCACACCTCAGAACGGAGGCACGTGGCCCACTGCCTTTTTATAGGCAACTCTAGCTTTGCTTGCTACCTAATTTCTCGATGTGGGATAGAATGAAAAGGCATTGAAATGCCTCACTCAGTGTTGTCTCTTTACTTCTTTTTTTTTGTCAACTGATTTCTTTATTTTTATTTTTTTTGAAATGATTTCCTTACTTTGTTTTCTTTACTCATTTATCATATATTTGTATATTGAAATTAATTTTTTAAAACTTATTTTTGATATTTTTTGTATTATGTACATATATATAATGATGCTCTCAAATTTTTTTAAATTTATCCGCTTTTGCGCTCTCACTCAGCTCCTGCTCCTGCACACACTTCCACTCTATGTGATATAGGTTGTAAATACTATCCTTGTAGGAATTAAAATTGATTATTCCAAATGAATCTAATTTTTTTTAATCTTTTTAAATATACTTAACAAATCATTCACCATAATAATTTAGAGGCTCATATGCATAGTCTTACTTGAATTCACAATAACGCCTCTGTCAAATCGATAAATTTTCTCATTTTAAAGGGAATTTTTAAGGTACCATTAACGATATAGGTGTCAAAAGTTATAATTTTGGTTTAATTGTGACTGTGGTCCCCAAAGTTTTTATTTTGTCTCATTTTGGTCCCCAACCTTCTAATTGTATCAAGTTGGTCTCCAAAGTATTACATATGCACTTACTTAGTCTCCGCCGGTGACGCCGTCCAAAATTCCGTCTGTTCAGAGTCATGTGCCATCCGCATGACCTAGGTGAAGGCCTTATATGACATTTACCCTCCTCCTCCTCCCATTACTGGAGGGAATCATTCCCGCCATCAGTTATGGGTTATATCCCTATGACCTATTGTCTGTTACAGAGCATAGGATAAGAGAGGGAGAAAATGAGGGGAAGGGAAGGAAGGCATCGGTAACGGCCGGAATGATAGCGACACCATGCCACTGTAGAAAAATAGGCAAAATGAGGACCTCATGGACCGATACCAACTCGGGAAGAAGGTTCATTGTATGTGAAAGATATAGGGTAAAAAAGATGTTCTGAATTTTGTTACTGAGTTTTCCATTATGAATGCATTTAACAAAATGTTGCATTTGTAGGAGGCTGGATGGTGTGGATTTTTTGCTTAGTATGATCCGCCAATGTGCGCTAGAGCGAAACAAGTGATATCCAGATTGTTGCGATCAAAGCAAAGACAGGAGAACCAACAACGAAAGGCAAAAGCTAGGGAAAAATTATTATGAGTTGCTCTGTTCTGTTCTTGGACATTTTTTATTTTCACTTGAGTGTGGCATTTCCTGTAAGTAGGAGTGCCATGTTTGTCTGTGGAGATGCTATGTTTTTGTGTAGGAGGGCGCCCTGTTTTTGTTGTGTAGGAGGTGCTCTACTGTTTTGTTGTGAAAGTGTCATTTTATGTAAATGTAATTATTATGTTTGATGTAATTGGAAGTGTAACAACCTGTTTGAATCAAAACTTATAAGTGCTAGGTATTTTCCGATAGTCGTGAACTTATTAGTTTGAATGTGTCCAACTAATATAAAATGTTAGGTATTTTCCAATCCATTGCTCCCATGTCATTCTCGATTAATCGTGACTACTACCAATGCAGAAAAGCCACACCACTGTTAGGGCATACCTATAAATTCCTGTAAATAATGTTGACTACACAAACAATCTGTTAGCATCAAACAAAGATGTACATAATACTGATTTTCATTAAGATAACAACCTGTTAGTTGTGACAAAAAGATGTCCATAATTACAAGTTGGTCTCTCAGTACAAACCCAAAATGAGAGCAACAAAGAGTACATTTACTTCACAAACCCAAAAGAGAGCAACACATTTACATTGCATATAAGCTTGGCTCCCAAAAAAAATGAGAGAGAAACTGCAGATCAATTATGGGTGCTTGTTGATTTGCTCCTCCTAAATGGTATTTTATCCCTTTGCGTACGAACCAATGTTTGAACCTTGAAGTTATGGGTGCTTGTTGATGGTGAACCAATGGTTGAACCTTGAAGCTATATAGAGAAAAAGGTAAGATATGAGCTAAAAAGTTCAATGAAATTGTTTACTACTTTAATAGATTGCCTGAAATTACTTAGCAGCAATTACCTGATCAAGCAAGACCTTTCTTTCATAGCAGCTTGGCTCACATCAGATTGGCTCACAGCAGCTTGGCTGCCTCCGCCGTGGCTCACATCAGATTAGCTCACAGCAGCTTGACTCACTCCAACTTGGATAACAGCAGCTTGGCTCCCTCCACCTTGGCTCACAGCAGATTGGCTCACTTCAGCTTGGTTTCCTTCTGGCAGTGTAATAGTACAAGTCCTCCTATTATGCCCATTTTTACCACATCTCCTACAATTAACTGATACATTTCCATATTTCCTCAACTTATGTGGTTGTTTTTTGTTAATCAACTCATCTGGTTTCTTCCTCCGTAATTTTTTTGGCCTACCAGGTTGTCTCCTGATCAATGGAGGCATGGTGGGGTCAATCCACTTTTAGGCCACATCTTATGTCCATTAACGGGGTTTATAATTGGTTCATAAGCCTGCATGAATGCCCCTTTCTTGTACTGCCCAGTAACATAATCTTCTGGTTGTTGTCTCCTATTTTGAATGCAAGCAATGACATGTGGGCATGCGCTGTCAAATCCCATTTTCTACATGAGCAAAACTGCTCCTTCAAATCAACTGTGTATTAGTCTCCATTCATATACCTTACCTCAAACTTTAACTCACCATGCCACTCAACAATACAATCAAAGCTACCACCTTTCCATTTCTCTAATCTCTTTTGAATCTTAGGGCATATATCACCATTATAATTCCTAACTCATTCTCTCCTCTTCAACATTTTTGAGTTAAGTAGCATCTAATTCATTCTAGCATTTCTATGATGGATTTATCCCTTGCCTCTGTAATTGCCCCATTAAAGCTTTCACATAGATTGTTTAACAAAATATCACACTTAGGTTATTCTCTGAAGTGTGACCTACTTCAATACCTTGGTGGCTCATTAGCCAAACAATCAAATGCCTTCTCATCTTCTTCTTTCACCATTTGCATCTCATAGTCAAATTCTGAAATATAAGTTGCCTTAGCATATTTCCAGAATTTCTTCCTAATACTCAATCCCTTAAAGTGTTTAATGAAATTGTTTAGCATGTGCCCTAGCACAAATGCCTATGCTCAAATGCTGGTACTCTCTCAGTCAATGTTGGCAGCAAACCTTGCATAGAATATACAATAATTATACTTGCAGCAAACATGTTAATAGAAACTGATAAAGAAATAAACATGCAAACATACCTTCCGCCTGTCGGTGATGAAGGTCCACTACTCATGGTTGTGATCAATTATGCCTAAGTTAATGCATAGTACTATTAAGAACCATACCCATGATTCCTTCATCTCAACCTCAACAATACAGTAAGTAATGGGAAACATAGAATCATTGGCATCAATCCCAACAGCAGTCAACAATTGTCCACTATATGTCCCTTTCAGGTGGCAACCATCTAATCCAATCACTTTCCTACACCCTTGAAGAAATCCCCTCTTACATGCTGCATGACATACATAAAACATCTGAAATATAAGTTCACCATTTTCCTCATCACCAAGTGCATCCAAGATAATTGTGGAACCAGGGTTAGTCCTCCTTAGTTCCTCACAGTAATCCCACAATTTGCCATATTGTTCAATTTTATCACCATGTATCAATAACATTGCCCTTTTCTTTGCTCTATACATTTGATTCCTTGATACATCAATATGAAAATCTCTCCTAACCTTCTTTTTAAAAGCCTTTATAGGCCAACAAGGGTTGGCCCTTAGTTCATCCATATACTTCAATGCTATCTTCTTTGAGGTGACATTCTGTTATTAGAAGTTTTTTCACATGTATGTTTACCAACGTATGTCTTTATTTGATATGTTTTCTCACCATGCACTCTACAAGCATAAACCAGCCAACTGCGCCCCTTTCACATTGTGCCCTCACCCTCCTCTTATCATTTTTTACTAATTTCACATTTTTATGATTTTTGATAGTATGTTATCTAATGGTAGCCTTGATCTCCTCAGATGTACTAAATAACATACTCAGTTTAAAATGTGGTCTTCCTCATCATTTTCTACCCTAAAAACTTCAATTTTTTTTTATGTTTTCTTGTATGATTCTCTCCATCAAATGAACTGAAGCAGCTTAAAATCTCCTTAGAATCACCATCTGTATCACTGAGTTCTAACTGTTGCCTTTTGTATGTTGCTGTTTCTTTCTACCTATTACTATTCAAACCAGTCCATTCAACTTCATTATCAACATAACTATCATACAACATGTCATCATACTCACTTTCATAATCACTGTCAACCAATGTATCATACTCACTACATTCACAATCAGGTTCGTATTCATTGTTTGATGCATCAGACTCTGATGCTACCCTTTTCCCTTTATCAACTGAGACATCACCATCAACCGAATGGTTCTCCACTGTGGTTCTTGTATAATAAGATCATGTTCAAGGATCACATCAACTATAAAATATTGCAACTAATACATTAATTATTACTGAACAGTTTCCAATGCATAAACAAATGATTTTCAAGGACCACATCAACTATAAAATATTACAACTTACACAAACTATTAACAAAGAGTTTCCAATGGATAAACACATGGTTTCGAACAAACACATAAACTATATAATATTGAATACCGACTTTTACAAATTAGTCTTACTCATGAACATTAGACTCAAATCTATAAGAATGAGTACATACCATAATGGGGAATGTCTTCATCTGCATATTGATTCCCGGTCTTCCGTCGTTTGGAATGTACCATCTTTGTGCTTTGCCTTAATGGTCTTCTGCTTTGCCCTAATGGTGTTCTGGTTTGCCTAACTGAAGCTCTGTTTTGCCCTAATCGTGATTTGCCTAAACTGAAGAATCTTGCCTGGTTTGCAGAACAAGTGAAGACATTGAAGAGTCTCCTGATTAGTTTCCCTCTAATAATGGGAAGGGGGAAGGTAAATGTCATATAAGCCCCTCACATGGGTCATGCGGATGGCACATGGCTATGAACAGACCGAATTCTGGACAGCGTCAATGGCGAGGACTAGGTAAGTGCATATGTAATTCTTTGGGGACTCATTTGATGCAATTAGAAGGTTGTGGACCAAAATGAGACAAAATGAATACTTTGGGGACCGCAGCCACAATTAACCCTATAATTTTTTTGAAATATAAATTATAATTTTAAAGAACATGATCAATTTTAGAAAATTGGGATCAATATAACATTTTTTATCATCAATTATAAGTATCTATGATCGATGATCCTCTATTGAACAATTATAATTTTATTTTTCAAAATTTTTGTAATTTTATTTTTAAAAAATTATAACTCTATCTAGTAACTGATAGTACAGATAGAGTTTTTCCTGAGATTTTTTTTTTGGATTAATTATAAATTATATTCTAAAAGATCGTTCAAATCTCAATTTGTACCTTCAAATATAAAAAATTTTAATTTGTACCCCCAAAGATAAAAATTTGTATCAATGTGCACCCCCAAAAATAAAAAACTCAATTTACACCTTCAAAGATAGAAATTTATATCAATGTGCACCTAAAACTAAATTGATAAATTATACCTAAATCCCCTCATGTTTGTCACTTAATTATTTGGACCCCTTCACATTTAAAATATTACTCCTACATCTCATGACGTTTGTGCGCATGTAACACGTAACCCCTTTAAAGTATATTAGACCCATAAAATAAAAGGTAATATGAAATTATAATTTTTTATTAGAATAAAATCATATTTTTTAACAGTTATATTAATAGATATTAACGAAAAGGGGTTAAGTGTTACACGTGCACAAACGTCATGAAATGTAGGAGTAATATTCTAATTGTCAAGGAGTTTAAATGATTAAGTGACAAGTATGAGGGAATCTAATTATAATTTATCAATTTAGTTTTAGGTGCACATTGATACAAAATTCTATTTTTGAGGGTGCAAATTAAAATTTTTTATCTTTGGGGTGCACATTGATACAAATTTTTATCTTTAGGGGTATAAATTAAAATTTTTAATCTTTAAGAGTATAAATTGAGATTTAAACTATCTTTCAGAGTATAATTTGTAATTAACTCCATTTTTTTCTTTTTTCAGACAATTTTTTTGCTTCTTCTAGTCCGCCCTAGTTTTTCACCCTCTCTCAAACACTCGCACATCGGAGCCCTACCTCCTTCGAACACTAACATTTCCAAATTCCAGTTCAATATTCATCGATCTCTCAAAGAAACGTTTGAAATAATGCAGCAACAGCAGCAGGTCGTAATTCAACAAGCGGCTCTCCTTCAACACCAGTCTCTCTACCATCCTGGACTCTTAGCTCCTCCTCAGGTTCGGCCCCCTTTTTTCGTATGTAAAATCTGTGTGTTTCGTGTATATTGTTTGATTTTGTATCGATTTTGTTGGCTGATGTGATTGAGATTTTAATGTATTGATATCCTTTGTTGATAATCGAGTTGTGATTCTGCTAAGAATTTTGAGTTTCTGTAAAGGTTAGGGTTTAAACTGCCCGTTTACGCTTGAGTTAGAGCATTTGGTTAGTTTTTATTCTGGAATTTCGCTGTGGAAGCTAAGGGTTTGGATGAGTTGTGGTTTAGGACTTGCTTATTGATACCATTAGACAATACAGTAAACAACAAAAAGCCACAACCAACTTTCATCGCAGACAGCCTTCAACATGTCGCCAAACTGCCAATGGTGTTATTTTCTGGGACGATGAATTATGTGTCATTTTGTTTGCTACTTGATCATAACCCTGACACTTTCTGTGAGCGTACTTCCATTTTTGTCTTGTGTGTCATCATATCTTCCCCACTGTTTTACTTGTTGATTTGCGTGTCATCATACCTTCATATTTGTTGGCTTTCCATTTCTGGACATCTTTGTGCCTTCTTTCTTTCTCCACCTAGTTGCTGCCTTCAAATTTTTTCTTTCCAGCTGTATTTGGTTAGCTGCCCTCAAATGATCATTCAGGCCAGTTTTGGATTCATGTCAGGAATATAAAACATTATTCTCCTTTGTTGGTTTTGTAGGAGAGAACTTTAATTTGTATTTGTTAGTTTTGGATTTACTTCCTTGCTTTTTTGAGTGTCAGTTTTCTAGTGGATGGTTTAATCTTGTTGTGGACATCTTTGAAGATTATTTTTTGCTTCCTTTTTTTGAGTTGATATTACTCGCGATATGGGCTGTAATTTTATTTCTTCTTCTTTTTTCACTTTTTTTTTTTTGCAGATTGAGCCAATCCCAAGTGGAAATCTTCCTGCTGGGTTTGATCCAAGCGCATGCCGCAGTGTGTGAGTTTTCTTTGGACAAGTTTTATTTACGTCTTGGTTATTTTCTTTGTCGCATTTGCTGCTTTGTTTACATGTTTATGAAATGCACAGTTTTATTACCCATTTCAATTTCTGTTTGGTCTTGTTTTATCTCTGTACCTCTGGTATTTGCTTTGTTGCTTCGTTTGCCCCTTTTATGTACAAAAGCATTACCATCCAGTTGTCACTCTCATTCACTGTGAATTATGTGATGCTTTATTTGTTATGTCATGCTTTGATAATCGGGGAGATTCTTATGGCTAAATTTATTTTTTCTTTGTTTTCTTTTTTAAAACTTCTAGTTTCTTTATTTTTGGAGAAAATGCAGATACGTGGGAAACATTCATACACAGGTGACAGAACCACTTCTTCAAGAGGTTTTCTCAAGTGCAGGTCCTGTTGAAGGCTGCAAGCTCATCATAAAGGAGAAGGTATTGTCAACCTTATATGAATAGTTTGCCTGCCGCATTTTGTTATTGTATACAGTTGTACAATTGTATTTCCTTTTTGGAAACATTAATTGGTGCAGATGAATTGTATCTAATCCAGTTTTTCCTTTTCTTCTTCAATTTTGGTAGCTTGAACTAATTATCTTATTAACACTTCATTTGTTTCTTCTCTTGCAGTCATCGTATGGATTTATTCATTACCTTGATCGTAGATCAGCTGCACTTGCTATATTGTCTCTCAATGGACAGCATCTGTAAATAGAATTTTTGGGGAATTTTGTAGCACATTCTCACTTGATTCTGCTCTTTTATTTTTATCATATATTTGGCAGGTTTGGGCAGCCTATTAAAGTCAATTGGGCATATGCCAGTGGCCAGAGGGAGGACACATCAAGTAAGTTCTTTTTTGGGTTAATTGCACTAGAGCCCCTAAAGTATGGAGTTTGTCTCATTTTGATCCCCAATGTTTCAATTGCATCATTTTGGTCCCTGAAGTATTAAATATGTTTCTATATAGTACCCAAGCAGACAGTGTCCAGATTGATAACGATTTTTTATTATAAACTTGACAAATGATACTTAAATATGGACAAAAAAATAATTTAGATAACTCTTGATCAAATTTTTACACAAATTTTGGTTAAATACCTATATAAATTACACAGTTTTGATCATAAACTATCCAATTTTTAGTCAAAAGCTACCAATATTACACATTTTTTGGTCAAGAGCTACCCAAATTTTGTTTAAGAGCTATTAAAATTATTTTTTGTCCATATTTAGCTATTACGTGACAAGTTTATGATAAAAAATCGTTAGCAATCTGGATGTTGTCTGCTTGAAGGACCATATAGAAACATATTCAATACTTCAGGAACTAAAATGATGCAATTAAAATATTGAAGACCAAAATGAGACAGACTTCATGTTTTGGGGACCTCTAGTGCAATTAACCCTTTTTTTTTTTTTTTTGGTGTTTGCATAGTTGTGATTCTTAATCACTTTAGAATAGAACTGAAGGGATGTGTATCTCAGTATATTATGATATTGCTATCTTGGTGTGCAGGTCACTTCAACATCGTTGTTGGTGATCTCAGCCCTGAGGTTACTGATGCAATGTTATTTGCATGCTTTTCTGGTTATCCCAGTTGTTCGTAAGTCCCCCTTGCTCCTTCTCAAATATATTTAACAGGAGTTCTTTTATGGTATAAAATGATGGATTTCTTTGTTAGCCAACCTTGAATATTTGTTGGATTATGCTTAATATATCATCATTGGAATTAGAATGGGCAGTGCTTAATTGTTCTGTCGTACTGGTCTCAGTGATGCAAGGGTTATGTGGGATTTGTTGCTTTCCGGAACCAACAGGTATTATTTTGTTGTTTGAATTCAGTTTACCACTTACTCCCCCCTCCCCTCCTCTTTTATGGCTTTTGACCTTGCGATCTCTGTCCAGGATGCTCAAAGTGCAATAAATGACCTAACTGGTAAGAAAGATTCCAGACTACTGTATAGTTCTTTCCTTTGCAGACAAAATTTTCAATCTAATGTCATGAAATCTAATTAAACATTTAATAGATTGTCCACAAACATTGCTGTAAGTTACAATATCTGTTGTTCAATTTTTTACAGCTGTAAAAGCTTTGAATCCTACTTGCTTCTGCACAAGTAATAACCATTTACACTTGTTTTGACTTCATGGTGCAGGACAATGGCTTGGCAGTAGGCAGATACATTGTAACTGGGCTACAAAAGGTGCTGGTGCTAATGATGACAAGCAGAGCTCAGATGCCAACAACATTGTGGAACTAACTAATGGCTCTTCAGGTGAGTTAGTCTTTATAAGTCTGTAAGAAACATAAATGATAAGAATTACTGATAAAATATTGTAAAATTAATCTTGTATAATTCTATTTTGAGTTGTTCTGGGAAAAGGGGTTTGTAACTTTCATGTAAATTATAAACAAGCTTATCAAATAAATAAGTTAAAGCAATTTAGAACTTTAATTGTTAATTAAATATGAATACGTAAAAATAATTTGAAAATTAAGTTGCTGGAAAGTTTGGATCGTTCGTTGTCTTCATGGACATTATTGGTCAAGGATGTGTTTGTGGGATTGAATTAGTATGTTAGCTAATGAGGTTTGTTATGCTTACATTTGGTGGTTTTCTCTTGCAGAAGATGGTAAAGAGTCAGCAAATAGTGATGCTCCTGAGAATAACCCGCAGTACACTACTGTATATGTGGGCAATCTTGCTCCAGAGGCAAGAAACCACCCTTCTACTAGTTCTGTTTTTTTTTTTATGTCTTCCCCCCTCCTCTCATTCATTTCCCTTTTCTATTTTCTGTCTCTCTTCTATTACTATACAAGGGCTATTCTGATTACTGAGGTCACATTTATTTTCCCGCTTTCAGACCTATTGTAGCTGCTTGTGTGCCCTCCTCCAAACCATATTAAATGATTTAAAACTTTGGAGAAATAGTTGTATTCTTGATTGATGTTTGGAAGAGTGAAAGTACACCGTTTTCTGCGTACTTTCCCAGATGTACATATTGGTATCTGAAAGTTTTTGCTTGTTTAGATAAGGTGTTCGCCAGGGTGAAAGCACACCGTTTTCTGCGTACTTTCCCAGTTGTACATATTAATATCTGAAAGCTTTCGCTTGTTTAGAAAAGTTGTTCGCAGGGTTTCTGGATTTTAGCAGTCATAAGATCTTATTAATAGGTATGTGGAATTCCCAGGTGATGCAGCTTGACCTCCATCGCCACTTCCATGGTCTTGGCGCTGGAGTAATTGAGGAAGTCGGCATCCAGCGTGATAAAGGATTTGGTTTTGTCAGGTACAGCAACCATGCCGAGGCAGCTTTGGTGATACAGATGGGGAATGCTCAGTCGATTCATTGTGGCAGACAAATTAAGGTGTGCTTTGTGCTCATTGGTTATGAAAGGTGTTTCAGTTTGCGATTTTGATATCTTTGTGGTCATATTGTAGGCTTCATTTTAGACGGGTCTAAGCCTAGTGAGATAGATATTTCTTGGTTTAGGAGCTCCATCTGTGTTCCTTCCAGTGATTTTGACTTTGGGTATTCTAGTTTGGCAATGCACTTTGTCCCTTCAATGAATAGGTAGTATCTTGGTTAACTTCAGGTATCAGCATAAATAGGGAGTATCTGTGTTCTTGGTACCTTTTTGATTGTATCCGTGCAAAGTGGTATCTGTCTGAGAAACAATGGAAGGACCTTGCGTTGTCTGCATTGAATCATTTGATAGTATAGTATTTTTGGCTTGACTTTGTTCAGTTTCTTATGCTTATAGTGCTCTTGGGGTAGCAAGCCCACTCCTCCCGGAACAAGTTCTATCCCACTTCCCCCTCCTGCTCCAGTGCCTTTGCCAGGGCTCGGTTTCAGCCACTGACCTGTTGGTCTATGAGTAACAACAAGCAATGAACAAGATGGGCGGTGTTCATGCCCTCATGCACACCCAAGGGCAGCATCCTCTCAATCAAACATCTATGGGTTTAGGTGCTGCTGGAGCAAGCCAGGCCATATATGATGGTGGTTTCCAGAATGTTACTGATGCCCAACAGCTCATGTACTATTAGTGATATAAGAAGAGTTGGATTATGTGTGAAGCCTTGATTCTCCTGCCTTTGCAGGCCTAGCTTGAGATTTTAAACTTTTTAGGAGGTTTTAAGATGTTTCTCTTTTACTATAATCAGGATTGTTCCCCACCCGTGATCTTCTTACTTTGTGTGTCTATACATATCATGTATGCTTTTTCTGTTTTCTGTTTTCTGTTTTCCTGTTTTCCTAGAGATGAGTGGCTATAGAGATTGTATTTTGCTTTTGAGGTTCGTAATACCGCTTGGTTATTTTGAGCTAATTGCAGCTTGGGTAGTGTTGGCATGTGAACTTAATTTGATGGTTCGAGTCACTGGCTTTTAATCAGTGGTGATTTATGGACTTACCTAGGGATTCTTTGCAATAACGATGCAGAGATCGATAAGTGCTGGTGTTTCATTTGCATTTCCTGAGATAAACATTAAAGACGTGTTTGCCTGTCTCGGTCCTCCTTGTGGTTCATACCTACCTGAATAGCCAAGGGGTTTTCTCAAATGACTATCATAACTTCCTCGTGGATAACCCTTTTTCCATTTCCTTTTTTCCCAATATAGAAAGGATTTGAACGCTGGTAGTAATAACAATAACTGAGACATTTTTTTCTTCCTTTTCTCTCTTTTTATTTAATTTTTTTTATAGTTTTGCTTGTGTGTTGGAGGTTAGGAATCACTTCCTTTTGAATATTTTATAATTTATATATATATATATATATATATATATATATATAAAGTAGAACGAAGTTTGAATCCAAAAGACATAGAGAGGTTCAGATCGTTTTGAGACAAAACATAAACACATCCAACGAATAACGTAATCTTAATATAAAAGGCGGTTCAGATCATCTCAAAAATTTTGATCTAACAGTCTACAGTTAGGTTTGAATTTATTTTTCCGTCTATGAAGAAACCTCTTATCGTAAGACTTTATACTCCTATATCTCATACGTCTCTATTTTAAATTTGAAAAAACACAATAACAATTCAGATTGAATTCATTTTAAATTAAATGATATAACTTTTATCTAAATTCATCAAACTTAATCTAATTGCTCACAACATATCCCACACAAAAATAAAATCCCACCAGGGACGGAGTCAGAAAAATACTTTAGGGTGGGCACATTAATAAATTTTAATTGTTTTTTTATCAATGTTACTAATGACTTAATTCGATGTAACTGTTATTTTAATTATAAATTTCAAAGTTATATGAAGTCTACTTTCAATTAAAGGAATGCATTGAATTATGTCATCAAATTAGATTTAAATAGCATTTTTTATTTTTTTTTTAATTGACCATAGAAGTTCATAAATTCATATTTACTATAATTATGCATAAAAATTCATTAAACAAAAAAGGTTAAAAAACGATTTGCATGGAATGAACAAACAAAAAATAAAAGTAAGGATTAATTGTAAATTACACCCTGAAAGATTGTTCAAATTTTAATTTGTACCCTCAAAAATCAAAAATTTTAATTTGTACCCTCAAAGATAGAGATTTGTATCAATGTGCACCCTCAAATATCAAAAATCTTAATTTACACCCTCAAAGATAAAAATTTGTATCAATGTGCACCCCCAAATATCAAAAATCTCAATTTTCACCCTCAAATATAGAAATTTGCATCAATATGCACTTAAAACTAAATTGATAAATTATACTTAGATTCCTTTATGTTTGTCACTTAATCATTTAGACCTCTTCACATATAGAATATTACTCAAACATCTCATGACATTTGTGTACGTGTAACATGTAACCCCTTTTCGTTGATATCTGTTAATATATATATAATAAACATAAGAGTGTGTTTGAATTTTATCCCAGTTATATTTTTCTCCTCAAACCATCATCAATCACTTACCTCACTCGTCATCATTTCTCAGACTCAAACGTTAAATCACATCACTCATTTCTATCATATATTTAATCATCTATATATTTTCTCCCTAAAAATCACACCACTCATTTCTATCATATATTTAATTATTTAATATTTAATTAATTTGTAGTTAATATATTTTGAAAAAATCTAATATGGTGAAATCAATTTTTTGAATGCTCAAATTTTATATTTTATCGTGCTTTCAGGCACAAATTATGATTAGTCTGTTAATATAACCGTTAACAAATATAATTATCCTAATAAAAAATTATAATTTCATATTACTCTTTATTTTATAGGTCCAATATATTCTAACGTTCAAAATCAATCTTACTATTTGAATGTCTAATAGAATAAAGGGTTGCACATTGAGTGATATATTGCATTGGATATAAAAAATATTATATAAATATCTACCTTCTATTGGACATTCAAATGGTAAGCTTGATTTTGAACTTTAGAGTATATCGAACCCACAAAATAAAGGGTAATATGAAATTATAATTTTTTATTATGATAAAATTATATTTTTTAACGGTTATATTAACAGATATCAACGAAAAGAGGTTACATATTACACATGCACAAACGTCATGAGATGTAGGAGTAACATTCTATATGTGAAGAGGTCTAAATGATTAAGTGACAAGTATAAGAGAATCTAGGTATAATTTATCAATTTAGTTTTAGGTGCACATTGATACAAATTTCTATCTTTGAGGGTGTAAATTGAGATTTTTTATCTTTGGGGGTGCACATTGGTATAAATTTCTATTTTTGAGGGTGTAAATTGATATTTTTGATCTTTGGGGGTACACATTCATATAAATTTCTATATTTTAGGGTGTAAATTGAGAGTTTTGATCTTTGGGGGTTTAAATTGAGATTCGAACTATCTTTCAAAGTATAACTTGCAATTAACCCTAAAAGTAAATTAATTAAAACTTCGTATAAGACTAATTATTATCATTTTACAATTAAATCTGATTATTGTTTATCATTTAAAAGAATTACAAATTAATGATATCAATAAATATTTTTTTTCTATATACAAAATGGTAAAAACAGTTTTTCATTTATTACCCTTAATTTATTACATTATGATGCTCATTTCTATACAATAATAAAATAATCTTATAATTTAGAAAAATTAACGCGATATGTCTAAAAATTATTCGGACATGTCTGTGTCTAAAAATTTAAGAATAATAGTAATTACATCTAATTCGAAATTTAATTTTATATCTTGTGTGAGACCCAATCACGCATTACATGCATATTAATATAATTTTGTGGCTTAAATTATAATTATGTAAAATTATTAAAAGGTGAATTAAATTAAATCTTTTATAGGCATGATGTGAATGAGTATACATTGGGTAGGTGGACCCCGTTAGTGATGTATCAGTGAGACCTATTTATAGGAATTTCGTGTGTAAAAATACTAGTGGGTCAATTTCGAAATCACTTAAAATCATGGGGGGAGGCAAGTATAATTCCTCCATTTACTGATTTACCTTTACAGGTGTAGGATTTAGAAAAAAAAAAACAAAAACAAAATAAAGGAAAGGTGAGTCATTTTTGCAGCGTGTCGTGGGTGTGCCATGTGTGGGTGTGTGTGAGTCTTAAGTGTGAAGTGTGTGTGTGTTTAATATATTAATAAGTGTGTGTGTGTGTTGTTGTCAGACCGAAGAGTCGAGAGGGAGAGAAAGAAAAAAAAAAAAAGAAAAAGAAAAAAAAGAACAGAGAGAAGAGGACCGTGAGCAAGGGAAGAAAGAAAGAAAAAAAATAAATAAGTATGTGTCCATCTGAACCAGGACCGTGAGCAAGGGAGAAAGAAAGAAAGAAAATAAATAAATGTGTGTCCATCTGAATCGTAAGCAAGGAAGATACATGGGACTCACTTTGTGCATAAGATGTGATTAATTTTAGTATGTACGTAATTATGTGAGCTGTTTTATTTGAAATTAGTGAATGTTCTAATTTAATTTCATGGACTGTTTCAGTTAAATTTTAATAGGATTTTTTAATGTAATTTAAAAACATATTTTTTATGAGTTTAAATTAAATGCATTAAACATAATTAGTTGGTTGTCTTGTGTACAAATAACGGGTTGTTTTATGTTCATATCAAACCAGATTTTTTTGGAGTGTCATTTAGTGTAGTAGTTGATTTAAGGGGCTGTTACAAAGGGTTGTAAAGGGCTGTGCAATCCAGGTATGAGAAAGACGAAAAAAAATGTGAAAAATGAATATTGGAAAGCTTTTAGCGAGTTAGGTTGAATATGAAAATTATGGGAATGAAATGAGTGGTTTAAAGGGCCAATTATGGGCTGTTTTGCATTGATTAAATGTGTATGTAAATTTAAGTGTAACGGTTTTAAATAAAAAGTGCGATAGAAGTGAGAAAAGAGTGTCGATAACGCCGAAATCTTAATTTTTAAATGTTATTATCACATGTGTGAATTTTAATCCAAATGACATAAAATTTTGCATGTAGCATTTTTATATAGTGCTTGATGTGACAATGTGACTTTTGAATGCAAATGAGTATAATATCCGGTGCAAAACGTATGAAAATGCCGGAAGTGTAGTTTTTGAAATTTGGGGTCGAAATGTGTGGAAATAGACCCTCGGTCAATGTGTTTAACCAACTTAATCATAATTGTGATTAATGTGATTGAATTTGGGAATTTGGGAAGGAAATGTAATCCCTAGAACAAAAGTGTTAATGTGTAAGTAGATATTGCGGTAATTGGGGTTATCGGGGTACTTTGGGGTGCATCATTTGCATGCATTAGTGCATTATTAACTATTAAATGTGATAAACATATTAATATTGTAATTACACATGTGTTAGGTGGAACGATTGAGACAGTCCGTGTCAGAACAAATATAGTAACACCGAAATGATTCACCAATAGGACCGAAGGGTCGTAGCTTTGTACATCTGAGGTGGGTGTATATCTTTATATGTTTTGAAAATGTTATTATAAGATGATAGTAAATGATAAACTTTAATAGTAATTCTTCAGGATTATGTGCTACGTGCTTATGTAATTGAATGATACTTTGTATTGTGTATTGTGTATTGTGGAATGTGGCGCACTGTTTGAGACAGGGGTGTCGATGCCTAGTCACTGGGCGCGCAGTGATGTGCTAATATTGTGGTGTTTCCAGGAGATTCGGGAGGCACGGATCCACGTGGGATCGATTACCCTATAAGGGGTAGGGTGGATGTAATGTGACTTGTGAATTCTTTAGAATTGGATTGATGTTATTGTTTGATACGTGTATTTACGTAGTATCTATCTACTTCAGTGTATTACTGTCATTTTCATTTTATATACTGCATGTATACTCACTGAGCGCGTAGTTTAGCTCACACCTCTACAGTTTCTTCTTTCAGGTACTATAAAGAATGATGCAGACTGGTCCACTGTCCAATTGATTGAGTGTTATGCAACGTTAGTATGATACCACTCAGGTTGAGTGTCAATATAACTAACCGTTGAGCTATGTATTATATTTATGAGAGATATTTATGGCATGTTAATAATATATATTTGTAAATAGACTCAACAAACATACTTTTGTGATGTATGCTATATGGGTGTGAGATTTTGTATATGTCGATAACCTGAAAAATAAATGATTGGTACAAGTATTTATATATAGTACATGTTATCAGACAAGTATTACCATCATGCTTAATAACTAAGGTGATGAGTGTTGTTGTTGCACGTGTGGGATTATATCATGTTTGATTAGTCCAACTTATAATAATTGTTCACAAGTGTATGAAAAACCTAGTCGCATCTCATCCTTGGGAGACCGGGATAGGGCGTGACATCTTGATCCAAAAAAAAATTCAAAATTTAATTGGTAGGAATCTAATGGTTTGTGACCATTTGATGGATAGTAGACGTTATTAAATGTAAGGATTCACTATTAGATTTAATATCATGATGTATTAGTTCTAATAAATTATTTAAAAATTAATTATTATTTAAGTAGTTGTCTATTTTAATCGATATTACAATAATACAATAATAAGGTGGACAAAATTAAATATGTCTAAATTTTATTTTTAAAAATATATATTTATTGTAAAAAAAATTGAGGTTAGACACAATTAAATATATCTAAATTTTATTTAAAAAAATATATATCTAATGTTAAAAAAAAAAAAAATTGAGAAGGGCACGTGCCCACCCTAGTCCAGGGGTGGCTTCGCCCTGAATCCCATCCAATTTAACTACACTCACATGCTACCCATTTTGTCTAAAAAACAACCAAACTCTTTCTTTTTCCTTCATTAACTGTCTCACCTCTATTAGTTTCTCAAAAATCATTGTCATCCTCCTCAGTCTCTTATCTCTTTGTGCAGACTCCAACAATTAACAAACCTTCTTCAGCGACGCACGAAATAATCTGGAGACCCACTGGATTTACCCACTCTGACATTCACTTTCTTCGATCCAAATTGTATTGACAGTGATCTAACTTCCGGAAGTACTCTCGCTGGTACCTATTATTGTTTATCGTTGATGATTTTTTTGATTTGGTTTAGTAGTGTATTTTTCATAATAGTTTATTATTTTTAATGTTCGTGTGGTTTAGTTGTAGATGTATTGTCATTAACTGATTGTTGTTAAATGTTATATGTTAAAAAAGTATTGTTTGTATCTTGATTTAGGTTGATTTTGTTTAATTTCTAATTTTACGATAAAACTTTGCATAAAATTAAAATTTTTTATATTAAACACAAATAAAATACATAATATCTCTAAGTTTAGTGTTTTTTTTTCAAAGTTTAACAGTTTAATATTTGACCTCAATAATTGCATACACACCGTCACTACAATACAAAAATTAGTACCCAAATAAACAATGTCACCATTTTTAGACATATAAATTATTTAGTATATCAATTTTTTCAAAACCTTTGGTATAATATTTCATTAAAAATATTATATACTTATTATATAATTTTTCATTCTTCTTATTATAAATTGATTCATATCTAGAGTACACTGTAAGTAATTCTTTTTATCACGCATCTTAATATCGATGATTGATGTTTACTTCTTATCAATCAATGAAGTTTAAATTGTCTTTATAATCCATAAATAAAATCATCAAGTTATTATTTATATTAAAAATAAATCAATACTGTATGAAAACCTATAGTTCTCAGAAAATTAAAAAAAAATTCAAAACCAAGTTAATCAGCAATTTAAAAAAAAAGTGATCAATAAAAAAAAAATAAGATACCAATTATACCAACAAAAAATATTCAAAACTAATATAATCGCTATGTGTTGAAATTATTTAAACATCCTATATTTGTGTGTTAAAATTTTATATAAAAGTGTCTTTAAATACGAGCAATGACTAGTATATATATATAATAGGGGTAATCTGTGCTTAGAGGTGCGATGTAATGTGAATAAGTTTAAGAAGAATGTTGATAGTTATTGAATGAATTTTTGAAATCGTTTGATGGACAGTTTAATCTATTTCATATAAAAGTTCTGGTTGGTGGCCGTAGTATTGAGCGGATTGGAAAGGCAGATTCGACAAAAGCTCTTGGGTTTTTACTATAATTTTTGGATGTTAAAAATCATTCTATACTATATCTAAAATTGAGTTAGATAAGAATACCGTAATTGCTAGGGGGAGGTAGTGTTATAGCATAGGCTAGACATAGCAATAAGAAAACAAATCGGTTGATTTTTTCATTGTAAACAAGAAAATATAAAAATTATAATTGAAATATGTTAATTTGACTTCAACATTATTTAAGATATATAATATAAATAGTAATTAAATAACTTTTGTTTCCACTGATTTAGCCTTACAAAATATTAAAGCAACAAAATAAAATAGTTTGATTATCGTATTATTGGGCTGTTGAGCGGCGGAGGTTGGGGTTGGGGTGGGGGAATTGAGTTATAATTTTTTTTTTTAAATGGTCAGGGTACCCAAATTATTATTATTATTATTTTTTTTTTCAGGGTGCCCAAATTAACTTTTACACATCTTAACTAATTTTTATCTTTTGGTCAAAAATAAACTATTCACGTCAAGACTAGAAAATTTATAAAAGATAAATCTTTCAATTATCTGAGTTCAAGTAATTACCAAAATTTAAACTCATAACATTTGTATTTACAACTCGTATATGTTATCATTTAAAAAATTTTATTAACAGTCTCAGGGCTGGCCTAATAGTCCGGAAAAAAAAACATGAGTTTTAGGCCCCAAATTTTTAGAAGATCCTATAATTTTAGGTATATCATTAGTCCACAAAAAAATTTAAATCAATTAAATTTTAAGCTCTATAAAAAAACTACAAAAAATTAAATTTAATCAAAATTTTTATTACAATAATTTGGGCCTATAATCCAATCTATAATATTAAAAACTTAAAAAAAAAAAATTACTTAAAAGTCAACTCATATTTACTCGCAACCCTCTCCCTCTCCAATAAAAAATAAATAAAAATAAAAATTAATCACTTTCTTTGCGGTAAAAAACAAAAACAAAACTTGAAATCTCTTTCTCGACAACATTAACACATATTTTTTTGTCTTCCTCTCATATCAAAAATTAAAAATAAAATATTTTTTTTAAAAAAATAATAATAATAATAAAAAAATTTCTATTTAATATTTTCACTTTAGACTTTAAATTAACTTAAGCTGCCCTGAATAGTCTTAGAATGGCAGCTAAATAATTAAGATTAGTCCGACTTTCCTAATTCGAAAATTTCTATTCGGTTCCCAACGAGCCTAAAACGAATACACACATCCGAGGGCCAAGGTCCTCCACAGATGACAGATGGTCTTGAGTCTCTTGACTCCCTTTGCGACCACCAAGGCTTGAACGACAAAAAAAAACACCCTTCCCGCGCTTAAACGCTAGGGTTTTAGCTTTTCACCAAAAGCCTCACAACACTGATTTTGCAGGAAATTTCGAACCACAAATCCTTGTCTTTGTACAGATAGATTGATATGGAGGTTGACACAGAGACTTCCCCGAGCTATCTTGACCCCGAAGATCTCGATATCAGAGAGCGTTTTCGTCGCTACGGGTATGAATCTACTTCTGTGTTCTGAAATTAGAGTTCTCATGTTGAACGTCGTCTTATAGTGGCTTGAAAACTTTATGCCTTCTAATGTCCGTGATCACTGAAATTAACATGTGAAGCTTCATGGAATCGAACTATATATTTATCTTGGCTTGATCCCAATTGTACTTGGGATAATGTCTTTAAGGGAACAAGGTATTGCACCTTGTTAATTTGTAATATTTTTATTGGCCACAGTAGCTTGAAATCATTTGTTGTTCTATGCTTATTTGTATTTTATTTTTCTGTTGTTACGGTTCTTATTTAATTCATGGGTCATTGGACTTGATATCGTTTCCTTTTCATTCTACCGTTACATATTCATTCACGGTTCAAGGTCGCGATATTAGCCATCAAACCAAATGGCATTGAGACACATTTATCGTTGCGTTGTAGAACTATCTTGGGCAATATGCATGAAAGACTATATAGAAGAAGAAGTTAAACATAACGAAACATTCAGGCCATATAGTGGTGTCGTGGAACGGTGACGGCTGATTTGTACAAAAACGAGGAGGTGCCGAGTTGTAGACGACTTGACTGGATTGTCTATTCATTATTGTTGCTTGTAATATTAGTGTGTTAAGTTCACGTAAATACAACTTTCGTTGGGTTTTTGCTCTGTGTACCAGCACTCAAGTATATGCTCCATTTGCAGGAAAAGGCAGTCAGCTTCAAGACTTTCCCCTCTCCAAGAAAATTCAGCTTCCAAGTTCAGTGAAATCAGGTCAAATGCTGCGCTGTTCCTGGAAGATATCAAACAAGAGGTCGAGAGCCTTGACGCGGATTGTCCAGGAGGAACACCTGCAAAGGCACAATCTGCTGTCCGGAGAAGATCATCAGTTGGCATTCGTGGGATATCAGATGCAGATGTTGGTGCTGATTCAATCTGTCGAGCTGAAGGTTATCCGCTAAAAGCTTGCAAGCATGAGGATGACATGTCGGTGGATAGTGGAGACACAACCTTTACATTATTTGCTTCTTTGCTCGATTCTGCTCTACAAGGTGCTTGATGTAAAAATTGCTCACGGTTTAATTATTTTCTTGCATATTTATTATTCATATTGCAGAACAAATTTGCGGTAATATTGACTTAGACTTATCATTTTGGGCTGTCAAAAGTGATCTGATCTCTATGGTATACCAAGACGCTATATGGTGCAAAGTAATCTTAGCAGCCTGTTACTTGAACCAACTTATTTTAATAAAGGAGCCTAGCAAACAAGTGATCTTTCAATCGTCAATTCATCGCAGTGGTCTGTTTCATATCAAATATGGGGGGTGCTACATAGCACATTAGTCATTTGACTTTTCAGGCTACTTGATGATGTCACTTACACTGAAATGTCATCTGCCATGGGGTTTTTTCTTAAGATTTTTCCTTCTTTTCCAATAGCGGAGAAAAGAAATTATTCTTTCAACACAGTAATTGTCCAATGTAGCTTGATATGTGGCTTTGTTATCTTCTATGGGGGTTTGTGAGCACAAGAATTGTCAATTATGGAATTAGTACCAAGTAAGCTTGTAACACCTATATTTCAGAATTGTCATGTTTTTTCTACAAATTTCCTCTCTCTTTTCCATTTTCTTTGACAATTCTTCATTCACCAAACTTGCTTTGAATAGCAGCTCGTTTTATTCAAATTATGTACCTGACTGTTTCCAGATTTTATATTGCAGATTTGATGCCATTCCCTGATTTGATACTGCGATTTGAGGGTTCTTGTCGTAATGTTTCAGAGTCAATAAGGTGTGTCTTTTGTACACTCAATTTTTCTGTCTTGGTGGAAAAGTTTCTGGTCATGTATATACACTTACACTGGATAGTATTCAAATGATTTAGTAAAAAGTTACGGAAGCAAACTAACTGTGTGGAAACCAACTTTCACACACTGCTATATTTTGTGCATCACATGCATCTGCTGAAGTACTTCAAGGTGATCATTGTTAGACAGACTGCATTATGCCATTATTATATAATGCTGCATTCTCCACAGTTTCATGTAGATAAACTGCTGGAAAAAATTGTATGGATTAGCCTAAGGCACTTCATTGTGACACTGTTTTACTTTTATCTGTGGTCATGACTCACGAGTATCAGACCTTATGATCCATTTTCACGTACTTTGCTGGTATCCCACAAGATTGTCCTCCAGTAATATCCTACAAGTCAAGACTTTGTCTGATGCTATGGCCCATTTGTTCTCCGATAACTTCTACAGATCCCGGAATTCAGATTGGAGACAAAACTTGATACATTATATGCTGTTCTCATTATTTTCTTGTTTGTTTTTGATGTAACAAAGCTTGAACATGAATCGTGTACAACTCTGTAGCTTCTCCATTACTTGTCATTGAATAACACTTCCTTTGTATCTAATGCACTATGGGGAAACATCCTTGCAGTTTAACAAAGTGGCAACTGCTATAAAAGAATATGAAAGAAAGAAGAACGACACATGAGCAACAAGGATGATGCTGGAAATTTTATTTCTATTAGTGGGCCAATAAAACAATTAAAAGTTAAAACCTTATATATCACACGGTGTAAAATGCAATCATATCTTAACAAATCAGATTTATGTTTGATTGAAATATCGAATAAACAAGGAAAACTGTAGAATAATTATGCACTTATTTCAATTTAGCGGGTTTCCTATGTTATCTTTCGTATCTAATTTGGGATTTGGAATGTTATAATTGTTATCTACTACAGGAGTTTGAGGGCTATTGTAATAAACTAGAAAAATTTAGGGGACCAGCCTTTTGTTTTAGTTGTGTCTATTTCTAACTAATATAGACAGTGCCAAACTTTGGTTACCACATTTTACTTGATCCCTTTAGCTTTACGTGACTAACATTGAATATAGGTGTGCAAAATCAGTCAGTTATGAGTTTGGTGATCGCTACCCGTGGTATATTTTTGTTTGCACTTAATGGATTGTTTCAAGATTGAATGTTGAGAAAAAAGAGTTATAGTTGGCATTGCATGAAAGTTGCATCCTCCTACAAGAAAGTAGGGTGCAACAAAAATGAGGATCAACATATGGATTTACTGCTCAGTAACTTAGTTGGCATTGGTTCAGAGAATCTTTAACTCTGAGATTTTGAGGTATAAAATTCTTTGTGTTTACATGGTAAATTAATTTTGAAAGGAGAGCAATATAGCACTAGTGAATTTGTTAAGAGGATTACATGTGGTTTTTTAATCAAGGTAGTAACTCTGGAGAACAGAACTTCGTTTTTTTGTGTCTATATTTTTTTTTCCTTCTCGGCTTTTGGGTAATTTATCCACATGCACTCATGTACTAGCAAGAGCACATCCCTCTTTAGTGCTTGCAGCAGAAACCACTCATGCTAACAGGTGGCAGTAAAACTCTATTAATTTGAAATTTAAGTTGAATTCTGTTTGTACTATTAGCTGCACTCTTTGTTTTACTGGTTTTTGCTTTCAGTTTGTCCCTAAAGTTTTTAGAAAATGAATTAAATGCTGATGTATGGCACTGCTGGAGTTCAAACTCAGCAAAGCCCTCACAATGGCAGTGTTTCTCAAGATCAGTATGTGGGCGTGTGTAACTTCCTTCATATGCTGGACGCATGTGCTAGATCATAGCATTAGCTTTTCCATTTTGCTGAACTAATAGGTAGCAGAGAAATTTATCATGATTTTTTTTTTTATGTGTGTGTGTTTGTGTGATTTTCATTATAAACTATACATGAAGAATAAAAGAGAGGTACAGAATAGAGCCTTGCTTTCTAAGCATTAAAGAGCTTTATACAATAATGAAGCTCACAAAAAGGAACAAGCAATTGGCATTGTAGTTCCACTAAAATTTTTATTTTCAGTGCACCATATTTGATTCTGGTTCTGAATTTGCTGAGAGAGACTTCCATGAAACACTTGGCAAGCATATTCTTTGTTACTGCACATCAAGACTGGGAACTTAAGTGTCTCTGTTGGCAATTTGACTTCATGTCTTTAAGTTGCTTCTGTAGGTACGACTCCAATGAAAGACACAGGGTTGTTGAAGATAAATTGATGAGGCAGAAGGCTCAGCTCCTACTTGATGAGGCTGCTTCCTGGTCTCTTCTGTGGCACCTATATGGGAAAGGAAATAAATCTTTAAACCTTAACATTGTTGTCTTAGAATCAATGCTATTAACAATATAGAAGTTTCCAGGGATGCTGCTGCACAACTTTTGAAAAATTTGTATATATGTCCTCACTGAACTTTTGGGTCCATAAATACAGAAGTGCTCTGAAAAAAGAATATTATATCAAAGTGCTTGTGTAATGGCTGCCATACTTTTGGTATCAAATTATTGTATTGGTGCAAATATATGTATATATAGGGGGAAAAATTATTGGTGCAAAAATTATTGTGTAATGGCTGCCATACAGGGGGAAAAAACTAGTTAGATTATATATGCAAATGAATATTTCCATATGAAACAAAGGGCATAAAATGTTTTTCTATATCACTGGTTACTTGCTGAACAAGTCAGTATATTCCCAATTGTCTGTTGTCTTAGATATGGGCAATCAAATTTGATTTTTGATCACTCCATCATCACTTAACCCATCAAATCTATCCAAGCCTGTGATGTGATATTTTTACTATCCTTTGGCTCATGATGTGTAGAAATCTTGATCAATAAAATTCTCAGAAATTTGTGCCCATTTTTCATCTGGTGGCCGACACAAAACCCCTTACCCATTTCCAAAACACCCATGGGCAGATGCAGCACATCGCTTGATTGGAAATTTGAAATGCCCTTGTATTTGCACATCCCCTGGATCCACGTCCATAAGATAGCTACAAAGTTTTTGTATTAGCTTTCAGCTACTTGTTGATGGATAATATTTGACATCTTTGATAAATTGCCACTTTCCTATTTCTTTCCCATCAAATGGTACAATGAAGTAGCAACAGTAATTTTTCCAGCTATCTTTCACAACGTCTTACCTTCAAATTTTAGCTGGCTTGGAAAACCATTGGTCTGGAAAATGTCATCAACATATGTTGATATGCAGACTTTAGTTTTTTGGGGAAACTGATTATGTTATGACTGCTGGTAAATATGGTACTTCAGGCATGTCTATTCTGGTAATTATGTTGAATTGAAAGTGGCGCCTTCCTTTCATGTTTAAGTGGCTTAGGGTTGATGTTGGCTGTTGAATGCCATAGTTCTCTATAAAGTTTAAGTTTCTGAATTTGGGTATTATGTAAAACCCTTTTTGATCCTCTTGCAGGAAATGAAGAAGTTCCTGAAGATCTAATTCTGGTGATGCATTTTTTTTGTTGAATTACTGGCAAAGTCTGTTTATTCGTGTTTATTGCTTAAAATATTGATTTGAATATTTTCCCTGATTTTATGTTTTTTATTTATTTATTTTGATTCTCCAACCCTTATGACAGTTCCCAACAACTTCACATTTGGAGGCTTGCCAATTTGTTGCAACAGATCATACAGCACAATTATGCCTTCGGATTGTTGATTGGCTTGAAGGATTAGCCTCCAAAGCTCTTGATTTGGATAACAAGGTGATGAATTGAATTTTTGTCCTGTTTTTGGCAGTTTAATGTCTATCTGTGGTTGGGGGTTAGGTTTTCCTGAAGTGAAGCATTCCTTGTAGTCTTACATTAGGAACACTAGTATCCTTTGTTAAATTATCATGGTTAAAGACGGGCTATTCTGACCATCACTTCTGTCATTTGTCAAATAATTTGAGGTTTACTTTATTTTGGGTGCCCTTTGAAGTGGCATGGCTTATCGATGTGCGAATGCGGTAAAAAGCTAGGGTTTTACAACACAGATGAAGTGGTGTAAAAAGCTGATCTGGGAGTTCTGGTTTAAGTTGGTGACCTGGTATATGGTTATTATACTGATTGGAAAAAAGAATAAAGTTAAAAAGTTAATCTGCAGTTGAGGTTGGGATGTAGCGTAGGTAATCACTGTTCATATTAGTGGGGGATGTATACTTTATTTGTATTGGCTCCCTTATTGCAAAAAGTGCTTTCTCTGGGACTTTCACTGCAATTTTCAGTGAACTTTTATTTAGAGCTCATTCATTTCAGTTGGCACAGTTTTTGATTGATCTTGCAGGTGCGCGGTTCTTATATTGGTACTTATCTGCCCAGCACTGGAGTTTGGAATCATACTCAGCGGCTGTTAAAGAAAGGTGCTTCAAATTCAAAGACAGTTCATCACTTGGATTTCGATGCTCCAACGCGTGAACATGCTCAACAACTATCTGATGACAAAGTACTCCCACATGCATATGTCATATCCATCTTTACTTAGCTTCTATTATCTTCGCCTCCGAATGAATTGGTTGTAGTTTTGTTGGACACCAATAAAATTGGAAAAATACTTTTTGTTATCTTGGTTATGCTGAATTTTATACAGAGAAAATATCACTGGGTAACTGCTTCAGGAACATTGTTTTTGTTTGTATCATATGCTTTATTGTATAAAACTTCACATCTTCTGCATAGATCCACAAGTCACATGGATATCATCTCTACTCCTTCATTTGGGTTTGGGTTCTTGGGTTGTTTTTTTGTGTTGCAGGCAAGACTGTATTTTCTAATTTGTTCACTTTTATAGTTGACATATTGTGCACCCTGGTGTACTTTTTAATATTTTGGATAGAATTGTTTCTGGTGCCCCCCACTACCCTTTCTTCTCCTCTCCCATCACCATGTATTGTATACATGGTTCCAGTGGTTGTTCATTAGGTTTAGCCGCAATTTTCCACTGGATTGTAGATTGGGAGTAAGCATTGAAATATAGTAGCTTTACTTCATTTAATCTAAAGTAACCTTTTTGTATTAACAGGAACAGGATGAGTCTCTTCTGGAAGATGTCTGGACTTTACTAAGGGCTGGAAGATTGAAAGAGGCATGCGCTCTTTGCAGATCTGCTGGACAGGTATTCAAATTTTTTGGGAATTGTGAGGGCGGGAACTTCCTCTTCTGTCCTGATAGTAATTCTGCCTGGACAGCCATGGAGAGCTGCAACTCTATTCCCATTTGGTGGGTTGGACCAATTTCCATCTGTCGAAGCCTTAGTAAAAAATGGCAAGAACAGAACCCTGCAAGCCATTGAACTGGAAAGTGGCATTGGTCATCAATGGCGGCTTTGGAAGTGGGCTTCATATTGTGCATCAGAGGTAAGAGAAAAATAGTTAAAGGAAGTAGCCTTTTTCCCCATATTTAATGCATATTCGTCTTTTCTTAATGTGCCTTATATTTTCTGTAATTCATATGTCTGGTTTTTTCTTTGGAAACCTTCTCAAATCAAATTTTATGAACTTTTCTGTTTAAGATACCATGAAATACTTACCAAAAAAATGGATTTGATAACTATTTAGGTCTGTACAAAGTGTTGTAGAGATGTCTGGCATCCTATCCTAATAGACTGTGTGCAAGTTTCGCTATTTCATGATTCAGTTATCGATGCACATGATTGGTTTAGTTGTTTTTTATGAACTAAAGTAGATTTTCTGCTCTTGTTTTATATCAAAGAGAATTGCAGAGCAAGATGGTGGGAAATATGAAACAGCAGTATATGCAGCTCAGTGTAGTAACTTAAAGCGCATTCTCCCGATTTGTACAGACTGGGAGGTATTTTTTTGACCCTTAATCATGCAAATGTTTTGGAATTGTCTATTTGGTTTTTAATTAAGCTGCTTTTATATATCTCTGTAATATTCTGTGAATTAACGGCTTGCTTGTGGCTATTATATTGCGGGAAGTGGAAACCCTAGAAGCTTTGTCATTTAGAAACATAATGTGGCTATGCAGTTGCAGAAATATGTAATTAGATTTAGATCAATATACTTCAGATTTTGCTGAATCCTTTGCATTAATAATGCTATCAATTATTGAAGTTCTTGTGGGAACGCAGAACCACAATGGAAGGAGTCACCACTTGGACGAAGACATTTCTAGAATCATTGGTCTGCAGTCATCACCTCCCATTAATGGGTAATTTTGTCTAAATAGAACTTCCAAAGCCATCTTGAGAAATATCAAATATGTAACTCACTTCATTGCCTTCTGCCCCACCTTTTTGAGAGAGACTATTTAGCCCTTGTTGCCGGATGGTTTTTGAACTTGTCATCTTTCCACTACCCAATTTCTCTCTTTTTTTTTTGATTCAAGTATATACTTATTAATAAATGGTGCTAAAAATGGGAGCCCGTTCCCATAATTTACACATGAGCATACAAGTGAGACTCAAAATATTAAAAACAAGGCCCAATATAAACTCTCTGACAACTCTACACCAATCAGTTGGCCTCAGATATAACCCATAAGTCAGAGGAAAGAATGCTCAATACAAAAAGTTTGACCTTGTGAATAAAATATCACAGTTGCCCCTAAATATCTCATAGTCCTCTATCTATAATGTCTTCATGAGGTACAAGCAAGGGAGCAGTATTCCACCTCTCCTGATTCTCTTCCCAATCCTGCTCCCTTTCCAACAACTCATCAAAGCTTCTAATGATCTAGGCATGACCCAAGTAATCATGAATGGCAAACATTAGGTACCAAAGCTCCCTCATGAAATTATGTGTTCGCAATTTTGGCTTTGATCTGGTGTAGTTTCATCCTGGTAGACAAGGTATTGAGAGTTCTGAGTAGGAAATGGCTAATTTAGAGACTGAGCTGGTATTTGTTATTCATCAAGTGAATGCCTACTTATGTCAAATCTTGATGCTCTTAGCTGCTCTGATATCATCAAACAATAGTATCTCATATTGAATGTTTCTCCCTTCCGTCCACTGCTACTTCTAATTTTAGAGTTTCACTAAAATTTAATTGGCATATTATTTTGCAGTCTGCATGTTGGGCATTGTCCAAGTCATGGCTTGATGTTCAGGTTGATGTGGAATTAGCCCGCCTTCAACCAGGTGGAGTGGATCAATTTAAAAGTTATGAAGATGCAATTGAGAGAAGTCCGGGACAAGGTGTTGGTGTTTCTGCGTCGAGTGTGGGATCAGAAAATTGGCCTCTCCAAGTTCTGAATCAGCAACCTCGAAATCTTTCTGCTCTTCTGCAGAAACTTCATTCAAGGTAGAGATGGATTTCATTTCCTGGGGGTATTTGTCACCTTTGTAGAGATTTCAAATTTTCTGCATTATTTAGTGACACAGTGCATGAAGCTGTTACTCGAGGATGCAAGGAGCAGCAGCGGCAAATTGAGGTAAGAGTCCTAACCTGTTTAGGGAAACGTTTTTCACGGACTTAGCTTTTGAGATGAAATTATTCAAAGTGGTTGATGATTTAAAAAATGACATGTTATTGGCCATCAGTACATTGGTGTTCTTTTTTAAATGGGAATATATAGTGAACTTATTGCAGCACAACCTAAACGGATCTAGAGGAACTTGTGAGGAATAAGCGAGATCATGCACACGAGTACCTGTAATTCTTTAGTGAGCATAGTGAATCCTGGTCATAAGCATATGAAACATCAAGTTGTTTGGTAATTGAAAATCTCATGATCTACGGGACCCTTGGGATAAATAATTATATATTTGAAAGGCAACCAAGAGTACGAGGCTCCTGTCACTTTGGGGTGTGGGGAGGAGGGTAGATGTGTGCAACCTTACCTTCGCATGTGGAGAGGCTGCTTCAGCAAGTTGAAATTTGACGCCTAAGCTACAATGGAACAACCATACCATTGTGCCAAGGTCCACCATTATAATTATTTATGTATGCGCATTTTAAAACAAGAGATGATAATATAAAATAGATGGCCACCACCAACAAACTGTGTATTATTCAACATGTTTGACTAGGGGTGATAATCGAGCCAAGCTCGACGAGCATCACCATGCTCTGGCTCGACTTGACATTTTGGGAAGGTGTTCAAGCTCGGCTTGAGCTCGAACATCAGGCTTTTTTTTTAACTTGAGCTCGGCTTGACTAAAAAATGAAAACTTCAAGCTTGGCTTGATTAGGCTCATTTTTTGTTAACAAGCTCGAATCTGAGCTCTGGCTCATATGAAGCTTGACCCAAAATGTAGCAGCATCAAAAGGCCCTTCGATTGTAGCAGCATCATTAACGGTAGCTTCTTGATTTCCACCAACATTTATGGTAATAGGGGGCACAGAATCAGAAGCCATCTGACCAAAACAAAAATGAAATTATATATAAAATAGCATATGAAAAAATCAGCTAGTATCGTTCTTACTTTGAAGCTAATGCTGACTGAAAAAATCAGCATATAAAAATCAGCATGAAAAATCAGCATATAAAAAATCAGCATAAAAAATCAGCAAATAAAAAATAGCTAGGGACCAAAAAAATCAGCATATTACAATCAGCATATAAAAATCAGCATATAAAAAATCAGCTAGTGACCGAAAAAATCAGCATATAAAAAGATTAACTTAGACGAAGGTGAAGTATACCAAGCCTTGGCAGACGAGAGACTGAAAGGGCTTCAGTTTGAGAAACGATGAGAGGCAGACCGGCTTCAGACGATGAGAGGCAGACGAGGGCTTTGGTTCGGGCTTCAGACGAGAGGTAGACGGTGCGTTTAGATTGGGTATGGGTGTATTATAGTTAGACACGTTAATATAAATGTTTTCCTCACCGTTGGATCTCAGTAGAGGCTTGGAATGAATGACTATAAATGGACCAGTAAAAATAATAGTAAAACTAGGTAAAAAATATCAAGCTTAATCAAGTCATTCGAGCTGCTTGAGCTCGAGCTCGGCTCGTTTATAAACAACCCTAAAATTACGTTCATATTCGGCTTGTTTAACATATTCGAACGAGTCCAAAACGAGCCGAACTTGAGTAGCTCAATTCAATTAACAGTCTTATGTTTGACATACATGACAATCTAGGATGCACGGACACGGACACGGACACGAACATAGACACGATATGGACACTTAGATACGACAAAGTTTGAAAGTATAGGATACGAGTATGGTAAGGATATGACTATTAAAATAATATAATATATTTTTTAGAAAATAATAAAGTTATAATATATTAAAAATAAGACGTAACAAATATTGGTTTTTTGATTAATATTGAAATAGATTAACATAAATATTCACCATTTTCATCAAACATAATTACATCCATTAATATTTATAGTATATAAGTTACATAGCAAAAAATATATTAAAAAAATATCAATCGCACCCCTTTTAATAATTAACCGTTATTTTTTAGAAAAAAAGATTTCTGGCTGTGTCATGGTTTTGTCCTAGCCGTGTCCAATTGAGTTCACTATTCAGGACACTCTAGCCGTATTCGACTCGTGTTCGTATTGGACACGTGTCGGTCACGACACTCCTCTTGGAAGTATCTGTGCTTCTTATATGGCAATTGAGTTTTGTCAAGGGTGGACTTTTCAAAAAAAGGTTGTATGAAATTGCTGGATGGAAAAAGAATACAACTCAGATGCCAAAATTAATATGACCCAAATCAAGTTACTAATTTGAAAAGTATACGAAGAGAGATTTTTGATAGGATCAGTTCTAAAAGTTTTAAAATCAAGTTACTAAATAATATTCTCTGTAAAAGAAGTTATGATTTTACACGAGAAAGCAATTTAAGAAGGGGATTCCAACAAAAGTAGAAATTTGCTTATTGTGGCCTTGCACCTGGTGCAACCTGATTAGGGTGAGAGTCATGTTTACCTACTCAACTCAACTAAAGTAAGCCTTGTCCCAACATGCGGCATAATGTTCATATTTCCTTCCTCAACTTATTGCCTATTACAACATTTGTGTATCTTTATTTCCTAATTCTTATGCCATGTCATTTTTATGTCTAGTAGATCCATCATAATTGGAGATAAATCAGGTATTTGTTTATATTGCCTGTTCATTATACAGAAAGACAAGTTCAAGCATGCTACTTTTTTCTTTTTCCCCTTTTCTTCTTGTTTCGTGGCTTTTTTTTTTTACTGGCTTGAAGGTGGTGGGAGGTGTTTACTCATTAATAGTTAAACACAGATCAGGCGACGGTGTTTTATTTTCTGTTTTGTTGTATGACTATGAATATATGAAGAATCTTCTAGTTTCTTCAATTGACTTGCATCTCATTGGCTGGTTATCTCTGACCCAACACTGCTGAACAGATGAATCTCATGCTCGGGGACATACCACGACTGCTGGACCTCATATGGTCATGGATATCTCCTTCGGAAGATGGTCACAGTGACTTCAGGTAAATTGGTGTTGCTTGGTTGCATTTTTCAAGTGGGGATTCTATGTCTACAGATAAACTAGATCTTTTATTTTAGATGACCCTTTGGCTGTTATCAGGAGGAGTCTTCTAGCTGTCATTTGGAAGCCAGATCAACAGATTATGGGCGTCAATATCTTGGATTTAAAAGCCTTTGATGGGAACTATTTATATAATTTTTGCAAGCTCTATTGGATAAAAAAAATAGTATTGTGTTTAGAGTGTGCCTCTTGAAAAATTGCACCTTTTACACATTCAAGACACAAGTGAGAATGTTAAGATGGATTTATGATAAAACTAAGAAATAATTAAAAATGAGACTATCCGGAGATAAAAACAGAGGTAGAATATATAGGAGATAAAATAATGGAGAATTGTCTTAGACCATTTGGACATATTTATAGACCATCTACTACTGCACCAGTTAAAAAGAGTGATGCCATAGCTATTGACGGTAAAACTAAATGAGTAGAGGAAGACCAAAAGTAACTCTAGATGTAGTAATAAATAAAGATATGATTACATATGATTTTTTAACCAAAAATATGGCCTTTAATAGAGCACAATGCTTGATTAGGGTTTGTGTAGCTGACCCCCAAAATGTTGGGGCAAGGTTTTGCTTTGTTGAGTTGGATGCACATGCAAAACACACTGTTAAGTACACATGCTCTGACACGTGCATTTTGCTTTCTGCCAGGCCGCATGGTGATCCTCAGATGATTCGTTTTGGCGCGCATCTGGTACTTGTGCTTAGATATTTGCTGAGTGATCAAATGAGGGATGCTTTTAGAGAGAAGATGATGACTGTTGGTGATCTCATTCTTCACATGTAAGCGGTTGTGTTCCTTACTGAGTGCCATAGCGCCTATAAAGATCAAGTACCATTGTAGAATAAGTTTCATAATTCTTAGAAAATGATATTCTCAAACGTGAATGTTGCTGTGTTTTCTACTTTTCTTTCTTCGTTAAGTATCACTCTGGAATGATGCATGTATCACATGTTCTTCCACAAGTGTCATCCTCACTGTGAATCTTAACGTGATCCCACCTAGTTTTTTTTGTCACATTCTTGTAGTTGAAATAAAGAAACAACTTGTTTGGATATTGTTGGTACAAGGCTTTGTTTTCTTTAGTTATTTATGAACAAACTATTGGGCTGTCTCCTAAAACAAATTGAAAGTAAAAAATAAAAAATTCTAGATGTTTTTAGTGGATAAGTATAAGCTACAAGGGGAGCTATTGTAGACAAAACCAACACATCATGTTGTTTTGGATTTGAATTGTAGATTTACAAGGGCTGTAACATCACGATTTTAAAATCTTCTAATTCACAGTGCTGGCATGTTACAGTAGCTAGACTGTCACTAGGTCCTAGAGTTTTTCAGCTGTATCTGGTAAAGTAAACCTTGATATGGGAATTTTTTGGATGATATCTCACTTTAACGCCTGAATGTGTGCAAGCTGTGGATATCACTTTCATGTTTTCTGCAGAATGAACGTTGCACTTTTCGTCTTTATGATTGTACAATTTTGTGGTTTGTTCAACAGATTTGGATTGCATTACTTCATTACTCAAGGTTTAGAATTTCCATGTATGTAAATATAAATTTACATTTTTAACTGCTGACCGCAATTTCAGGTATGCGATGTTTCTGTTTTCAAAGCAACATGAGGAGTTAGTTGGAATTTATGCTTCTCAGCTTGCACGTCATCGTTGCATCGATCTGTTTGTGCATATGATGGAGTTAAGGCTTAATAGCAGGTGTTCTTCCATGCAGAGCTGAGTTTTTTTTTTTTCCTGTGTCTTTACTGTTTTCATTCTTCAGATTTTATGTGGGATTGTCGTTTATTTCCATTAGCATCTGTGTTTGTCAATATTTGATTAATGAGTATTTTGTGAAGTTGTTTAGAATAGCTTCCTTTTTGTTTATTTATTTATTCTTTTTCTATTTTGGGGTGAAGAAAAGGAAGGGGGAAGAGGATGCTCATTATTTGCCTCTTCTATTCTAATAATATTTTCACAGAAAGCTTGGGATTATTCACGAGATTGAGTCCTACCTAGATTACTACTTCGTGTGTACATTTAGTTGGTTTTTTTCTCTCTAATCCCCCTTTTTTGCTTCTGAGTGTTTTTCCTTTTTTTTTTGGGGTGGGGGTAGTGGAGGTTTTTTTTTTTTTTTTTGTTATGTGTCTTTATGTGGGTGTACGATTTACACAGTCATCTACTTTGCTGAAGATTTAGATAAAAATGAATGACAGTCACGGCAGTGATAAATAAACACCAAGTTTCAACTATCGAGCACCAAGGAAAAAAGACAGTCGACTTTGGTCATGCCATACCAGCATGGCACTTTTTTCCCATCATGTGATGAAACAAAGAAATTTCTTAAAATGATTTTAGTAGTTATTGCACATATTAGTGTACACAATGTACACTGCTGAAATTTTGGTTCGTAAAATGAAGCAAACTTGACTTCCAAAGGGAAGCAGTTTGTTAGAAAATTATGTAGCCATAGGATGTGTGCAAGCATATTATGAACTTTTTGGTAAGCATGCAGGTGTTAGACTTGCCATATGGGATACAAGCTGTCTTTCACACTCTCCCTCCCGTAGGACCCGACTTGTCATGTTAGCCAATAAACCCGGGAATTCAAATGGGTGAGAGATTTGACCCACCGACCATTCGAGGTCCCTCTTTGATACCATGCTAGAGGATCCAATCAAAATCCAATTGCCAATAAGTGGAGAGGTCACCCCACCATATAAATCGGTATCAGGTGTCCCTAATCCTTTCATGTTTGATACTAGCTCTATTCAAAGGGTGGGAGGCAAATAGAAATTGAATGAACCGAGTTGCAAATAGAAACACAAGTCAAATTGAATTCTGCCTCGTAGTCTTTGGGCCATTAAATGAACCCGGCTACTCGGACATGCCTCACGGAGTGACTTACTTTAGTTTATTTGTTGGTTAATCGAGCTGGTCTTGAACAATATAAATTAAGTGCTTGATTCTAACAGTAAGAATGATAAGGTCGATTCATTCAAAGCATAAATGAATTGCTAAAAGAAAGTGTAAATAAGATGGATGCTATGATTGGAATAGAGTTGAAGGCAGATATGAGTTTCTCATCTTCAGCTGGAAATCACTATTGTATGAACAAGTCCTCGCACCAACAGCTCTAGTCTGATAAAGTGGAAATGCAAAATTGTTTGATTTTTTGAGTAAATATATCTGCCTGATGTTGATGAGCCTAAAACTTTTCCTCGGCCTCTTGTTAATAATGAGCAACTTCTGAAAGGTGTTTCTACAGATGGAGTGACTATTTTTTATCCCCTGGTTTTTATGCTTCAGCCACCCCAATCGTTTAATGCAGACTAGATTGTGAATATTGTAAAGAGTTGAGATATTGTTTTTTCCCATGGTGATTTTCAATACTAATGCATTAGAGCACAAAGTTCTTCAGATGCAATCTGAGTTGAGGATGTGTTTTTCCAGTCTGCCCCAAATCTCCTCAAGTACTTTTGCTACCATAACTCTCTTGAGGAGAGTTTTCCTTAGCCGGGGAGAATGATGGGGATCAAAAAGGAATTGGATGAAACTTGGAATTTAAGATTATGATTTTAATAATTTATTTTGGTATTATTTTATAATTAGGACTTATTGGGGTAAATTTGGTGATCTAGGATTTATTGGGTCTTGTTTATTGAATTATAAATATTCAGTGGACTAGGTGATTTGTAGTATTTTTAGTAGTGATGGATTGGGGTTAGGAAAGTAATCTAGGTTTGAGTGGGAGACTAGATTATAAATTATGATGTAATCCAATTGTTTCATTAGAATGAAATTGAGAATTTTACTAACAAAATTGAAAATTTGGTTGATAATTTGTGTTTCTTGATGAAATCCGTGCAAGGGTGATGCACCTTTATTCTTCTCTCTGCTAGTTTCTGTCGTTCTTCCCTATTCGTTCTGCATCACCTGTTTTCTCAACAAGTGGAATTAGAATACCATGTAGTTCAACTTGCATGGGCTTGGTCTTGCTTCAAGAGTGTACAACACCACCCATGTATTCAACAGTCAATGAAACAACTTCAGTTACTCCTATTGTAAATATGTATATCTCCAGCGGGTTAACTCTTAGTAGAAGATTAAAACCCTAACTTTTAATGACAGGGACATCGCTTTGTGACTCATATGTCATGTACTATTTTTGACCTTTTGTAGCATCAGATGCTTGAATACCTCCCCACAAGTTACCTTCTTATTGCCAACCACTGATTGGACTTGCTTCTTCTACAACAATGACACTGAGCTAAGCTTTGCTATTCAACCAAAGTGAAGACGACCTCAAACACTATGTAATTAAGACTTGACGAGCAAGATCAACCCAAACTTGAGCAATAGTGCCTCCTCTTTGATGAGATGTGTATGCTGGGCTTTTTCGTGAAATGAGATGCCACTGCATCTGTACTTTGCTGGAGTTTCTGATGAATTCTGACAACACCTGGATTACTGGTCACATTGCTTGCTGTTTACCATTGCTTCTAAAAAATATGCTTTGTAATTTTCTCTTTTGATATATCAAACTGTGAGGGTGAGTATTGTGCTACTAACTTAGGATGTCACTACATGCCCATATCTTTTAAAAATAGGAAGTTGTAAGTTGTCATGATTTAATTTGTTCTGCTTTTACTTGCTCCTTTGTTTGGTTTCTAATGTTTATATTTTCATGATTTTTCACCCTTCGACAGTGTGCATATCAGATATAAAATTTTCCTTTCAGCTATTGAATACTTGCCATGTTCTCCTGGCGATGATTCAAAAGGTAACTTTGAAGAAATTATTGAGAGGTATTTTATTTCCTTCAGCTCATTCTCATTTAAAGTAATAGTATTATTTGCACAATAGCTGAATATGTTTATACTTTACTTTGACAGGGTTCTTTCAAGGTCTCGAGAAGTCAAAGTTGGAAAATATGATAAGACATCTGATGTTGCAGAGCAACACCGATTACTGAGTCTTCAAAAAGCTATGGTCATTCAGTGGCTCTGCTTTACACCTCCTTCCACGATTAATGATGCTAAGATTGTTAGTGCCAAACTTCTTCTCCGAGCATTGATGCATAGGTAACTCACCATACGTTAATGAAGAGGATTTCATAGTTTGGTGTTTTGATTTTCTTTTTCTTTTCTTTTCTGACAAATGCTATTTTTGGTGATAATGAATTGAAGTTATGGTTTTCAAGTGTTGCTGGCTTTAAATCAGGAGTCAGCTTGATGTTTTTGATGTATTCATTGCTCTTGGTGCTTATAGGTTATAAGGTGGTGTTTTTGTAATTCGCCTGTGCTTCTCACATTAGTGTTTTTTCACATCATTTGCTTTTGCACTGTCATCATTCATGCTTGCAGGGTTTGCTTGATATCAATACTTAGCTGTCATTCTTTTCTTCTTTTGTGTACGTGTGTTCTTAGCTTCAGTCTCACTGAACATCTGTTTTTGATTATTTCCATAGCAATGTACTGTTCAGAGAGTTTGCACTTATTTCTATGTGGAGGGTGCCAGCCATGCCTAGTGGGGCTCACACTTTGCTCAGTCTACTTGCTGAGCCTTTGAAACAGCCAACAGAAACTCTTCTTTCTGCTGAGGATCATGATGTATCTGATAATTTGAGAGAGTTTGAGGACTGGGTATGCTCAATCCTTATACTATCTGTTCTGCTAAATGTTGTTCACACACACACACACACATTATTGGGTTAGATGTTGACTCCTACGGCTGTGGTTTTATATAGTGTGTTATGTTGTTGATTAGAGTGAGTACTACTCTTGTGATGCAACGTATCGCAACTGGCTAAAAATTGAGTTAGAGAATGCTGTAGTTTCTCCACTTGAACTGTCAAATGAAGAAAAACAAAGGGCAGTTGCAGCAGCCAGAGAAGCACTAAAATCGTCACTGTTATTGCTACTGAGTGAGTTAATTTGACTAACAAGAAAATTGTGTGTATATAGTGCTTACTTGTGTTGTTTTACTTTTAATTAGTAGAGTTGTGCATTTTGGCTTGTCATTTTATTTTGACTTCCATTTATGAGCTTTAAGGATTGTATGGCCATATGCTGAATTTTATTTATTCTAATCTCTTTATAGGAGCAAATCCTTGGTTGGTTCCTGCTGAAGATCGTAATTATGAATCAGTGGAACCTGTATTCCTTGAACTCCATGCCACTGTGATGCTCTGTCTGCCTTCTGGTGAATGTATGTTGCCAGACGCCACCTTGTGTACTACATTGATGAGTGCCCTTTACTCTTCAGTAAGTGAGGAAGTTGTTCTAAATCGACAATTGATGGTATGTTTATTTCCTTCTTCCTCTTTGCCACTCAGAAAATTTGGAAAGAAAATGAACATGCTGTTATTTATTGATTGAGAGACTGAAACTTTTTTTTGTTGGTGAGAGACTGAAACTTGCTGCCTTTTTGTTTCTGTACATTTATGTGTGCAATTGATTGGTATCCTTAAACTTGGAGTTCTTGTAATCTATTAGGGGATACTATTTTCTGCAGCCTATTTCAATTTATTTGGAAATATTCGTATTTGACGAATGGTTTGGAGCATATAAATTATCGGTGGAAACAATAGTTTTTTTTGGAAAACAACAGTAGTTTGTTCAAAAGTTGATTTGGAGGCTGGCACAGTAATGCAAGACAATCATCAGATTGGGAGAGAACAGGCTATAGGGTGTTTTTGCATTTTAATTGAGCTCAAAGTGCGGTATTATAGGCTGACACCAAATAAAGGAGAAATAGAAACAGGAAATCTTGTAAAACAGCCACGCAAGAGAGGAACAATGGTAGAGAACCAACTGTTCTCTGTATTCCTAGTCTGTGCTGATACGTGAACTGTATGTATATTATGAGCAGAAGGAACTTCATAATTGGTTTGAACCTTGTTATTCCAATCACGCATCTATATTTAAGATGAGTTCTTCAAGGTTTGGACATCCACCCGGCACCATGGTTTGCATGACCTTAACTTTGAGATGAATGCAAATAACTGGTTATAAGTATGCCAATGCTTTGTTTTCATGCTCTCTTGCATGTATTTTGCGTCATCAAGATGGTAGCAGGATTCAAAGTATTAGGAGCAACTATGACAGTTGTGTGTAGCATAGGAAGCTTTCAGATGGTTCATTTGTGTATTTGTTGCTATATGTTGATGACATGTCCTTGGCAGCAATCAACATGTCAGAAATCAACAGTTTGAAAGCTCAGTTAAGTAGTGAGTTTGAAATGACAGATTTGAGTGCAGCAAAAAAAAAAAAAGATTTTTGGTGTGGAGATTCACCGGGAGAGAAGCGCATGAAGGTTGTACTTATCATAGAGGAAGTACATTGGGAGGGTGCTGGAACGCTTTGGTGTGCAGGATTGTAAGCTAGTGAGTACGGGAAAAGTGCGGAAGAAACAGATGTAGAAATAGAAACAACTTCCGAAACGAAGGGGACTAAGGAATTAGAGGGATCCACTGAAGACGATCCTTCTCCTTACCTTTTTTCGGAAGAAAAGGAAGATTCGGACAAAATCGATGAAACAGAAGAGATCCGTGAAACTCAATCCCCTCATTACTTGCCAGTGAACCAGAGCTAATGATTGTAGACCCTTACCGTGGTAGAATTCACACCAATTTACTCTAGACAAAGATAAGATAATGATTTGGCGATTTGAATGCCATATATGACTTGACTCTAGTGTTATTTCAGGTGTAAAGCAAACCGAAGCGACCAAGGCGCCTAACGCCTAGGCGAGAAGCGAAGTGACACGCTTTACCCAAGCTAAGCAAACGGTTAAAAAAAAAAAAATATTTTAGTTTAATTACTTCTAAACATCTAAGTTCTGATTTTATACATACTAAATATTTAAATGCAAGTAAAATTATAAACATTTAAATTAAAACAAACACTAATAATTCAGCATTGCATTACAACATTCAGCATTAGGATTAAAAAAAATCAGCAATGATGATTATAGAAAATCAGCTCTACTATTAGCAAAATAGCATTATAGAAAATCAAAATATCAGCTATACAAACATTAAAGAAGCAGAAACATTAAAAAATTAGAATCTATTAGCAAAAAAAAAAAATTAGACATCAGCAGAAAAAAAAATCAAAATCATCAGCAGAAAAAAAAATTACAGCATTATGCCACTATCAGACATCAACAGAAGCAGGGAAAAAAATAGAAGCAACAGAAAATAGAAGAGAAAAGAACCAGAATCAAAAGTAGAAAAAAAAATCAGACATTAGTAGAAAAGAAAAATCAGAATCATTAGTAGAAAAAAAAAATTACAGCACTATGCCACTATCAGACATCAGTAGAAAGCAGGGGAGAAAAAAAAAATAGAAGCAGCAGAAACAAAAAACAGAAGAGAGAAGAAGAACCAGAAGCAGAAAAAAAAAATCAAAATCATTAGTAGAAAAAAAAAATTATAGCACTATGCCATTATCAGACATCAACAGAAGCTGGGAAGAAAAAAAAACATAAGGAATAGACCATCAAGGAACTAGAAGAGCAGAAGAGAAAAGAAAATTAGGAGAACCAGAGAAGAAAAAGAAAAAGAGGATCAGAAGAGAAGAAGTAGTTGCAGCAGAAGCAGAGAAGAAGAAGAGAATCATAAGAGAAAAGAAAAAGAGAAGAACCAGAGAAGAAGAAGAGAATTAGAAGAGAAAAGAAAAATAGGAGACAAACCTGTCACTAGCGAGGAAGGAGCAGACGAGCAGTAGCAGTCGATCGGAGATGAAGGAGCAGCAGTCAATCGTTTACTCTGATCTGATCCTGAGAAAAATTAGGGCTTGGGGTTTTATATTTATGGGATAAGGGGGTAATTGGGTGTATAGGCATCTTATAATTTTTTTTTCAGTTGTCCCAATCCAACGGCCCACAATAAAAATAAAACACAAATTCGCTTCGCTTAACTAAGTCGCTCTTTTTTTTCGCATTTCGCTTAATTTCAAGGCGCTCGTTTTTCTCGCTTTTCCCTCACTTTATTCACATTTGCTTCGCTTGGGGTGTTCAAGGCGAGAAGACTTCGCTTCGCCTCGCTTCTCGCCTAGGCGAGCTTTTCAAAATACTGCTTGACTCTATCAATTCTCGAGTCTGATACAGCTTGATCGAGTTTTATTTGAGTCGACCCAACTGAACTGATAATGCTATGTGTTACTCTAAATACATGAGTCCCAATTGCATTAGTCTTGACTCTGATGTAAATGTTGATGGTGTAACTTGGACTCAACTCAGTTGATTGGCCAAACTGGCAACCTAGGAAGCACAAACACTTCATTTTGGGCAAGTGTCGGTGTCGGACACGTCTGGGACACAGACACGTTAAAATGAGTGTTCGATTTTTTTTATTATTAAATTTTTTTTAGGACACGTTGGGGACACGTGGCCGACATGTTCAAGACACGTTGGGACACGCTGGGGGACACATTTTGAGATTTATTTTTAATTTTTTGAGAATATTTTAGATTATTTTATAATTAAAAATTATTTTTATAATTTTAAAGGTATATGAATCACAATCATAATATAAAAGAAGTTATAATCATTACATTGAACATAAGACATGAATTTAATATAATTTTGGATACGAATACGAATTTATATACAAATGAAATAGTCTTTTAATATGAAAGTAATGTGAGAAAAAATGGGATTACAAAATTGGAGTTCTTAGAATTTGATGAAAATTAGTATTACAAAATAGAATATTTTTTAAACTAAAAGTTGTAGAAGTCAATGATTATTGATCATGGATGTTAATGTTAAATGTGTATCAATATATCTTATATTATACTTCTTATGCAATGATATTATGATGTAAATTTTTAGAATTAGGGAAATAATAAATTAAAAGATTATTATGATAATATCTTTATTTATCACATGATTTTATATAAATATATGTATAAAATACATATTATTTAATGTATTGCTAACGTGTCAGTGTCCTATTTTTTTGAAAAATTTCATGTCGTATCCGTGTTCGTGCTTCTTAGTTGGCAACTAGTTTGAACTCTTCATCGTGGACTCCAAAAAGCAGATAAACAATAAGTAAAAAGCCTAAAATTTGAGACAAACTTGCAAAATCGAACTTGTGCCCCCCCTCCCCCCTTTTTTTGTTCTTCATCAAAGCTCACGACCATTGCACACGTTGGAGTTGCTGTCTGCTAGTGTGGAGTGCTGATCGTAAAACGAATTTTCCTCAGGTGATTTCCCTTTTCTCCACTCGCTCATCGTCTCCCTTTCTCTCTCTGATCTAAACGGGCATCATCTCATCTTTTGTGGACCGAAAGCCGGAGTAATGAAGTTGTGCGCGTTGCTTATCTTGGAGAGTTGTGGAAATTTTTATCTCTTACTCATATCCACATGGTCCATTGTTAGCCTTCAGTTGGATTACCCTTGGGTACAATTGACTTGTTTTTATGGTTTGTTGAGTAGTGGGCATTACGTGGGCTGCCCATGGATCTTCACCCAATTACTTGCGCTACATTGTCATCGTCTTCCAAATGAGTCCATGGACTATTGTGCTTAATTGCTTGGGACCAATTCGGGGTTTTTGATCCATGGGCTGATTTGCATTATTAGATGGTTTGGATTTTTTTGAACTCCTATTAGACTCTTCTTCCATGACTATGGTGTTACTATTAGAATTATGTCTAGGAATTTGGTTTGAGCATCATCACTCTTTTTGAATTAGTGCTCTCCTTTTGTTGTGTTTTAGCTTCATTGTATTTATTATTTTTTTGGATTACTTTTTAATGAAGGGTTATTTCTTTCTTAATCTTTAATTCTTAATAACTAAATGTAATGATTGAAAGTAAAATAAAAATTATGTCGTAATAATTAATCTAGATGGTTGATAATAAAATATTTTAGTAGGACACTTACATTTCATTTTCAATAAATTTAATGTGCTTGATGATCTATTTTTGGGTAGATGATGCTTGGATTTTATTGTTTACTTTTTTTCAAAAATTTTCCTATTTTTTAAATATCTTTTGGACGTTCTATTTAGTATTTAGTGTGTGTGTATTACAACTGATTGCCTCCTAAGTCTTCGGTTGATATTGCGCCTTGAACCATGGATAGCATGGTTCAAAGTATCGGCCAAGTCCGATTCGACTCGGCCCCTACCTAACTGATAACGATATGCATTACAATAGATCCTCGAGTCTCATTCGAATCGGGCTCGACTCGGAGACGACTTGGTAAAATTGGTGCATCTTGGACTTAACTCGGTCGACTCGGATGGACTCGTAGCCGAGTTAGATGATTTGTGTTGAAAATTGCAAAAATTAGTCATAAATATCAAACCACCGGCAAAAAATCAGTAGAAAGACAAGGAAAAAAAAAGATGAAGCTAGCACCCATTTGAAAGAGGAATGAATGTGTGAGAAACCCAAAAATCCTAGAGAAACTCACATACAAACCAAACTAGGAGCAATTTTTCAGTTTCCCACAATGGAACCATATGATATGAAAAAAAAGAAGAAATTGGAAGCAAACTTGGAAAAATCAGGCTCCTGCAATTGCAAGGGACTCCCGTTCTCCTTGCTCTTCTTCTTCTCTAGTTATCCTTGTCTTCATCTTGTGACAATCGATAGGAACAACGCTTGGAAACTGGAGCTCTAATCGTACTTTAACTTCCATCGATATCTCGTTGGGATTCTCTCTCTCTATATATATATCTCATTCTCTATCTATTTGTCATCGAACAATGTGCAAGAGCTAAATAGGCACATATGTTTTATCATTAAGTGGGATTATTTATTGTTTTTAGGTATAATATTTTATTTGTTAATTAATTGTGGAATTCTTTAGTGTTATTTAAGACGTAAAGCGAACCAAAGCGACCAAGGCTCCTAAAGTCTAGGCGAGAAGTGAAGCGAAACGCTTTACCAAAGCGAGACGATCAGTTAAAAAAAATAAATATTTTAATTTAATTACTTCTAAACATCCAAATTCTAACTTCTAACAGTAGTAGGCTTATACACATGTAATGAATCATATTTCATAACAGTTGTAAATAATTTCATATTGACTAGACAAGTAAAACAGAAGCAAAATTGACTGAACAACAAAACAAAAGTAGAATCAGGACAGCAAAACAAAAGCAGAACAACACTATCAGATTCAGAATAGCAAAACAAAAACAGAAGCAGAATTAGGACAACAAGACAGCAGGAAAAAATAGCAGAATCTAAAAAAAATAGGAGCAAAATAAAAAAAAAGAAGGGAGCAAAATCAGAAGAAAAAAACCAAGAGCACAATCAGGGAAAAAAAAAAACAAAACCAGAAAAAAAAGAACTAGAACTAGAAGAGAGAACAGAGAAGAAAAAAAGAGAAATAGAAGAGAGAAGAAAAAGAGGAGACTAACCTGTGATCAACAAGGAAGGAGCAACGATCGTTTTTGTCCAGCCTCCAGCGATCGTCTCTGTACTGTGTCCAGCGATCATGTAGGAGTAGGAGCAGCGAAGCTAATCTGTGCAAAATTAAGGTTTGGGGTTGTATTTATAGGATAAGGGGATAATTCGGTGTATCAACATCTTATACTTTTTTTTTCCAATTGCCCAATTCAACTGTCCATAATAAAAATAAAACAGCTTCCCCTCGCATGACTAAGGCATTTGCTTTTTCGTTTTCACTTAAGCGCAAAACGCTCTTTTTTCTTACTTTTTTCTTGTTTCAGTCACATTCACTTCACCTGAGGTGCTCAAGGCGAGATACCTTCGCTTCGCCTTGCTTCTCGCCTAGGCGAGCTTTTCAAAACACTGGAATTCTTCATTTGTCTTTTCGGTGACCCAATATTAATTGTATGTAGTTGTGTCTTTTTCTATTAACTAGCAACTAATTGCTTAATTAATCTATTGCATTGTATTTATATATTTATTTATTTAATAATAATATTTAGACTTAATTTGATGTCCTAATTTATTGTTATCATTGAATATTTGCAATACATCTAATACTAATTGTGACTTTTTATGTTCTTCAATACTTAAATTGGTCATTAATTATAATAAATATTTGTGGTAACCCCCTTATATTTTATTTTGAGTTATTTTTATGTGCAAGATTATGTATTTTAGACATAATGAATGATGATATTTATAAATTTTAGAATTTTTCATGATTTTTTCAAAAAATTTTGGGCCTTCTATCTAGCATATTGAGCATATCGACTGATACCGTGTTGCGATACTGTGATCGATGTGTATCAGTACCCTCTGAGTCGAATGTCGATATCGCGACCTTAAACCACGATGGATAGTAGTCATGTGAAAAAATGCATTGTTGTTTGAATAACTTGATGTTATATAGTGCCTTTAATACATCAATGGTACTTGGGCTAGGTATGGAGAATTGAAGCAAGTTAGTACTCTATGGGAATGGAAAAAACCCATTGTACCAGTTTGTGGTATTTAGCCGGGGCTTTGGCTTAGGGCATAAACAACTAAACGAGTGGCCCGTGATTTCAGGTGTGTTTAGTTCTACCATTGAATATTGGTGCTACTACATATTGTCATTGAAATCACTAGATATATTACTTTGCAGCCTTGCAAATATAATGAAAAAAAGGATTTATAATAAAAGTATAGATTAGATTGGATAAGGTAAAACTTGGTCCACCTTTATAGTATTATTGAAGGGAAGATTTAATTCTTTGAGGGGGTAGAGGCATGATGATCTGCTTTCACTTTTTCTCTTTACATTGGTTGTGGATGGATTGAGAAGATTGGTGGTTAGAAGAATGGAGTATGGTCTGGTGGAAGGTGTTTTAGTAGGTGATGATAGGATTTCTATGTCTCATCTTTAGTTTTACTAATGATACCATATTTTTCTTATCAGGAGATGAGCAAAGATTTCTTAATATAGTTAACATTGTGAATGCTTTTAGCTTGGTTTCGGGGTTGAAAGTGAATATGTCTAAGAGTTCCATTGTAGGCATTAATGTGCCTAGGAGTAAAGTTGAAGGGGTTGGGTTGTGAAGTGAGTGAGTGACCATTGAAATATCTTGGTCTTCCATTTGGAGGTGGCCTTTTGTCCTCAAATTTTTGGAATCTAGTTGGGGAGAGGGTGCAAAAAAAGTTGGATGGTTGGAAAATGGGGTGCTTGTCTAGGGGAGGGAGGCTTATTTTGATTCAAGCAGTTTTTAGATAATATTTCTACGTATTTTATGAGTTGTTTTAAGTTGACTAGGAATGTGCAAAGATTTTGGAGAGGATGATAAGAGATTTTTTATGAAAGGAAATGAAAAAAGGAAGAATGATCACTTAGTAAGGGGGGAAGTTGTGTCAAAATAAAAAAAGGGATTGACAATTGACAACTTAATAAAAAGGAATAGAGCTTTGTTGGGAAAGTGACTTCCTTGTGGCATTCTATTATAAAAAATAAATATGGAATCCATTCCAATAGATAAAACTTTAATGTGGTGAGTAGAGGTTCTTATCGTAATCCTTGAAAATTCGTTTCTCATGGGTTGGAGGATTTTAGAAAGCATATTATTGTGAGAGTGGGGAATGGGGAGAGAATTCGCTTTTTGAAAGATACTTGGAAGGGTAAGTCATCTTTTGCTTCTTTGTTTCCTAAGCTTTATAGGTTATTGAGATTCCATAATGCTAATATTAAAAGATTGAGTTGTATTTCTTCTCCTCATGACGGATGAAATTTTAATTTTTTCCGAAATCTCAATGATTTGGAAACATTGGAATTGACATATTTTCTTCCTTTAATTAATTTGGTTCATTTGGATTCCACGATTTGGAAGGCTGAAGTGTCTGTTAAGGTGCACGTGCTTGCGGGATTGTTGTTCGTAGTAAGGTGAATACTTGTATTTGTTACAAAAGAAAGGCCTAACAATTATCTTTCTCTTAATTGGTGTGTTTTGTGTAAAGAAAGTCATGGAAGTATTGATCACCGGTTCCTTCGTTGTCCTATAGTTATGTTTCTATGGTACAAGCTATTGCGGGAAGCACAATTGGTGTGGGTCATTCCTTGCGATTGTGTGTCTCTATTTGTGGTGTGGTTAAAAGGTTTTGGAAATGGGAAAAAAAAAACATCGACACTTTGGAGATGTGCTTGTATGGTTGTTATGTGGGTGATATGGTTGGAGAGGAATCGCAGAATCGTAGACCAGTTCCTTTGTTGTCCTATAGCTATGTTTTTATCACATAAGCTATTGTGGGAAGCACAATTAGTGTGGGTCATTCCTCGCGATTGTGCGTCTTTATTTTTGGTGTGGTTAACAGGTTTTGGAAATGGAAAAAAAGCATCGACACTTTGGAGATATGCTTTTATGGTTGTTATGTGGGTAATATGGCTGGAGAGGAATCGCAGAATTTTTGAAAACAGAGAGGAGGATAAAGAGCTATTGTTGGATAGAGTGAAGTTTTTAGCTTCTCTTTAGGCGGTGACCTCAAATCATTTTAGGGACACTTCTTTGTCAGTCTTGCAATATAATTGGAAAGTTGCATCGACCAAATTTTTTATTTATTGCTTTTATGTATAGGTGGATCTGTTATCCGCCATGCATGTACTCATTCAATTTCTATGAAATGAATGCTTGTTTGCTTATCGAAAAAAAAAGTCCCACGCAACCAAAAATAAGAACCAAAATTAAAATATCCCTCGTCTACATTCATTATTAAGAAGAGGGTGGGGTCTTCTGACAACTAATTGTAACATCGTAAATGTCCTTTAATGTGTTTCTTTCTTTTAATCATTGCTGAGTACTATGATCTTGCTAGTAGTGCATATGAATAATTTTTGTTGTTAGCTATTGTCTTGTAACTCTATTTGAAGAATACAAATTTGACCTACATAATGATGTCATCATACATCAAGCTGTAGTTAGATACTTGATGAAAATAGTTTGGTATATTATCGTTCACTCTTTGTTCTGGTTTGCACTACTCAAAGGTTGAACTGACATAATGAAGCATGATGGAATATTTAATGCTGCCAAGCCATATTTCATCATACAGAATTTTTTAGTTATGTCTCTCACACATGCACGTATTTACCATTGGTTGTCGCCATATACAAACATATTTTGTTGGACAGGTAAATGTCTCTATCTCTGCTGGGGACAATTACTGCATTGAGGTTGTACTTCGCTGTTTCGCAACAGAAGGTGATGGACTTGGGCCACACGAACTTAATGATGGTGGTGTTCTTGCTACAGTGGTGGCAGCTGGCTTCAAAGGTTGTTTCTGATTACACATTTGAATATGCCTGGTTTTCAGTGATTTTCCTAATTTCATATCTTTTGGCTCACCTATTGATTGTACTCCTTGCCTTGTGAAGACTTTACTTTCTTGAAGTCAAAGGTTTAAGTCTTCCACCCCCCCTCCCCCTCCCCCTCCCCCACCCCCACACATGCACACACGCAAAACCCAAAAAAAAACCTTCTGGCTCACTTATTGATTGTTTTTTTTTTTCAATTAATTTATTAATTGTAGGATTCACATACAACCAATATGTTTTAACAGTACATAAGAAATAATAAGATATATTGGAATTCGAATACTTGTATAGTTTATTTCTTTTTTTGTGGATTAGAGAGTTGAGAGCAAATTCTTGGATTTGTTCATGTGAACTTGCGGATCTCCTCATAATATGTTGTTTTAGTTACATGGATTGCTGGTCAATGGACTGCAGTTACAATTTACTCAGTTTTGGAAGTATGTATTCTTTATTATTCGCTTATTATCAAATCCTATGCTGGTATCTTACTAGTGGGAGGGAACAATCTTTCCAGAGAGGTAGCAAAACACCAGCATTTCTATTATATTTAATACTCAGTAACTCAGGCAACCAAAAAACCCACAAGTTTAGAAGGAGCTATGATTTCATAACATATACTCCACCTAAATATTCTTCTTTATGCATTTAGATAGCCATTGGAGGCACTTTTGTTCTTGATTTGCGTTATTTGAATGTAGTCCTTGACTTTCTTCTGTGATGGTCAAAAGTCCACAGATGTGTGGCTCCCTGTACATTAAAAATGGCACAGTGCAATTCTTGAATTCTAAGTGATTAACACATGTATAACATTTATAGGCAATTGAATAAAGTCTGACACAGGGCATCTGATGGGGATCTTCCTAAGAGTTAATGGGCATCATGTACCCATCCAAATGAGAGTACTTGAACAGAAACTTTGATGTACTCATATGGAAGAGATTGGAGTTTAGTTGATTGTTACCGTACAATTACAATTTTAAGCAGCAACAAGTATGTTGTGTCTTATGAAATATTTCATTGCAGGTGAGCTTGTTCGATTTCAAGCTGGAGTAACAATGGAGATCTCTCGATTAGATGCTTGGTATTCAAGCAGTGATGGTTCTTTGGAAGGTCCAGCGATATACATTGTGAGAGGTCTTTGTCGTAGGTGTTGCATTCCAGAAGTCGTTCTTCGGTGTATGCAGGTTGACCTACTTTCCAAAAGCATGTAGTCCTTTGTATATATCTTCTAATTATTCAGATTAGTATTCAAAATTTAAATGTTTTGCGAAGGGTCTGTAGAAATAGTTTGACTTTATATCAATGAGAAAATCATGAGGAAAGAAAAGCTATGAACAAGGAGCTTATTGTGCATGTTTCCTTACATTTGTAGGTTTCTGTTTCACTCATGGAGTCTGGCAATCCACCTGAAACGCATGATCAGTTGATTGAACTCGTTGCATGCCCTGAAACAGGATTTCTCTATTTGTTTAGTCAGCATCAATTGCAGGTAAGCAACTATTACATTGTTTCTTTATATTCATAGAAACAGATGATCAGTCTTTGCATGCACATGAATTATGTCCATTGTCATGTTAACTCTTTTGGATACTTCCCTTAACAAATTAGTCCTAACTTTCCCTCATTAACATCATTAATCAATAGTATCTGTACGGTACATATTCAGAAAATAGTATCTGTACACCTGATGTGGCTTTTGAATTATGGCCAAGGCTGACTGTTTCCTTTGATTTTGCTTGAAGAAGTGATGTTATTCAAAATGCCATTATTGGATTTGTAGGGACAGACTACTCCATTTCAATCCTAGTATATTCCTTCAAATGCCATTATTGGATCCAGCTGATGATGTTTTAATTTTCGTCTTTTATCCAGGAATTTCTACTATTTGAGAGAGAATACGAAATATGCAAAATGGAGCTTCAGGAGGAATTCACTTCTTGATCTTTTGGAGTAAAACTTAAGCTCTGATTTCACTGTTTGTGTATTTTAATGTGACTGGTTAGTGTATAGCATGGATGGAAAGTTAATGTATCATATCATAGTATGAGAAATATTTACAATGGTTTTTGGCTTGCTATCTCTCTCAGTAATCTCATTCTCGGCTTATATAGTGTCTATGCTTCTTAGCATGTATATGACGACACCAACTTATATTCTGAATGTGTCTCATCCTCATGAGGTCGTATCCATATTTTGAATTAAAAATGCAGCCACGTAACAAACACTCTATTGCCACGTTTTAGGCTTAAACCAAATGCTGATCATGAGACAATTCGTTCTTGCTTTGCCTTCATATTATGATTGTAAGCAAGGGCGTTGACGAGTTGGGCTGCCCTTAAAATTCTTTATTTGGCCCAAAACATAGAAGATTTTAGGTCCAATAATTAGTTCATCCGAACCCAATTATAATATCTTCAAGAGAGGGTTTAGCCTGCCTTTGAGTTTATTACCCACCCTAAAATCTGACCCATAGACCACCTGCAAAAATCCGATAAACTCCGCCCAAAAACCTGCTCCAGGCCAGCCTGCCCGTCCACCCCCTTTATTTGAAAAAAATTGACCATTAAAGATTAGGTGACAAATTTCTTTCAAAAAAAATAAGTTATTTACTTAAATATTTAATTGAACGATATAAAATATTATTCATTATTTATTTTTTGTCTAACTTTTAATTTAAAAATAAAATTTACAAAAATACTAAGTTACAAAACTTTTTAAATACAGATAAATATATAGAAAAAAATTTCGTCTAACAAACCCACCCAGTGAGTGGTAGGTTAAATTACGGATAACCTATTCCTACTCAAGCCCAGCCCAAAAAAATTCACAGGCCTAGCCCAACCTGACCTCTAACAAATATAGCCAATATAACATAGAATAACTGGGTGAAAGTATGTATGGCAATAACTCTGCGAGTTCCACATGATAATGAGATTTACATAATTTGATAAAATGTTTTGGTTTCTAAATGTTGCTGTCTTTCTTTCTAATTCCACATGGCTTGATTTGTCCCCCCACAAAGGCAGTTTTTGTAATGAATTGTATTATGCCCAAAACTTGCTAGTCACCTGGAAAGATGATTTAAGTGTTAACTGTAAATTGAATACGAGGTCTCTGGTGGCCGGCCTGGACAATCAATACGACCATCCCAGAAGAGAGAACGCAGTTCTGGAGAAACTGAAGTAATGTCTGTAAACTGCAAGGCAATGGCGGGATCACCAAATCTTATTTTTGACCCAGAAGAGGATGGTAATGACCCCAATGACAATGGCAACAGGGGCCCACTTTCGGATCAATGCCTACAGTAAAAAAAAAACAACGAACCAATATGAGGGTGACAAGGATGTATTTCAGAACTTTCATAATCAAACATTTCGTTAGAAGCTAGACATCAGATTTCATTCAGTGTTTATGGGCGCAAAGACCAAAAATATATCAGAAATCACAGAAACAAGGGTGTGCTAAACTCTTTTTTCCTTCTTATATCGCAAACGTGCAACTAGCTATATCAGTTGTTGCTAAGTCCAATTCCAACCATAAAGTCGCAACAAATATTAGCTACACTGAGCACATATGTTCCTTTTTTCCTTCTTATATTGCACTATGAAATTGTTGGATAGTTCAAATAAATTATGGGCAACTATCAAAACCCAGGGAAATGCAATCAATTAATCATTGCATTGACTTCCAATATTATTTTATTTTTATTTTTTTGCGAGAGGGCGAGGGAAACTTGAACCCTTGACAAGACAAAACCTTCACAAAATAAGAAGTACCATTGAACCAAACGGCCATTGGTAGCATTGACTTCCAATATTATTGGCAGGCTCATCAATTCTACAACAGAGTCAGCACAATAGGAGGCCTGAATAACTGAACTATGGACGTACAATCACACAAGGTACTCTCGGCATGCATTTTGTTCAAATACAAGTGAATGCCAAAAGCGCCACCTATGAGTGCACTTTATATAATTCTACTTTCTTGAGATGACTGCACATGCGATTATTCAATGCACGAAAGAATATCAAATCATAAACCAGGGTCTATGAAGGTTGATTTTAACCCCGTAACAGCAAAGTTCTCTATAACTTCTTCAGCATTCAGGAGAATAATGACAATGCTATAATATCAATTTGTTTCAATTAGATAAATTAAACATGCAACAAAATAGCCATACAAGCATGTCTTCTGCTAAACAAATACACAACTTCAACAGTGCATTTTGACAATGGAATCAGATTAATATACATATATATATAAATCTCTGCAACCAAATCTGAATTTCTTTTTCCAAGAAAGCATGTGTATCATCTGGTAATCCAATTTAAACTAACCTGTCGATTTAAATCTCTCGCCTTATCAGCATATACTCGAGATTCTGATGTCAAGCGGCTAGACATTTGACTCACCTCTGCAAAAGTTGATACACAAATAAATTCAGTCACCAAATTATACAGGAAAAATAGTACTACCTGCATAAACACCTCCCCCTCTCTCCCCCCCAAAAAAAAAAATAACAAAAGAGGACGTGGGGAAGAAGACCAAAACAAAACAATCATAGTTTGTACGAAAAGAAATGTTTGATCTTGGTGCAGACTGAAATTGGCCTTAGGGTGGGTACTCAATGTTTCAGTAGCCATGGGAAGAGGGGAAAAAAGAGTGAACTTAACAAGAATCCAAGATATCAGAATCCCTTGTGACATATTTGTCCTTTGATTACCTAGATCACATCATGTAACGTTCTACATCCACAAATCCCACTCAACTTTCCAACCCATTTCTAAATATAAGGTGAGGTCCGGAAAACTATAACAATGAAATAACTTACGATCCAACTTATCCCCAACACCAAGAACTTCCTGTACATTGCGTGTCATTATCTGGTGAACTTCATAGAGTTCATCATTCAACCTTGCAATGTTCCGCTGAGTTCTGGTATCCTGGTACAATTTCTTCGTTTTCTGTATGAATGTGTCTTTCAAAATTAAGAAGAAAACAAAATAATTAAATCTAGTGAAAATAGAAACATAAAGGAAGTACATGTAATGACTAAACACCAGTGAGAGAAGGTAAGATCTACCAAATTTTATAAAAGCGTAAGGTCTAGCAGCAGTTTCAATTTGACTCCCATTGACACGCTCAAATTCATTCTTAAGGTCTTCCAAGTATTGAAACGCAAGTTTCTTTGGATAAGCACGATCACACATTGTCAAATAACAAACACGCCCTTCAATAATGTAACTGAGAACGTAAGTCAAGAAAACATTTGAGATCCACAGAAGGTGGGGTTTCAAATGCAATGAAAAAGAGGACTAAAGCAAACATTGAGGTTTGAGCTCAAAACATGGACTGAATGCTACAATAAAAACAACAAAACAAAGTATATCTTCAAAAAGCAGCAGCATACACTTTTTAATCATAGAATTAAGCCTTGAAGACATATTAGACATGTTACTTGGACAAGCATATAGGATCATCAGATGAATGTCTTTTTCACACATTGCATCATATATGTATCTCCATACTTGGTCTTTGTTCAAAACCCTGATTAACAGGACTATAGCAGATCTCCACCTTAGATAATTAATGAAAACAAACCTGCCACTGAGATATTTCTGTCTGCTCAAAGTATGAACCAATATGCTTTAACATTGAATGCTAATAGAGAAGAGACCCAACCTTTCTATCTGAACCTGTCATCCTTACTCCAGATATCAGGCATTAGAACCAAATGTTTCTTTGGAAGGACAGGGAATAAGCAATTTCGCCTAATCAATTGTGTAGAGAAAAATTCACATGATGAGATGCAACCCAGCATTCAATGTATACTTGTGCAGGGAGAAAATATATAGCCCTTTGAAAAAACACATCACCTAGGAAATTTGTGGATTGGCCACATAAAGGTTGGTAGTATGTGAAGATGACAGTCGAACAAATAAAAACTAACCACACAATGAACTGCAGTCAACCCAACAGACAATCAGTCAAGGTATTTTCTTCTTAATGGAGCTGGTTCCACGTAAAAAAATAATCTCCATCTTATACAAAAAAGCTTGGGATAAAAAAGAAGCAACAAGACATTTGCAAGTCATGAACATAAGAGTCGTGTGTTTGTTGTGCAAATGTTTTGCAAATATACATAAGCAACAATGTGAAAAAAAAAAGTGTCACTTAACAACAAAAAGACAGAATCTTACGGTTGTTTCTATTCCATGATATTTAAATGTCGTGCTGAAATCATAAAGTGCTTGACTACCCCTAAAGTAAGGAACTCCTTTGTTGTGTCGACCAGAAGAGGAGGACCAAAATAAAAAGCAACAATATGACAACAAGCTCGTTATTACTATGTCGGGGGTGACAATTCGGCCATAAAGATACTTAAGTTTGAACCAATGAGATATTGCTTGAAGGTTAGTGATGCAGTTACTTGTTGCCAAGTGTTTTCAATAGATTGTAACCAAACTATATACAAAAGAGGTATGAATTTGAATTCCTCGAGTATTCTATGCATAATGGTAAAATTAGGCGAAGGCAGTTAACATGTTTGTCAGGTGTCAACTACATACATGTAAAGAGGAAAAAAATGAGATAATTTAAGGATTTGGATAGCTAGAGTGAGAGGATACTGGAAAACGTAAGGGCCAGTCTCTATTGACATTCTTGAAGCTTCATTTTGGCCTCTAGAGAGGTTCTTGAACAAAGCCTTGATTTGCTGTTTGTAGAATTCAGCATCTTGCATATCACGGCCATCATCGAGTCCCTCTGCTAGTGGAAGGCCATCAGTAACACGAGCAATCAGAGTTAACTTCACCATCTCTACTTCACAAGCTCTCAGCTACACAAGAACAAATGAAATTCATTAGTCACAGAAACATCATAAGGACATAGAGAGAGGGAGAGAGAGATCATGGGGTTAGAATTATTCTATAATGTTTTCCTTGTGTAAATGAGTTATGGTTTATTGAAAGCAAATGCAAGAGAAATGAGTATTGGAAATTTGGAATTCTAGGAAAATCAAATTGCTAATGGTTGCTATTGTATTCATACCAGCCGTTACGTATAATTGAATGGATCCAATCAAAACTCCTCCAATACATTAGAACTCTTTTACATGCTTCAAGCCTTCAACAAACAATCAAAGCATTCGTTTAGCCCCATTCTGATTGTGTTCTTATAAGTTTATCCTATAAGGGTTATCGTCCTTGATTATCATTATAGAAGATCAAACCCTCACCATTGGCTCAATTTTCCATTATTGTAAGAATGCAACAAATCAAGCTCCTCAACCTAAAGATTATTATGCAATAAAAACACCACCGAATAATTGGACTACTTCAACAATCAATTATCCGTCCGAGCGTAGTAATTTTAACATCGTTTCGCATCTAGAATCATCAGGCTCATATTTAAGAGAGTTTTCTTAAATAGTCAACTGAATTCCCATAAGATATAAGGCAAATAAACCGAAATTAAGAAAGCAAACTAGGAATAAGATTGAAGAGTGTAATCATATTGTTTAAATCATCATCATCATTTCATTAGGAACAAGAAATTCATGGTGAGCCCTTTTTATATCATGGAATACCTACGTCTCATGCGTATGTGTGCCTCCGTATATAGTGCTTCGAATCTTTTCTCCGATTTCGACGATCTGAGCTACGTTTAGGACAATGGGCGTAATTAACCAGATCGGATCAGATAAACAAGAGATAGGGTTTCCGAAGAGACAGACAGATACAGTGGCTGTAGTTGTAGGAAACGGAAGAGAAGAAAACAACAAAGAAAACGTAAAGAGCGTTTTCACTTTTCATTCCGCCCAGGCCCAGTGGCTCCCCTCGTCTGTATGCGGTGCGGTGACTTCTACATTTGGGTTTGGGTTCCCGCGTGCACCTCCACCACATTGTATAGCTTCCCCTCATTATATTTATTTATTGTAAATGTTTTTCTTTTTCTAATTTTTATGTGTTTTATTATGCCATTACCCTACAAAAATGAGTTTTATGCCCTAATAAATTTCACTCAATATTGGAATTGTTAACGATTTAATGGTCATAATAAATCCTAATAATTTTACACTTTAATCATTTGGTAGTTCTTGTAAATAATAAAAAATTGAAGAATAATCAAATTTTCATGACCCAAACCAAAAAGGAGAATTATTTGTCAATTTATGATAATTTTAAAATAAAATTATAAAACTACTGCATATTTGAATTTATTTATTAAACTATGACATTTAAAAAAAAATAGAGTTAACAAATTTTTTTAAGAGTGAATTTATTAAGTTTAACCCTCTCATTTTGCATATGACTGAACTTATCCGGTCAAATATAAAAAACGGGCCGACCCGTTTTTTTTAAATGCTAAATAATTCCCAAAAGGGGCGGGTTTAGATTTTCAATGACTTGCACTGCAAAACAAGAATAAAGCCTTTTTGCCTACCCAAAAAACTTAAAAACTCTTCATATATCAGTCTCTGAAAGTATAGTACCATACCACCGTACATCGGCCTCGTCATTTCTTCTTCACCATATTTCTCTCTCTCTCTCTCTGTCTCCAAATTTATCCGCTGCTTTTCGTTTCATCAGACGATGAATCGAGGTGGAAGGACCCCAAACGTTGGGGGTAGAAGAGGCCGATCTTCACGTTCCGGTGGCAATTCTGTTAACCGTCAAACACCTGTAATTTTATCATCTCTCCTCTGTTATTTACTTGATTATATTATTTTGTTGAATAATTACTTAATGAGGTAATCGATCAGTCGGAATTTCTTTTGTCGTCAGCTTGCTATTTAAGCTCTCGTTGGATTGAGGTTAGTCATGTCATTCTGACAATTGATGGAGAATATCGTTGAAGGTTGTATAGTTATAATGATGATGAAGGTCAATAACCCTTTAATTGGATAAGATTATGTCAAATTCTGGAGGTAAATAGAAATCAGTTGAATGGGGGAAAATGAGGTTTTAACATGGTTTATTGGCAATTTGGCATCAAATACTTCTTACGACAATCGTTTACATCATTTAAACTTGGATGATATGACAATCTCTCTTCATGTTCCAATGCATAGTGTGTTACAATTTTTGGAATTGTATGTTATCGTGCTTCAGTATTTTGGTCTGCTCTTTCTGCTGATTCTGTTGTAGGATATAGATGTTGGTCAATACTTATATTGTTAGAGAAAAGAATGATTACATTTCATTTTGAGTTGTAAAAGATGCCAAAAATGTATTTAGCTGCCTGATGACTTCACGGTATTATCAGGAAAAAAATAATCGTATGAGGAACAAGAAAAGTAAAAGGAAAACTATGATGTCTTATTATGACCTAAATATGTAATTTACTTGGGTTGATCGAATTTGCATTTAACGAGATTAATTTCTGTGCTAATAACAATCTTTACTTGGATACCCATGATGGTTCATGGCATAACAGAAGCTGTAGTTCTATTTCCAGATAGAGAAGAATGGCAGAGAAGGATTTGAAGTTCTCCATGAATGATTAGGGTGCTAATATGCGGTACATAAGTAAACTAGAGGCGAAGTGATTTGCCAATCAAGTTTCTGTTTACTGTGATAGGAAGTGTAGAATTCACGATTTAAATCTCACAACGCTAGTTGAATTCATGTGCTTATCATTGGGAAAATGAAAAAAAGAAAGAGTTCAATATCTGAAGACTTACTTTGGTTTCATCTTTTTATTTACATTTGTCTATAACCTTAGGCTGGAAGATATCTGATTTGAAAGGTTACAGATAATAAGTAACTGGAAGAATAAGTCCCAATCCTTCTGATTTCGTGATTCAGTTCATATAATTTCATAGATATTTGCTACAACTATCTAACTCCTATGGTTTCTGTTGAATGTTGGAATTGATGGATCTTCCTTATAGATATTGGGATCATAGAAATCCTAGCGTCCCATGAATTGGGGTCGATCCGAAATGTGGTGGGTTTGTGATGTAGATCGCTCAATGTCCCAACCCTAAATTACAACTCAAACTGTAAATTGATTCATCATAAGCTATCTCACATCATAACCCCCAACCCCAAGTTATAACTCTAACTTGTTATTTCTTTATTTTGGTGTTCCTTAAACTGATATTTTGATAACATTTATTAGAAACATAAAATAAATATTTATTAACTATGTGTATACATATATATTATTCTATAGAGAAGTTACAAAACGAGCCACTACACAAAACAGCATACCAAATAAACCTATCCCCATTGTACAATTTATTGGAAGAAGTATCGTACCACATACCAAATCAATCCACGATCTGGGTAACATTGTTCCTACGATGTTTCCCTGTGTCGTACGGGGAAATCATCCCATATTGGGAGGCAAGTTTCAGGCGAAGTTCTAGGGGTAATATTTCAGAGCAGTTTGACTGCTCTTCAAAGTCAGACCAACTACCAGCAGGATTATCCTTTGCCTGGTGTGCAAAACTTACCATCTGATAGAAGAAATCTTAGGCTCTTGCAAGTTCACCACAGGCTGTGGCCATATTTCAGAACAAGAGTGTTTGAGTGCCTCTCTTTTTGAATTGATTAATTATTTTCCCTCGTCTGCTCAGGCTGATTGCAAGGACGAATATTTTAATCTACCGAGAGCTCAGAGGGGACAAACCTCAGATACAGGGACAGAGAACAAGAGTTTATCACCATTTAATCTTTCATCTGTTGTTGGTACTTCCTGCATGGCGAATGAGGCGTCACTGCCTGTTGAATCGGGCATTAAAAATGGGTCATTTAAAGAGGGAAACCTTTGTGAGCAGAATTCTCATGAGAAAACAGGTGGAACCGCCATATCAGAGAGTTCTGATAGCCTGCCTGTGGGAGTTCCCTTTGACATCTGCCAAGAGAAAACTGAAACTCTCATCAGGCTAAAAGCTCCTCTTCATGTCAGGAACAGAGAAAAAAGGATTGAAATTAAGCGCACCATGGAAGGGCAAAACATCAGTATATTGAGACCTGGGATGGTTCTTCTAAAGAGTTACCTCTCCTGCAGAGATCAGGTGCTGCTTGACATTATTCCTTTTTTCTGAAAGTTCCCTTTTGTTTAAACCCAATGATTTGTTTCTACCTGATTGCATGTTTGATATGGTAAATAAAGGTGTTTACCTAGTGCCTGTACCGCTTGCATATGGTATGAAGAGGACAGACCGGGTGTGATGAATACTTGACTTTTACCTATAGTAGCTATAGAGATGCTCATGCACTAGAACATCTTCCCATTAGAATGCTTCTATTCTCACTGCAAAGTGCACTCTACATATAACGGAATGAAACAACAATAAAGCAATCCATATTTTCGTTTTCTTGATGCCAAATTGATTCGGATTATAAGGTTTGGTTGGCTTATTTTGATGCAGTTAGCATACCAATTTGGTGAGCAATCCTATTCGCCTATTGATTAGTTTACAGAGTATAACCAGGCTGTTTGCCATTCTTTCTTCCTTCTGATTGTTTGTTAATTAAGCTTTCATTTCTTTTGTTGTGTCTAGGTCAGCATAATTAAAACATGTCGGGAGCTTGGCCTTGGTACTGGAGGTTTCTACCAGCCTGGTTACCGCGACGGAGCCAAGCTGCATTTGAAGATGATGTGCCTTGGTAAGAATTGGGACCCTGAGACGAGTAAGTACAGTGACCACAGGTCAATTGATGGCGCTAAACCACCTATTATTCCTGATGAATTCCATAAGTTAGTTAAAGGAGCAATACAAGATTCCCATTCATATTTGAAAAAGCAGTTGAATGCAAGAAATGTAGAAGGATCTCTTCCCTCAATGTCGCCGAACATCTGCATTGTCAATTTTTACACGAGCAGTGGCAGGCTTGGTCTCCATCAGGTTTGTACTCTGTATTTTATTCTGTCTTTCATATCTGTATTCCTGAAGGACTTGTCATACATTTGGTTTTTTGAAGGACTTACAGTTACTATAGCGTTAACCAACTTTATTGGTTATCATAGGTCAATTGACGGTACTAAATCCTTTCATTCATGGTTATTACTGGCATTGTTTTATGAGGTACATGGTGACATCTATGGATTTGTCTCCATGCAGGATAGAGATGAAAGCACAGAGAGTCTTCGTAGAGGACTAGCTGTGGTCTCTTTCTCTATTGGTGACTCTGCTGAGTTCTTATATGGTGATCAGAGGGACATTGACAAAGCGGAGAAAGTCACATTGGAATCAGGAGATGTGTTAATATTTGGAGGGAAATCTAGGCATGTATTTCACGGGGTGACTGCCATTCATCCAAACACTGCTCCTAAGGCTATGCAGGAAGAATCAAATCTCCGCCCTGGCCGTCTGAATCTTACTTTTAGGGAATATTAACAATCTTCCAGGTTCACTAATCTTCCAATATGTTTGGAGACTTTCACTTATATGTATAAATTTGAAGAATGTTCGAACATGTTTGTACATCCGATTAGTCCAGATGTACATTACCCATCCTGGAAGACTTTCACTAATCTTCCAATATGTTTGGAACTTTTAATGTGATCCCCCAAGCATCGGTTGATCTGGTTTATGTAAATAGCTACACTCAAATAGTGGTCGCTTCAGGTCAAACCACAATTGCTGGTGAAATTAATATGCAACCATTATCTACTGCAAGCTTGCTTTCCCAAGTTGGTGGGACGGGTAGTTGCAGCTTCATGTCACAGTGCCACTTAACAGCAGCACCCTCTTCGCTTCTAATGTTTCCGTAATTAGGATACCACTTATTCCCATTGCGATTTTCGAAATGGTGCAGTATGGAAAAATTCTCTTGTTAGTTCCAGGTCCTTATAACTACATGGTCTAGTATCAAATCTTGAAATAATCTACCGCTGAATATGTTTAAGTATAAATAAGTGGAATGTCACAATTAATGATGTTAGTTATAATTAAGTCTATGAATCGTGTTTGCTATGAAGTACTTGAACTGGGTTTTCTCTTTCACTACTGTACAAGTTGTCCAAGCTGGGACTACTGTTTGTCTATCTTCTAGTACTGTAATGTTATGCTACTAGTAATTTTCCTCAATAAATTAAGCTTGCTTTGAAGAAAATGCATGCCCTATCGAATGTTATGGACATAAATAATTAATGTCGAAAAGGGAAAAACAGGACCAGAATTGAAACATTACGATTAGCACCAAAAAGGTAATTTAGACAGATTTAAAAATAAATGTCCAAACCATTGTCTTAACAAGACTATAACTCGAGAGCCAAAATCTCAATAACCATTTTCAATACTGGCACCGTTACATCACTTGAAAATTTCAATCAGAATCATCAACCATTGATTATAATAATATTTCCTTTTTTTTTTTTTTTTTTTTTGTTTTTTGTTGATCCAAACACTTTATCCAAAATTTCAAGATTAAGTCTTATTATATATAAGATGAAATCAATCTTCACACCACAAGCCTTCTACACCAAGAACATTCGCTTGATCGTTGATGACAATTCAACCTGTTTTAATTGTTATACCAAGACCGTCAATATTTTCTTTTAGTGATGGAGAGGATCTGATGAGTGGACAAGTGTTCAATTTGTGAGTGTAGTTTGTCCATCTTGGTGCTCACTGATTAATACACATTTGAACAACTTAAGCAATAATTAATAAGTGTAATGTCACCATCTTCTATGTTATGAAGTTTCTGTAGAAGACGTCGCCTTTCATATTGTTATCTATCTTCCATGGGCTTGTGAAGAAAATTAGAGATAAAAGAGACACCGAAAAGAGGCCATTAAATTCTATGAAAGGAGTTTTAAGTCTAAAATTTGATTTCATGAAAGAATCCAATGTTGTAATAAATATAAGAAATAGTTTTTTCGGGGTCTAAAAATCTATTCTAAATTGTTGGCCTAACGAAACAATGGTGAAAATGTTAAAATAGTATTATTCTAGTTAGAACTCTTTGATATATTCTTTAAGACCCACATCACTTAACACATTATGAGGTCACTAAATTAGTTTAGTATTATTGAAATATAGAAGTAGTGAAAATTTTTAGTGGGACAAATTTTAAACAAAAAATTTTCAAAATTGCATTGGGGACCGTGTGTAAATCTGCCACTGATGTGGGTTGAGTTACACCTATTTGGTATAAAGTTAAGGCGAAATAAAAATGATTTGAATGAGTTTTTTAGGGTGTATAAAATTAATATAAAGTTATCAAGCATAAATGAAGTTACAGTTTGCAAAATGTGAAGTTATAATTGTTTGGGGTAATTCATAATCTATTGGGAAATGTGTAAGCAATCATGAATAACCTTACTCAGTTGTTACTTGAGTATTAAAAATTGTAACTTTCATGGTTTTTAACCTTTTAGGATCGTTTAATTAAGGGCATTGTGTAGTTGCTTGACTAGAGGATTAAATATCGTGCTCTATATATATATATATTTCACCAGTTCTTCAAAATCTTCAATCATGGAGGATGACTTTGAACAGTTTATAAAAGCATTTGCTTCATGGAGATTTTTTAGTAAGAGGTTAAGCAAAAGCATTTGCTTCTGTTTCCGCCCGAACCAGGCTAGCATATACACCATCAAGATGGGAAGCCATGAGTTTATCATGGCTTCCATGCTCCACAACTGCACCATTTCTGACAACGGCAATGGTATCAGCTTCTCGGATTGTAGAAAGCCGATGAGCCACCACAATTGTTGTGGCCCTCTTGGAAACCTTCCTCAGTGCTTCCTGGACGTGTTTCTCTGATTCCAAGTCCAGTGCACTGCTAGCTTCATCTAGTAGTAGCACCTTTGATTTCTTCAGTATAGCCCTCGCTATTGCAATCCTCTGTTTCTGGCCACCTGATAGCTGAACCCCACTCTCACCAACCTGGCAGGAAATAAAACATAATCATAGGTGTCGTGTCTCAGATTAGACAGGTGATATAGTTTGTTCAAGCCATTATTAGATGCAATTTGAACTTTCCTTGGCTTGAACATAAACCAACTGTTTGGGAGGAATCTCTGTTGCTACTGTCATTGGCCTACATAATACTGGAAGACTAGGTAATTTTGTTTTCAGATTCAGTCTATCACTGTCAGGGGACCTAGTGTTCTACTCATGAGGCCATGAAAAGCTTCCATTCTATAGAAAAAAGTTGAGTTGCTACTAAGCATATTAGTCTCATTGTGATTTCAGCATTTGTCTGTCCTTTGTAAAACTCGTAGTAGATGTGATGCTGAGAACAAAACTGTAAACTCGAATAATGTGAATGATGAGAAGTGTTTACATACTGATAGTAGTCATACCTCAGTTTCATAGCCTTGAGGGAGGCCAGAGATAAACTTGTGAATGTAAGCTTCCGTTGCGGCTTCTTCAATCTCTGCCCATGAAGCATTAGTATTCCCAAACACAATATTCTCTCTGATGGTCCCAGCAAACAAAGCTGGCTCTTGACCCACCAAAGCTGTTTGCCTCCTCAACCACTTCAAATCAAGCTCCCTCAAATCCATACCAGCCATCAATACTTTCCCTTGAATTGGATCATAAAACCTCTGTACCATCCATACCACTGTTGATTTCCCAGATCCACTTCCTCCTACCAGGGCCACCATGCTTCCACCTTTGACCTTGAGGCAAAAATCTCTCAACACAATCACATCAGGCCTTGAAGGGTATGCAAACGTCACCATCTTGAATTCAATATCAAATGGCTTCGACCTTTCAATCTTTTTTCCTTTCTGGTGATCATTTCCTATCAAAGGCCTACGATTAATGACATCAAAAACAGCAGGGATTGCATTTGAGGCCATGGAAGTATCCGGTGCAAGGCCAGCCAGTTGTCCAACAGAAAAGGAGCTCAGAACAAGTATTAGAAAGATCTTACATACATCACCTAAATTCTCATGGCCTTGTTTCACAAGGTAAGCACCAAACCAGAGAGTGAGAGTATAAGCTCCATACATGGCACCTTGAGAGATCCCAAGGGCTAGTCCAAGAATTTGAGATCGCCTAACTGAAGTTTTCTTTGGCTCAGACAAAGCTCTGTCAAAGGATTGAACTATCTGTTCTTGAGTTGAGAATGTTGCCACTGTTCTCACATTTGACACGGCACTTGCAGCGATACTGCTAGCTTTGGCGTATGAACTGTTATCTACTTTAGGGCCAACATTAATAAGCAAGCTGAAATAGCTTGCGCCAAGCGTGAACGGAGTGAGAGCAGTAGCCAAGAGGGTTAATCTCCATTCAATAAAAAATGACACACCAAGCCCCACAGCAGCTGAACTCAAACCCATTAATAGAACAGAGAACCGATCACCAAGCACTGACCGAAAACTGACACAATCAATTGAGAGCCTTGAAACAAGTATGCCAGTGGAATTCTTGTCAAAATCAAACCAACCCGGTTCTTGTTTCAATATAGCTTGGAATAAAAGACCCCTCACCCTCTTGGTGAGCTTTGCACCAGCCCAACCACAGAAACCTTGCTGGCCAGTCATGGAGATTATACATCCAAGGCCAAGTCCAACCAGTACCAAGCAAAGGTTCCCAACTTCTTTTTTCAACTTATGTGTCTCTGGATCGAAGTAGACTTTTAGTGCTTGGCCCAGAATCAAGGGAAAGATGGAGAGAATAGCACCTGCATGCATACCCAAAGTCAGACCTATTAACAGCACGATAAATTCTGGTCTCTGCAGGTTCAATATCTCTGAAAGTCGATATGTTCTTGGCTTTTCTTGTTTTTTTTGTTTCTCCTCCTCTACTTGGTCTTCTCCCGGCATAGATTTCAAGTATTTAGATCTTGAAATTTCATATGCATTATTTGCTCTTGATACATCGTGGACTGATTTTTCATATGCGGAGAACTCAGCATCCTTTTGAATCTCATTTTGTTTTGCCACAGGTTTTAAAACCGCTTCAGAAGCAAGCTTGACAAGATTATAGTACAGTCCAGCATTTTCCATGAGCTGGTGATGATTGCCAACCTCTACCATGGATCCACGATCAAGAACAACAATTGTTTGAGCATTTCTTACTGTTGCTAGCCGATGAGCAATAACAATGGTGGTTCTGCCCATTGAAATCTTGTCAATGGCCTGTTGAACTATGGTCTCAGACTCGGGGTCTAAGGCACTTGTGGGCTCATCTAAAAGAAGGATTTGGGGATCTTTTATCATGGCTCGAGCTAGTGCAATCCTCTGTTTTTGACCACCTGAGAGTTGGGTCCCTCGGTCTCCAACCTGCCAAAAGGGTGAATTGAGTGAGTTTGAAGGTATATGCTTATTACGGTATTGTGTTTTCAATTATACGAATGAATAGGTGTGCCTAATTGAATGTGGATCTGGATGCTTGGGTTTGCATATAGTGCATAAATGCATTTTGATGGATAGGAACAATATAATTCAAACTATTGGAGCCTTGAAAAAATTAAAAGAAAATAAACAAATTCACAGTATGGTACCTGGGTATCATAGCCTTGTGGAAGGTTAGAGATAAAGTTGTGGGCATTGGCAGCAATGCAAGCTCTAGTAACCTCCTTACTGGTGGCATTCTCCTTGCCCATCATCACATTTTCTAATATGGTGGCCGCAAACAGAACTGGTTCCTGACCAACCATGCCTATCTGACTTCTTAGCCACTTAACTTGCAGCATCCTTAAGTCATGACCATCCAAAGTGATCAAACCTGTGAAAAAATTTAACAATCCAAACCAAATTAACCACCTTACCTCGTACATTCCTTTAGAGATTGGAGCCATTGCAATGTGTTCCTGAGCCTAAATTCTATGTTGATTGCTCTATCATAGTGTCACTGTATCAAGTTACCATAAAAAGATCATAACCTTACCTTGGTTAGGATCATAGAACCTCTCAATGAGAGCAAAAATTGTGGATTTTCCACCTCCACTGGAACCAACCAATGCGAGAGTCTTCGAAGATGGAATTACTAAATTCAGACCACAGAGAATTTGAGAAGCTGGACGAGATGGATAAGCAAAAGTAACACTTTTGAACTCAATTTTTCCACGAACAGTTGAGAGCCTTCTCCCTGCTGGACTGTACGGATCAATCTCTGGGACTCTGTCTATAACTTCAAAAACTCGGCTAGCTGCTACGGTTCCTTGCGCAAATTGCGCAAAATATGATAGTGACAATGCCAAACCCCTGCAGAAATCCTATACATCATTCATTCTTCATCATTCTAAGCGAAATCATTTCTATGAAAACTTACTTGCCTCTCCAAATAATCAATTGCATGTTACTTTTATATAATGCTTCGCCATTCAACTATTACAATAGCATCAATTTCTTCAGGTTCACATTGAATTATTTAATTGGACACCTAAGTATATTAAATTCAAGTTCTGATTTCTGTTACCTTGGTGCACGTCAGAAGCCACATTTTTTATTATGTAATTGAACTTGTTTCTTAGGTACTCTTTTGTTTCTTTCTGAATTGTATAACTTTGCGAGTGTGGTTACAATGTTCATGCAGGCAATTTGTTTGTATGTGTGCGTGAGAGAGATATAGAGAGAGAGGCTTCATTACCTTCCCCCTACAGTGACACCAAAGAAACAAGCAATTGCTGCACCTCCAGAGATCTCTCCGTTGGCAACCAAAATTGATCCATACCAGAAAGCCAATGCCCATGTCCCATAAGTAACCAAATATATAACTCCTATTCCTGCACCTTTAGCAAACCCAATCTTTGCCCCAAATGGTGCTGATTTCTTCAATAATTCACCATATCTTGCGGCTAAATGATCCTCTGCTACAAAAGAAAACACAGTTCTGATGGAACTGATGGCTTGCTGTGCAATGCTACCAGCCCTCCTATAAGAGTCCTTCAGACAAGGCACCCAAAAAATTTCAGGAAATGCAAAGAATATATAAGCAGGAAAATGGGCAATATATAGAGTGCCATTCTTTTTGCTTCTCACCTCTTCTTTAGCAGTTAGGCCACCATATACAGCCTTGTAGGCAATACCACAGAACATAGTTAATGGTGTGACTGCAAAAACTGCCAGAGCAACTTTCCACGATTTCAAAAAACCGACAATGTAACCACAGATGAAAGTAAATATGTGATGAACGAAATGTGCCATCTGGGAACAACAAAATTTGAAATGGATTAGTATTGGTCATTACATATTACAGAAAACAAACTAGTCAACTGGTTAGCCGGTTAGTGACTACCATCCTCATTTCTTATAAGTTATAATAGTAGGCTAAGTGCAATGATGTACCTAAAACAAAGCCTGCGGGCTAAACATAACCTTAGTGAACTTGTATTCAAAAGGTACATCATGAGACTCATAAACTTGTGATTTTCCAAAAAAAAAACTTTTGTCAGAAGCAAATGAACAAGCAACTTCAGAGAAGAAAACAAGTAATTCATTTAAACTTAGGACTATTTCATTTATATTTAGAAAGTCGAACAATAGGGACACTGATGATGCAAGTCCAAAAAGACCTAGATACCACGTTCTTCGGCAGAGAAGCTAAGAATAGATAGTTATGTTCAGAAGGCTGACAGAGGTGCACATATTCAGCAGAATTAGTGTTGTACTTATCTCTTTTAAGATTTTCTTTCTTGCAAAGACACCTGAATTAGTAATCTGTAAGAAATTATTCTAGTTGCATTTTGATAGATCATTTGGGGTAAATTTCCAGTATCTTGAAACCGAGAAAAAATAAATACTGATAATAACCTTGTCGCCCATCACTTCTTGGATTTGTGCAACATCACTTGAAATTCCATGCATGATATCACCTGTGCTTATTTCTGTGTCAAAAAAACCAATGTCTTGCCGCAGAACTGCTCTTAGATACTGAATTCTTATTCGATGAGCTGATCGCTCCCCCACCATTCTCCAACAAGTGATCTCTGCCAATAAATGGCAACAAAATTCTATGGGTCCAAAAGAAGAGAAAAAAAAAATAGAAAGACAGAAAGAAAGAGAGAAAATTAGCTAACTCACCCATATATGCTCCAACCACAACGATTGCTGATAATCCAGCCATTAGCTGACATACCTGAAGATAATTAATGTACAAAATAAGATTCTCATTAAGGTCCAAATACAAATCCTAATAATTGATCAGTTGTAATGCACTATTTATACCAGTTCATAAACATACGATAATCCCAACAGTGAGGGTTCTAATACCTATTGCTTTAAAAAAAAATTATGTAAATATACAATCATTTTCATATTCATAATCAAATATAGGTAATTAATATGTACCTTTCCCACCTCCCTCATCATATGGTCATTGTCATTGTTTGGTCCAATGGCAAGCTTGTTCACAAATCTCCCAAAAAGAAGAGAATACCAAGGAAGAGATCCTCCGTTTATCAGAGCTCCCAAACAACCCAACATCACAAGAATCAAATCAAACTTTGTTGAATACTTGAATAAGCCAAAGAGCCCAACTGACTGTGGTGCCCCAACATCAATGTCCTCCTCATCTTCTTCTTCTTCATCCTGTGTTGATTCCTCACCAATGTCACCCCTATAGTGATGACTAGTCGAATGCCTAGCATCATGAACATGATGGCTATGTTTTTCATAACCATGTTCATAACTTCTCAATCCACTATCAGCATTATCCCTGTTATGCCCAATATGATGCCCAACACGACCATGACTGCCATGTGATATTCCATGATCATGCGACATGTCATGACGATGTTGATCACCGTGCCTGCTGTGATCATGCAGCACCCCATGAAGATGATTATGATGAGCATGACCACCATCCCTGACATCCTCTGTATCAGCATCTACATGAGAGAGTGATACAGAAGAAAACAATCGTGGATCCTGATTTCGTTGGCGATTTGGGTGTGTTTCCCATAAGCGTAATTGACGTTCTGCATCTTCTTGAGTGTCATAATCAATCAGACTTAGCTCATCCTTATCAGCCAGAGGACCATTGTTTCCCGTGCTGCTCTCTTTAATGGTTGATAAACTTTTGAACTTGCGTACATTGCTATATTCACCGGAAGTGTAACCCCTTCCGGCGAATGAATTATCATTTTCTGTAGCCACATAGCTCTGGAGCTCAAGCCTCGCCAACGGCAATGCATCATTGCCCGAATTAGAATACTCGTAAAACGGATTGGCGAAGCTATGAAAATCACCAGTAGTACGAGACAGGTAATAGTCGTTGGCCGTTCGCCGGAATATCCGACTAGCAACGGTGGGTGTGCTGGTCGCACTTGCTGCCCATGGGCTCAGTGCTGCGCCGAGGTTGCAGTGCTCCCGCCAACCAGATGATCCAAACTGCCATGAAAGCTCGCCTTGCCATGAAGTGTCATCGTCGGAGGCAAAAGGAGTGGAAGGAATGATATTTCGGGGTCTAGTTGGAGTGGGGTAGTATTGAGAGAAGTTGTAAGAGCTGGAGAATGAAAATAAGGGAGATTGGTGCTGCGACATCACCGGCGTAGGGTGGTGGCGCCGGCGAGGGACACGAGGGCGGTGAGAAGACGTTGAATACTCCTCGAAGGAGTATTCAGCCATTGATGGAAGGGTATTATGGTATGGAAATGGAGAATGAGTGGCAAACGCAGGGGAGAGACAAATAGAAGGTAGTGAGTGGGTGGGTAATCTTAAATCATTTGTTTATCTATTTAGTGTCGCAAAAACCTTTGATTAACCCGCCCATTTCTTAGTCAAGAATCTATCGTGGCTGGTGAACTTTGCCAATGGTGATTAACCCCTTAATCATTTGGTCGATAAAATCTTTGATTACGTTATCTGAGCTTTGGACTTGGTGTTTGATGGATTTTTAGAATAGAATAGAAAATACACTATCCAGGCCTGCTATCGGTGTACAGCTTTGTTAGATTAACAAGGATGCCGGCTTTTTTGACAAACTCAAATGTCTTACGTTTCTATGAGAATAGTATAGTACAGGCCATACCTAAAAACAATCGATGTTCACTGTTTTTGATGGAAGCTTGAGTCTCAGAGTGTCCGTCTTTTGCACGGTATCATGCTTGCTCGCGTCAAATGATATTTGTATAGAAATAAAATAATGCAAGACTTGTTAAAAAATACAAGTAAAAACATCTGACTTGGTTTGAAAAGGAGAATTAAAGATTCAAACCACTATACATGTTGTAAATATATTATGTCCCATCGATAAGTTATAGCATGGTCATTCAGCGCTGTGTTTTCCTTGTGCTCTGTACTCTCTTCCATATGTCATTGAGCCAATAGACCATTATTTATTATTTCTTGTATGTTTCCTGTTCCAAGGGATAGTTTCCTGACTGTGTAACAGTCAAACACAAATCATAGTATGACTGGCTCCTTATTGAAATAAAAGATGAAGGCCTGCACACATACAAATATAACAACCCCTCTCTCCTAACGACGTCTGAATTTATAATTTATCTTTATTATCATTTAAAATATCCCTTAAAATTTACACTTCTTTTTTTTTCCATTTTCGATATACTGAGGCAAGGCCACAAGTTGCTATGAATGAGATGCTTCGACAATAGTTTTAAACATGGGAATTTTTGTTTCATCACCAACATTTGACGTTGTGTATCAGTGTACATTAATGTGTACCTTTACAACACACTTCCGCTTGAGCTAGGATTCTTTATATACATCCTCATCAGTATAGTTACCAATCGAATGTGGCTGCACAAGAATACCACTCTCTCACCAATAAACCCTTAACTCAAAATGACGACACATTTCGAATTCAGATCCAACATGCTATGTCTTAGAAATTCCAAGAGATTCGTGATAAAGGTGAAGAACAAAACAGAATAAAATGTGGATGCCGATGACAACTGCAGACATCGTTTTGAAGCTATTATGCCGTATGATCACATAAACTCTTCCTAAAACTGTACTTTTCGTAACTAACATGAGTTGAGTTCAAATATACACCACCCAAGTCTCTTGCAAATAACCATGCACTACCAAAATTACAAAACATTTGGCCAATTGAACTTCCTTCTCAATACAATATACAACATTACATTTTAACACAAACGATCACAAAAACTGACTGCCTCTCAAGGTCGGCCTCCAAAAATCCATGATGATGTACATTGTCCCAGAATATCTCTTACAGATCATGGTGCGGTACCTACCTCGCCACTTGATATTTAAATATTAAATGTATCGTCCTTTGCACTCTAAACTGAAGATGATCTTGAGCTGAAAAAGTTTTTCTCAGAAATAGTCATCTAGGCTTTGAGTCGCTTCCTTTGCTTCGGAATGATGACAAAGAAAAGAATGATCGCGGGGCTGCAAAAATTATTCCCTTCTTTCAGCATGAACTCATCAATATACCAAATCATATATTTTAGACAACATAGTCTGCCCTCCTGCCTTTTAAGAGGAACTAATGAAAATGAGGGGGCCGCCTAATCTACCATAAAAATTCTTGCTATTCTTTTTAATTGTAATGTAATCCTATTATTAATAACTATAGTTTGTCAATATTACTTTTGGTTTGAGATGGTTTCTCACGTCGCAATTACCATAATAAGAATCAATAGAATCGTATCAAGAAGCTAAGCAGCAATTCCACAAATGAGATCAGCAATGCTAAGAGAACAAATGAATCAAAGTGCCTCCAACACTTTGGCATGCATGCATAAATAGTTATTCATGCTTCTTGTGAATATTTGCATGTCTGTGGAAACATAACCTCAAAACTCTTTACATTGAAAATAAGTGAGAATAAAGTGAGATGTAGGATTATTTCTTTTGGGTGACCCTAACATTCCTGTGGTTACCCAAAATATCAAATGCAGATATTCTCGGCATGCAAAATTTATAAACCCAAAATGTAGATGAAGAGGAATGTGGTCACCAGGGCACACTCAAGAACATGAGTAGCATCATTTTGGGAGAGTCAAGCTGGGAAAGTCAAAGTCAACCTTTTGATCACAATTTCAAGCGTGTATGATAGAATGTACAGTTACAACTTACAACAATATTGGTAGTAGAACATATTTTAGGGGAAAGAAGACGTGTGCTATTATCTACCAAGTTTATTACTAGAAAGCACACTACCATTGTTTTGAAAAAAGTACAGAATGACAAAGTACATATCACTGGCCACCTAAAGAGCATCGATAATATTGAAATATGCATATAATTGTCAATTTATACGTCATTTCAGTTCAAGCTACAACGTAAAAGTGGAGGGAATGCTCATTTGTCCATGCAAATTCTTCGTATCAAGGCATTTACCGTAGTATATGTAAAAGAAGTGTGACAGGTACACAAATCTAAGCCACATAAACAGTCACCTTTGATTGAGCTTCCAGTTAGATGATCCTCCCTTAATTTGAAGTCAGACGGGGGTGCTGGGATAGAACTGTTGAAAGCTTGAACTACAATGAAATAGAAGCATCAAGGCATCAACTAGAGATCCAGAACAAAAGGAAAGAAGAACTAAGCAGTGAACTAAACCCAGAACAAACTTCTACCTGACTCTAATACAATCGCCAGCCCTACCTTCACTATATGTGTGCCATACGAATTATATAAACTTTGGTTCTGCTGGTTGGAATCCTTTCACCATTTAACGACGTAAATGATAATAATGATAAAGTAACGATGATGACCATGTTGATGATAGTAATAATGAAAACAATAATAATGCCGACATTAAGAATAACACCAACACCAACACCACCATCAAAAGAAACAACAATAATAAAATAATAAGAATAGCATGCTTGTTGGTAAGAATTGAATTGAGGAAAATGAGTAAAACTTTACCCAAATAATCGGTGGGCTCTCCATGGTCATGCTCTTCTAGTTGGTGCTGAGATTTGAATCTTTATGAGTCAAAATATATATATTTTTTTTAAAATGGCCAACAAAATCTTTTAGCAGGAATTAAAATCTATTTACACACTAAGTGTAAATAAATATTATTTGGAAAAGCAAGAAAGTAAGAGTCCAAAACGTACTTGATTTCTGGAATAAAATTAATGGATGCCTTAAGAAAAAGCACAATCATGAGAACCTACATTGAATAATAGTATTTCTGTTCAAAACTAGATATCGACCAACAGATCAAAACCTTGTTTTGTGACAAGCAATGACAGTTACTCAATGAATAACAAAAGTTCTTTTACTAAAGAATGGAATCAAAATATTGCATCAACAAAGATATCAACAACTTGAGATGGATCAATAGTATTGTGAAGTGGTTTTGATGTATTGATTTGAGACGGACCATGGTCAATAAATAATCCAGAATTATATAACAGGACATTAACTAACAAAACAACATATGGTTCACCTTGTTCACTGAGAAACTCGCTCTCATTGAAGCTATCATCAGAAGGATGACCTTGTGGGAATCTCATTCTCGACTTCCTCAAATCTTCGGATGACTGGTTAGCAGGATCTCGTCCATCTTCTGTATCATCGTCTCCTTCAGAAGTTGTAGCGGAAACCCAATCAACCAAGTTTTCTGTGCCACGATTTTTTCTCCCAAATTGTAGTAGCCGTTTAAATCCTTTTGTCACATCTTTACGGGATTGAATATGAGCAGAATTAGCAACAAGAAGTTGTTTATGAGCACTACCCCATTTCTTCCTCATTCGTGCTACATCAGCCTCTGTTTGATTGGCAGGATGTGAATTCCAGGATGCGGGACTCCCCAATGGAGAGTCCACGTAGGCATCAATATCAGAGGTCTCATGCGGATATGCAAACGGATGCTGAATGCGTGAGTTCCATGATCCAGGGCTTTCCCCTGGTGAATCCTGCACAGACACAGGTGGTTGGAAAGTTGAAGACACCACAGTAGGAAATTCAGGCTCCACAGAACGGTCCCCCTGAGAAAAAGGTTTCAGGGAACCACCGTTTTCTGATCCATAGTTCACCAAATTCTCTGGTTTCTGACTCTGTCTTGACTCTCCACTATCCGGATTTGCATGATCTTCAGTTGTCATGATTTCAAACTCCACTTCTTCATCTTTGACCACATCAACTGAATCTTCCTGTTCGAAAACCAACTCATCAGATTCTTCGTTACTATTCATAGCCTCAGATGTCATCGAAGCCTTCAGTTTGGAAATATTAGTGACACAAGGACCTATACCATTACCCTTCCTTAAGAAAGGTGTTGACTCCACCTTCTTTGAAAATTTGTCATTAAGACTCACCTTAGGTTGCTCCCTGTCCAATTTTAGCGGTGCCAAAACAACACCCTCGGAGTTTAAGGGAGACATGTCCCGAAATTCAGCAGGACTTGCAGAAGTTTTCCGCGAAGATTGTGATCGACGTGGCTTCTCTTCCTTGACAAGTGGTATTTCTTCACTATTGCTTTTGCTGCGTGCATAGTTTCTCAACTGTGGGCGGGTTTTGCTAGCTGCAGAAGATTTGGTGTTTTCTTTTCTGAAGTCAGAGAAATTTGGGACTGATTGCGCAAGAAGATTTTCAGGCTGTTTTCTTTGCCTCCCAGAATTGGGATTGGAAGCTTTGACAGCAGGTCTTGGGACTGGTGCGGACAAGATGCGAGGAACGGATGAAGATGACTTCTTACCTTGGATGCTCCCAGAAGCACTATCACCCAAAGATGTCTCCCCAAAAGACCTATTTTCATCAATAGGTTTCTGTTCTGCAAATTCAGATAGGTCTCCATCATCTTCACTTCGCCAAAAAACTAATGGCTGCCGTCAAAAAGGACCTTTGGTCAGATACATGTGCTAAAACAAAAAATTTCATCCATTCTAAAAGCAAACAACCAGAGAGGTTATTCAAGGTTCCCAAATTCCTTTGTATTTTTCCCCTTTTTCAATTATTGTTGGTCCTGAAGAAAGGATGCCCTCGCATTGTCTGGGTTAAAAAAAATGTACTCTATCATTCATCAGTTGTAGTTATTTCTAGAAAACACAATTAAAATGCTGAATACCTGCTCCCTGCTAGTAGTTGATCTTGTATTAAAGGATCTGAGTCTCTCTGCACGTCGCTGAGCACTGGATCCTGCATCCCGTGATCCTGAAATTTTAGACTTCATCTCAGCCCTACTCTTTTCAAGGCTATCATGCATGGCCTTCAACATGGCTTCCTTCTCTGCTCTCTTTAAACTCCATTCTTCCCTTAGTTTTGTATCTCTTTTTTGCATATACCTATCATAAAATTTTCCCCTAGAATCGGCTGAAAAAACAAGACCGGAGAAATTATGATCCTCAACATCACTATGATCCTGATGGTCAATGGTGTTTATCGGTGAACTTGCATTGTATTTTGCCAGATTGCTGGAACTCCCAACAGGTTCGGTCGACATACTCTTGGCAGGAGGAGAAATCTCTGCAATAGGTGTCCTGCAGGGCAAAGTTGCTGCTGGTACATTTTGCATGTCGACGGGCTTCGTTCTCCATGCAGAGTCAGATTGATCTCCAGGAACTCGGAGTTTATGCTCAGCAAAAAGCATTTCAAGCTCATTTGCTTTCATTTTCAGCTCAGCATTGAGTTCTTCGTTTCCTTTAGAATGCCTACCCCTTTGAACTGGCTGTGCAGATTGAGTCAAAGACAAACAAAAGCCTTCCTGACCATCTGAATAAGCTCTAGACAGGGTCTGAGGAGCAGCCCACTCTTTCGGATCAGTAGCCTGCATGCCGGAAACTACTTTTCCTTTGATGCCACCAGACCCATCAACACCAAAAGAACCCTTGAAGTTTTCTTCATCCAACGAACCAAAATTCTCTGCTCTACCAGCAGGGAAAGATCTGAATAGGGTTTGAGAAGTGGCTTGATCATTCAAACTGTTATCCTCAGTCCTGCCCAAGAATGACCTTGACTGAGCCTGGCCGCGAGGCTGACCATTCAAACCGTCACTTCCAACTGTTACTGAAGTAGAAGTCACCTTGTTATACTGGGAAGCATCTGCTGACATACCAGAAGAAGCTGTCAACTGAAACCCAGAACTTGTCCCCACCTTTGTTGTCACTATCTCTTTACTAGGGTGAGTAACTCCAACCCGAGTTTGAGAGTTAGCTTGATCTTTTGACCTATTATCATTAACAGCAACTGGAACATTTCTCAACTCAAGCTTAGCTGATGTTGCTGTATCATTCAATCCCTTTTGGTCCTCGCACTTGCTCTGAGAAACTGAGGAAGAGCATGGTGTGCAAAGGGGGCTCTCAATATCCTTCTTTTCACCATTGCAGTCAATACTCATGTCACTGGCACCACTCCATCTCCTCAAAACCGACTTCTCAACAGCAGCAGCTGAGGACACATCCGCTGATAGTCTCCGAAGCTCGGCAGACTTCCCAACAGCAGGCTTGCCACCGTTACTAGAAGTCTCTTTCTGTTTGTTCTCAAACAAGTTAATTCGATCCTGCACGCTAAGCCGCCTCACAGGCTGACCTGCTTGAAATGAGTCTGTTTGACCTGAACTCTCTTCTTTCTTCTCTTTCTCAACAGCCTTAGTGCTTTCTCTTCTACCATCGTCTTCCTCGACGCTTGATTCTCTGCTATGTCGTAATGGGAAGGAGACAGAGGGCAGGGGTTGCTGACACGAGGAGGGCTTTGATTGCTCAAGATGTAGTTGTTGGGTAGCATCTGGTTCTCGGCCAGTCAGATATTTATTGTTGTGGAGGTGTTGGAATTGGGGTTGATGAGACCGAGTATGGTGTTGTTCTGGGGTGCTGGGGTCTTCGTCTATAGACATGTCCGACCCATACGAGGACCGGACAGCTTGATCTTCCACAATGGCCTTCCATGGGTTGATCAAGTCGGGCTGTCTCTCGCACAATGCTAAAAATCTGCTACAAGCTTTCCTGCACAAAAATAATATGTCTATTATTAACGGGAATTCAATATATAGGAAAATAAGAGAAAGATACACAATTAGGACGAGTTTCAAATACAGAAAACACCAATAAAACTGCCATACCCACCATGGCCGCATATTGTCATGGAAAACATTGACTTTTTAAGAATACTGCAAGCATAGAGAAATGTGGGTCGAGATTTCCTATGTCCGATTATTAGCACCTCCGTCCCAATTAGGCCAATTCCAGCGGATCCAAGGCTGAAATGGGCATTTTTTTTTCCACATATCCAATTACTATACACCTTTTGTCACATTAAAATAAATTATTGCCATGGATAGGTGTTACTAATCCTAACTCCATCCACAGTTCAAGGTTAGGTCAAGAATGTTCCAAACCTTTGTTTTCATTTAGCAAATTCAAGTAAATCATCGCTAACCTATCCTACAAGAAGAAGGATTTGCAGACTTCTCTGCCCAAAAAATTCAATTTCCCAATAGCTCAGCAGTTGGTGTAACCTCATAGCATAGGGGCAACATTACATCTTCATTCAGTTCATTAGGGTGTACAAAGGACAAAATGTGTTTGTTTTTTAATCAAACAAACGTCCCTGACACCCCCAGTATGCTGCTCAAAATCCAATCACGTACAGGAACTGAAGACTTCATCGTTGTAAAGGATGAGGTCTCAAATTTAGACACAAATGCATGCTTTGGACTTTGGAGTACCGGTATCTTGAAAACCATTCTATTTTTCTAAATCTTTTGATCCAGAATCTATGAACAAATGAGAGTAGTTGGAACAGCATCAGAAGTCCACATGTTTGCTCATGTAAAGCTACGTGGTTCAATATGTACAGGGTCACTTGGAATATAACACTAAATGAGCTTTTCTCCGTTGAATTTAAAACTCTGAAAATCAGCCACAGCTATTGTCACCCCCAATTTGGCTTCAGATAAGGTTTTTCAACATAGCCAAGAATACAACATTGCAAACTTTGATGTCGACTACACATGAATGAAAAAAAACATTACTCTACATTTTCCTCTTTCTTGTGCTTCCTAACCAAAACCAAATAACCAATCCAAACCAAGTGAAGCTCTATAGTACATTGTAGCGACTCACATGATGTTTACACGAATAATTGCCAAACTTCTTGCCCTATTTTAAAACCTTACTAGAAGCCTAGACTTATTTCACACAATGTCCTACATATAGCTTCGTATCACCTAATTAATAGGTGGTGGAAAGAACCACTCTTTTGTTTGTTTATCTCATTTTGTTTGGCTTGCTTTGTTGTTTCTCTGGTGCATGCATCATAGACATTCACACGCGCATGCACATGCAGAAAGAGAGAGTGTGGTTGGAGTGGATTGTTGAGAAAGATATGATATTCTACAGTTCTTACTCTAGGCGATCAGCACCAAACTGATCTGCAAACAGTTGAAGTTCTGAGACTGTCTCCGGGTTAAAGCCAGCAGCAACAGCACGAGCATAAGCTGTGGTTAAATCCTGCCTAACCGCTACAAGCCGTACATCAATGGCTCTCAAAAGTTCCTTCCTTTGGCAACATAAAAATACCAAATTAGCAATGGGAAACAATTTTGTGACAGAGGAGGAGAGAGAACATATTGAATGATCATTCGGCATACCCACCACAGCATATTAGATGGTCACACAGCATACTAAGTTACTAACCATATATCATTAAGTGTAAAAAGCATGAGACTATGGTGTTAGTGGTGACAAGCAAATCGTGGCTATTTATACAGAGAAATGCAAGCACTCAGACGAAGTTATGTTCGCTTCATGACACCTGCTTATACCATTTAAACTGGCATTTTACAGTTTTGTTGAGTCTCTCTTACAATAGAATAATCCAAAGCTATCCATCCTCAATAACTTGTTAATATGTGTGTTTTAACATGTGCTAGCATGTGTGTGTGTGTGTGAGAGAGAGAGAGAGAGAGGTATTACTTTGTTGCATCAGCGGTTGCTGTAGTCCTGGTTCCACACGCACCTGGAATAAGTGATTGAACGTATAAGAGAGTCAGGGTATTTCATCAAGAATCTGGATTCAGCCAGGAACTCTTACTTGGCAATACTATTGATGGATATCTAACTAGGAAATCACCATTGATAGATGTCTAACCAAGGAATAACAACAGATAGATGTTCAATTTAAAAATCACTATTTGAGCCATTCCAATAGCAGCACATAGTACAGACATGTTATTTTGAAGCGCAAATGTTTTGAAGAGTCTAAAAGGACACTCTTGTCAATTCTGTACGGCATACAAAGGATGAGTGACACAAACACCAAAGACTCCTGATAGAATATATCCTGCAGAAAGTATCACTTGACTATCAAGTCTAACTTCTTTAGTTACGCTCCCATTCCTGCACAAAACCAGGGGTGGCTCAATAGTATTGTTGAAAAAACTTGGACTTTAGGCCCCATTTGTAAAGAAGGACCCAAATTTTTAGATATCATAAATATTCTGTGTAAAAAAAATATATCTATAAATACTTTAAACCCTACAAAAAGGCCTTATAAAAACACAAGTCCAATCAAAAAAAATTTAAACCCTTATTCAAGGAAGACCCCATAATTTATAGGGGTGTAGTAATAGTCTAAATAAAAAATTTAAATCCATACCAAACAAAAGATTTTAATTTAAGTAGATTGGACCTATTAATTCAACGGTGAAATTAAAAGGCCCTAAAATATTATTTTTACAAAAAGACAAAATGAAAAAAAAAACTAACTTTAAAACTAAGCTACTAAAAAATGTAGTCTGAACTCTCTAAAAAGTCAAGTTTAAACTTACCATCATAATTTTCCAATCATTCTTTCTCTCTCTTATTATCAAGTTCAAATATAATAACAAAAGTTTGAATATAAAATTTTAATTAATATTTTTGTATTAAAAAAAGTAAAAATTAGATTTACTATTAATAATAAAAAAAGGTCATATTTGTCGTTTTCGCTTTAGACCCCAAAAATGTCTCAGGCCGCCCCTGCACAAAATCGCCTTTGGAATGAAATCTAAAAGCAAAAGGACCTTCATATAAATATCCAGAAACATAATGAACTTAAAGAATAAGAAAACACCATAAGCTCTCGTCAATTTACATCAAGTAGTCAACAATAGGTCATACAATTGATACTGCATGTTGGACATAGCATTACACATTGAAACCACTTAAGGTGTTAAATTATTAGCTTTGTTGTCTCCAGATTTCAGAACTATTGTCATAGAAAGTGTACAGCATAAAAAAAAATTGATATACAATTATCCATACTCAATGTATTTGAAAGCTGATCTCCGCCTCCCTGAAATTTATTAAAAAGCTCATATTAATTATAAAAGGAAAACATTCCAATAACTACCATCTCAAATGAATGCTTATAAATGCAATAAATGTGCTACCTCCGAATAGATTCTCCGAGCTGCTTCTAATTGAGACATCTCTGCATCCAAGTTAGTGACCAATTCCAAAACCTCTGGCGTACTAACAAACCTCACAAACCTGAAACCGAGAAGTATCAATTATCAGAGCTCATACGTGTATTCGTATTTGAGGTCATAAAGTGCATCACCTCTCAACTGTTCCTTTTGTGAACCACGTTGCGGCATTTTTACATCTCTCAACTTCAAGCTTTATTGACCGTACTGACAATGCAACTTGTTCTTCTGCAACTTTCAAGTGTGTCACAAATGGCTTCACCAATCCTGATGCCAGTTTCTCAGATTTCCCATCACTAGAAATAAACAATTCACATCTATCCAAAAGGAAACAAATAAAAACTAAGGAAAACTGAAAACATGTACGGAAATGGAAATAATTGTGAGGGAAGGAAAAAGAAGAAATGTCCTCACCTGGAGCGCCTTGGCGACAATTGGAATACCGCATAATCAAGAGGCCAGTCAGCTTTCATTTTTGTCATACTGAAGAGGTGTTATCTCTTCTTAGACCTCTTTTCACAAAACTCTTTGACACATGAATTAAGAGCCTCCTGTAAATATTTTCATTAGTCACGCCTCAAAATTTCAAACTCACAATGTAAATTTTTCGCAAATCGAATAAACAATACACGCCTCATATAAATATCTTGATTAGTCAAGCCTCAGAATTTCAAACTCACAACATAAATCTTCCAGGAATAGAATAAATATTGCGCATGAATTAAGATCACCATGTAAGTATTTTGATTAGTCAAGCCTCAGAATTTCAATCTCACAAAGTAGATTTTCCACGAAGGGACTAATTATCAGAGTTACATATTAAAATTGGACACAGTGAATAAAGTACTGATTATGCAAATCTGAAAACGGAAATTAGAATTAACTAAATTCTTTCTGAGTCTTAAAACAAACCAGACAATCACAGAATGTCACAATCAGTAGCAGCAATCAGCAACCAAAAGTAATTTACAGATCCCAATTCTAAGCCCTATATTCTAAAAAAGTGCACCTGATTCCACCGAAACATGATGACGTACCAAAACACTCAAAATTAATTAGTCTCAGATCTGACTACACAGAAAGCAAAATCCAAATGCCAAATGAAGCATATCTACATATGGTCGGTCATATATAGAAAGAGAGAGATTTGGTAAGTTTTGGAGTTCCCTCAGTCTCATGTGTTAACAATCTTGCTAAGGCCAAAGGAAAATCAAGCTCCTATTCCGGTGCCAGTGTAAGAAAACTCCCAATCGAAAATGCTGAACTCGAATAAACCCATGCAATTTGTATGTAATAATATGAGAGACGATCATGGAAATCAGCACGTACTTACCTTGCCTACCAATGCAGAAATTGTCAATTATCCAGACGAATCGTCGGATTTGGGTTCATATCTGAACCTACATTTCAGTTTCTTTCCTGGCCTTCATATTCTATGTCCCCCTTGCTTGCCTCTTTTAGAGAAGAGAAGAGAGGATAGCCTTTTTTTTTTATTTTCTTGGGGGGTTTTGTATTTTTGGTTTTACGAAAACCCTACAATGAACTGACTCGTAGCTGTCCTCGATGGTTGTCGCTTTACTCCTTTCTCAAAATGATGATCTCTCTCTACCCCTATGTATATGAGAGAGAGAGAGAGAGAGAGAGAGTATTCTAATAATCTTACTTTCAATCTTAAACTAGGATAAAAGACAAAAGACTATCTCCTGGTAAGTGAGCGGTGGGGTGTTTCAAATTTACAAATTAACACTTCAAATTTGATATTCGGTGGAAATTACAATAATACCCGTTTAATAATGCCCCAGCAAATTCCAAACTTTCCCTTTCTGGGTAAATTTGTTGCTATTTTTGTTGGCTTTTAAATGGAAAAAATAAAATAAAAAATGGCATTAAGTGTATATTTAACTACCTTCCAAATAAAAGCTAAAAAGAAATAATTGCATGGCTTCGTTATTTTATTGAGTCGTATGAAATGAATTTCAATTATACCACCCAAAAAAATAAATAAACAATAACTCGAATGTGAATTCTATATACCATCAATTATGTACATTTCTACACTTGATCAATTTTGTATCTCAGCTTTCAGATAATGTGGTCAATTGGTTTAAATGTTTGTATCAACTTAATTCAATTTTTACATTACTCATGGAAAAAAATTAGGCTATTCTAATTCCTTTTGAGTGTTTTTTTTTATCACTTAAACTACCTACATGCTCAAGAAAAGGAAAAATCAAGGGTTTTTTTTTAACACTAGGGAGGGTGCCTTAGTTAGAATTTAACAACCTCATATGTGTCCCAACAAGAAGAAGAAAAAAATTCATTCTAGCCAAAAGCAAATACTTGTAAACATAAACAAGTATTCCTCTAACATACATGATGGACAATCTTGTCAGCATTCAAATTTGTTACCACTTCTTAGTTATTTGTAATATTTAAACGTACAATTGTAATTAGAGTTATATAAAAATATATATTTTGTTCACACAGAAATAGACATGGACACACCTTTTGGTTGATAAATATTTTCGACGGTGACATAAAATGTTGCAAAATATAGGCTTCAAATTCTAAAATGCATGCTTTAGTCTAAACAAAAGTCAACACTTTGGGTGAATATATGTCTTACAAACAAGGTATACACAATACTATTCCACCTACGCCTCAATGCAACACCAGCCAACCCCCGGGTATATGGGTATAATTGTCCAGCTGTAGGATTCCACAGGTAATTGGATGGACCACGCTTAACGGTTCTCTAGAATTACGAAAGCGAAGGTGAGATATGCACAGATCGTGCGGCCCAAGCAGCGACTCAGATTTCCTCACAAATTAAAGGAAGCAAACATCTAATTTGTATATTACCATAATGCCCTAAACTTTTTTTATTTTTTGGTATAAAAAGTTGCTTTATATTACACTAATCCAAGTCTACAAAGCACAACATTGTTATCGATGGTATTCTCGTGAAAGAGAGGGTTCAGTACATGAAAACTGATTGATAAATAAAATTACACTTTAAAGAAATATGTTGAAAATTAATTGCATCACCAACCAAATAAGTTTGTCTCCAAATTCCTTTTTTTTGTGGTCATTTTATCTCAATTTGGGTCCACATTGTTAAAATTGCCCCAAAGGTGGTTGCCATTTTGTATTTTCCAATCGTGAGCTTACAGTTTTTTGCATTAGTTCATCCAAGGTTCTTTCCCTTATGTAAAATTACTGAATGAGTCATCTTCCTATTTAAGTTAAAACTACGGGTTTAAATATTCGGATAAGTTTACTTTGCCAATAAAAAAGTGTGGACAAAATAACATGAATAACTCTGAACGGTGAATATATAAATAACCACATTTTAACTTTTCAATGTACTTAAAGAGATGAATCTACTACCATCAACAACAGGCTGGTGGGAGGTACATTTTCCATTAGCTTGTCACCCCTTAGAGAAGGAAAACAAGACAAGAGTGACATCCATAACAATACCTATGCATGTTGAGTTTAATAATCATTAATTCTTGTCTAAGTGGTCCAACTACCTTTTTTGACACTATGCGCCTTGAATTGGTTAGTTTAGCAACTACTTAGTAGATTCATTTATGTACTGCTCTGTTCTGAGAATGAGAAAGAGAGTGCATGTAACTTATAGCAAGTATCCGACATGGTCTAATATGAGTACGTACATGTATATTAGTTACCATTTACCCATAAAATCATCTGATTTACGGACAGCCAACAATGAGTTGGTTGACAAATGGATGATGAAAAGCCAGATGACTGTCAGTCAGGGCTTGCCCCTTATTTAATCCTTTTTGATTGAAACACTAAGTTTTTTGGGATGGTACAATAAATATGTAACGAACGAATCATAATATGTACTAAAAAGTTTATGTTTATAGAAGTTGTATATATTGAACTTATGTGTTATTTCCAAAATCTCGTAATTTCAATTTTTTTTCTATTCATACGTTATCCACTTGGCAATTCTACGTAAGTTTTTATTTATTTGTGTTAATTATCTCATAATAGCAAAAAATCATCACCAGAGAGAGAGAGCGCCCCATTTCCATATCTCCTTGATCCTATTGAGTAGTATAAATACCAGGCATATAAGGGAGAGCTTCCTTTTCAGGCAAACTGCGCAAGTGTTTAATTTATTTTATTGCTAATCATAGAAAGGCTTGGTTGGTTTTGAGGGTAAAGACAGCTGAGCTGAGACACCAAAGAGGAATTGCTGTTCATCCAGCTCTTAACTCGCCATTATCTACTCCTGTGTGTGTTGTTGGGGTGGGATTTGCTTGTGGTGGATGCCACTTGTGCTGCACCAATAACTACAATCCATTCGTGAGCAAAGTTCTGAATGAGGGTTCGAATTTTGTTGGCATCGTTCTGAACTTTCGCTTTCAAAGGCATGTGATCCCATCTTATGAATGGAATGAACTCAAAACTTTGAGTGGCCAATATGATTAGTTTGGTTGGGACAAAGTTGACAATTTTGTTTCACCACTTAGGGCATGCCAGTTGTTAACAAGGTCCCACTCAATATCGGAAAACAATTATAATTAATGATCAAGGCTTGTGTTGCCATTCCCCTTGGCACCTATATATCAAGACTCATTCACCCTTACAAGGAAAAATATTTTACCCTTTGCCCAAACATGCATGTAATTATGTAATCATAATTATCATTTGATTGCAGCTATTGTCGTTTGTCGGCAATGGGAAGCTTAACCCAAAAAGTGTTGGTAAAATGTTTATTAACTATGATAAGCAAAGTGAAAATTATGATACACATGGTCCATGGCAGCCATCAAGCTTTTAGCAGCACCTTAACCTGACCTTGCTGGTTCAGTGCAACCCCACCAGCCATCAGTTTTGATCGTTTCACACTGGTTGGGACGTTGAATTATTTTAGATCTGGGAATTATGAGTTTCATGATAGGTGGGTGGGCCTTTTTTTTTCTTTTTCCCGCTCTTATTTCCTTTTAGACAATAATAATTTTAATTGAAAATAAATATTTTATTTCTACTAAAAAGATATTCGTATTTTTTGACTTTATATTAGTCTTAGGACAGACCGATAATGAGAGTTGTGTCATTTCGAGTTTGTATTAAGTATTAATTAATTTTAACTTAACTCATTTTAAGTTATTCAATTTTCAATTTCGTATTAATCATTTAATCTTCAATTTAGTTTTTAGTTACTATTATTAATTTGACTTTGTGAATGAAATAATTTTAAGAATGAATTGATTTTGAGATTTTTATTTCCTTTTCTAAATGCCCAATCAAGGTGTGTGTGAAATTATCATTATTAACCATGGATTTAAGATGCCCATCACATTGAGAAATTGATTGTAAAATTAATAATTTTCATCATTTATATTGCTAACATGATAATTTAAGAATTTAAAAATGCGAACGGAGATCACTGTCAGGATTAAGCTTTTGTCTTGACTAGAGGGGTTCCCTGCCATTTGAATAGTCGGTAGGGGTGGGGGGCACATGTATAGTATTGACTTACGAAAGTACAAATAAGCCTTGTTAGTCATGTCTCACGTTGTCACACTTCAACACGTTAAGTGTAATATTATACTTATTAACTTTTTTTTATCACAATTTGATTTCAAATGATGTTGTACAATTTTTTATTATTGGATAAGTGAATCTCGTTAATATTCAATAATAAATATTATACCATATCATTTGAGATGAAAAATTTAGTAAGTAAAATATTTTCAATTTTTAAAGTTCAGTTCATATACAAACTGACAAAGTATCGAAAGGTCTAACTAGAAAGTCTTCGAGAAGAAAATATGCGAGTCATGAAGTTCCCAAGAATAGATGTCCAGATAACCATGTTATACATATTGTAAATCAATAAAAAGGACTTGCAATTACCTCGGTTGCAGGAGGTGATTAATCATACCACATTTGGGTTCAACAACTAAGGTATATTAATCATATTTAAAGTAAGATTGTTCAATGAATTTCATATGACGTACAAAGTCTAATAAAAGAAGCTAATTACAACATATCTCGACAATAAAAGTTAATAGGAAGAAGTACAACAAAGGAGTTCAATGGTAGCTTAGTGAAGCAAAAGCCTATGTAGAAACCTAGGCGAAGACAATATTCAAAGCCCCACAATAAATGCTAGGTCGCAAGTTAGACGATGAAACCAAGGTCAATTCAAATTGTAAAATTTTTAATCATAACTTAACTTGAACCCGATTTTTAATTCGAGGAAATCAACTCTAATATTGTCTAAATTAATTTTGAACTTAATTTAGATTGATTTGGGTTAACTAATTGAGGCTCAAATTGGACTTGTAATTCGAGTTTAATTTGGGTTCGTAAGTCGTGCATAATATAATAGTTTGACTAACTTAAATTTAAAATAAGTTCAGTAAAAATCTAAAATACACTTAAATTTTTTTGTGTATATATATTAATATTTTTTAATTTTGGGTTGGGTTCGGACGAAATCCGTGAACCCGAAAGCTTCAACCTGTGTACAACATAAATTCAATTTAGATTAAAATTTTTCGACTTATGCCCAACCCAAATTTTAAAAATTTCAACACAAGCCCTCATTTTTTTCGTGCAAAATTTTGATTAATCCATCCAAATTACACCCCAAATGCTAGAGCTCGTTAAAGGGGCTGATCTATATTTCAGAACTAAGCTAATAAATGGCAGTCCTATAAAGAGTATAAAAAGACAAGGAGGGAGGCATTCTGTAATTTTGACCCCTGCTTCATTCTTGGATATCAGTTTTTTAATATTGTCAGGCACCCCCAAGAAACTATGAGAGGCCTTCAACGAGTTGTGTTGGAATTGATCGTCAGCTGCAATTATTTAACTAATTATAACTGAACTAATTAAATTACTCTCACAAGGAATATTGGAATATGTCGGGTGTCATTGCAAGAAATGGGCCTAATATATACTTACCTTTTGAGATTATATATTCAAAGTTTTATTATTATTTTTTTATTACATGATATTCAGACTTATGTTAATTATTTTTTTAAATTCAAATAATAATTATCGTAATAAGAATAAGTGTAAATTATGTCCCCGGAAGCTAGACAACCAAAGGATGTATTCAAAATTTTATTTGGAATCACAATCTTAGGTTGTTTTTCCCATACTTTTAATGGTTACCCAACAATCCAACAATCCTCGCATGCCATGATCAAAAAAAAAAAAAAAAAAAAAAATCCTCCATATCTATCATTTTGAATTTGTACCCAAAAAAGAAAAAAAAAATTCTACTTTGGTAAATGCCCAAAAGCCCAATAAACGAAACAGACCTGGGATCTGTCCATGCATTCCTTGTCTTTAAAATTATTCTCTTCACCGGAACTTATAGAAGCATAGCAAGAGAAGCTCCGTCCCTTCTCTGCACTGTAACCTTCTTATCTAACCTTTCTATGCCGCAATTCATCAACTTCCAAATCCAGGTATGCTATCAAGAAATCATCATGATTTTGATTTTAGTTCGACTCTGTCCTTGATTAAACTACAAGTGCTAGTTAAGAGGTGTTATTGGTGAATCGTTAACCTTTCTCTGTGCTCCAATGTCGTCGGTGCTTATGCTCTCCTTGAATTTGAATATCTCTCCTCAATTCTACGTTATGAATGTTGTCGTTTTTAGATTGCTTGCCCGAAAATCATGCATGTCATGATGCTTTTAATGGAATTGAATTGAATACAGGCATGACGTTTGGAAGAGATGTCTTTCGTCATGATATTAACACTGGAAATCTCAAAAGAGTAAGAATAATAAAACCCTAGTTTTATACCACACTCAACGTTTAGACACTATTTAGCTATTTTACCAATAGTCACACTTAATCATCATTGCTTTGGATTTGGTCGCTGTCCATTTCTATTGTAGTTTAGTTGAACAATGGCAAAAGAAAGTATCATCATTGGTTGGGACTTGTTCTCTGACCCCTTCCATTTCTTCAGTAAACAAGTGTTATTTTATCAATTTCATCAATATTCTAGATTTCGTGACTCAAACTTGCTATTTTTATTTGAACACACCAATTTACTAGATCATAGTTCTCCCTAGTGCTCCTTTGGCTCCTCCTTATTATTGTAGAGTTGGAAAGCCTATTTCATAGCCCCTGAATTGGAAGCCCTAGACCGCACCAACTTGCTTCGGCAAGAGGTGTTACTTTGAACCTTTTATCTATGATTATCCTTGCTTCAGTGCCTATGCTTAATATGATGCTAGCATTTTTTGTGATTCCTGTGTTGTGAATGTAGTTTTTAGATTGCTTCCCCAAAAAATCATGCATGGTATGATGCTTTTGATGCATCTAAATGCTAGACATATATATTACATTGAAAAGAAATCTCTTTCAACATATTAACACTAAAAATGTATAAAAGTTAAGGATCAAGGAATTCTAATCTTGTATGAATCTAATCATGTAGACGACATTTGAATATGTCTCCATTATATTTTTCGTTATTGGTGGGATATGTTTCCCATCCGTTTCTCTGAAGTTTACGTCATAAAATTAAGCAACACCGATATCTTAAACAATAGATGAAGTAAACCTATTTGTTTAAACCTAACATATCAAGTTTCATTCCATCATTAAGTGATGCTACTTACCAATTTTGTCATTTTTCTTATTTGTACAATTTAACATCAATTTTCACAAGTTTACAGTCAGAACATAGAGCTAAGTCTTGAATGCAATCATCTCATGAACAGAAAGATTTCGAAGAGAATTTTTTGATTCCATTGATGATGTCTGTCAACAAATTTTTGGACACCAATTTTCTATTTAGTTTGCTAAACATAATTATAACAGGCATTTCATTTCTTCAAATATATTGAATTTCCGTGTCTTTTTTTTTCCCAGCAATTTACTGAATTTCGATGTCAATCTGGAAGATATATGAAAAGCAAGCCATATCTGGGCTATTTACTTAGGTTATAAAGTTCAGAGATTAAGAACTGTGGAAACCTCAACATAATTGTTTGGGTCATCCAATTCATTTTGATTTCTGGTGCGTTACATCTAGGGAGTATTAATGTAGCAAAAATTTATTATGACACAGGATTAGATTGGGTGTTCACAAAATCACATATACTTGACATCTTATTGATTCCTTGCTGGGGAGGGAGTGTGAAATTTCTTTAAAGGGGCATAAGATTGGCTGGAATTATGCCAATGAATGCTTTTTTTATTTGTTTTGGGGATATTTGACTTAACTGGTTGAATGGGATTGAGTTCAAGCCCCAATAGAGAGAGGATTTAACTAGGGGTGAACTGAGAAGGGATATTCATCATGGAAGTGAAAATTCTTTAATTCACAGATGTTTAAAATCAGCATAAAATTAACCTGGGTGGAGGATGGAACTCAAAACATTGCATGAAATTACATGTCGAACATGATTTCCATGGAACTGTAACATTGCTTGAGATTTTATGCTAAACATGATTTCCTTTTTTGTTGGTTGCTTCCTTTATTTTGTACATGGGGTTGGCTTGTTCTTTCAGAAATGAGGCAAAGGTGAGGCATGAATTGAATGTCTTTGTTTAATTCATGGCGTCTCTGCTTTAGTCCTCCCCTATTACTCACTAAAGATGCATCTACATTAGCATCTAGAATATTCTCTCAGGGGAGTGCTGTATTCTTGTAGCAAATAAGAAGGCAGATTCTGTAATGGCAAATCCCAGTTTACATGCATAGTTTTCTTTAGATTGTTAATGCACTTCATAGACACCTATATGCCCTATGGTATTTTGGAAACAAGTCCAAACTCAATCAAATGTGTACATTATGTATGCATTTCCTAAATAAATCGTGTTTTACTGCTGGGGCAGATGATCAATGAATGCGACTAAAGCAAAACCTTGATAGACGGGTGCATCAGGTAATCCCAATAGTTTTTGGTCTATTCAAAGAATAATGCTAAACAGTTGTAGAGACCGAAAATTTCCCAAGAAATCAATTGTTGAGGATGTCGCTGTAAGCTACTGAATCAGATTTGAACTGGTAGAAATTATGGCCTGAGGGACTCTTCAGGTTGAACCCATTTGAAAATTCTCAGCAAAGATCATTGTTGGTGATTTCAAAATCTAAAGTTTTCCACCTCTCTGTTAAAATTGCTCAATTACTCTGCTGCACACAATAGATCAAATTTAGCCTTTCTCATTAAGTAACAATATGCAAATGGATGATATCTAGATAACTCAATTAGCTGAAGTAGTAATCAACTTCAGTTGTGCATTAAATTAACATCTTTAAAGCATCCAACAAAGTAGATTGGGTTGGGATAAAAAAAGGAAATAGAGAGGGAGAAACATTCAAACTAATAAACATGGATGCTGCAGCCAAGTCAAGCCAAGCCAACCAATCTAGTCCAATGCAAAAATTTAACCTAATTACTACTATCACTATTGTTATTATTGATCTTGTTGTTGGTGTTATTGCTGTGATGATTACTAATTCCGGCCCTTCTATGCTTCAGCTGCGAAAGCTCCAACTGTGTCTTCATGAAGAACTGCATTCTTTGCAGCTCCAGCTCTTTTGCAAACTTCATCCTCTGCTTCTCCATCTCCACCAACTGCTGCAACTTAGAGCTCTCCGCATGCTCGTAAGCCTCTCCAAACTTGAGTATCGCCCGAGTCAGTTCCCTCACCGAATTCCCCCAATTCTTCTCTTTACCTACCACTCCTACATCCGTTCCTCGATTAGCGCCAGTCCGCATTACAGTCGGATTCAGATCCCTCTGTATCCTAGGCCTTTTCCTCTCATAATTCTCCGGCGGAAAACTATCATCTGAGTCTGCAGGAGGCTCCGAGTCAGACTCCTCATCGGAATCCACCGGAGGTTTTCTCCGAAGCTGTTGCTTTGTTTCTGGGGCTGTGGTTGGTGTTTTTGGTACTGATGAACTGATCTAACCCCCACTGGTATTCCCATAGGCACTTTCGAGGGTAGAGCTGGGGTTAATGAGGACGTGCCGGCAACACCGGCGGCAACCTTGGCGGACGGACCGATCAATCGGTCGAGCGTTTCGAAGAAAGGCCACTTACTGGGACCACCACCGGCGGCGATCTTGGACTTCTCAAGCTTGTACTTCTTCTTGACCGTATCGATTCGATTCTTGCACTGAATGTCGGTTTTGGGGGTTTTCGTGTAATCATCTCGGCTGCCGACTATATCGGCAACTTCTTTCCAGTGCTTTTGCTTCAGATTTCCTCTGCTCAGCTCTAGGTACCGTTCGCCCCAGGCGTCGATTAGCACAGCCGTGGCCCCTTCGCTCCAGCAGTCTTCACGGCCACCTCCACCGCCTCCTCCACCGTTTCCGATGGTTCTTGGTTGCTGAATAGGTAGGGCTAGAGTCAGGGTATTCTGAGGCGGTGCGGCGGCTACCGTTACCGTTATACGGCCGTCTGAGCGTGGGGATTCCGGAGATCCGGTTCCGGGAGATGGGTGTGACTGGATTTCATCGTCGTCTTCCATGATGAAGATGATATTTTGAAGGGGCGTGCGTAGAAAAACAACGAGATCTGACGGCCGCTGAGAGAGAAGGAAGGACCAGCTGTAGAGAGAGAGAAAATAAAAGGACGGGACGGGAGAGAATGGAGTATTAGGGCTTTGGTTGACCGGCGATATTTATTGAGGGGGCGTTTTTTATTGAAGACTTTCACGTTGGCTCATAAAATCGTTGTTTTGAGTGTACCGGTTGACGGAAAAAACTGAGTGGTGGAATTGACGGCGTCGGTCGAGGGGGCACCGATGTGTGGGACACGTGGACGTAGGTGGGGGGTTTAAGTCCGAATAGTAGTTGTTCGGGTTTTATGGGGTAAATAAATAACCGGGAAATCCGTCGCCGGCGGGTGATACCCCAGCCGGCTTGATTGGTGGATGTTCCCTGTTTTTATCTGATAATCTATCATCATCATAGCATAAATCTCCTTGATTATTATTCGACTATCCCTCAATTTACAGGAAGTTTCTTCTATTCTATGGTTTATCTGTGTGCCCAAAATGCCTGTAATAGGACGGACAGTCCGTGGTAAAACGCCGGGGGTGGTTTGGTCAATTCAATTCGTTTATAAGGAGACAAAGAGTAGTTGTTGTGTGGTTGTGACTTTCTAGGCTGTGGGTTTGGGTACTAACGATTCGACGTAGACGACGGTAACGTACAGCTGTCGGTGAAAAGGAAGGGTGTGGTGTAGTGGCTGCCAATAGAAAGAGTCGAGTGGAGTACGTTAACGTCGTGATTATTTCCACAGTACTAGTTGGGTTGGTCGATGACGTAGTGATGCCGGTAAAAACTGACGTCGAAGTGGGTTTTGATTAGCGCCTACCTACCCACCCAATTAATCTGTGGGAAGCTTTGCCTGATTTTGGTAATCTGGGTTTATCACTTGGATTGGGTGGATCACTGTTTTGTCTGAGGGGTTGGATTCTGAAGCCGTCTATCTAATACTTGCTGGGACTTTGCAGGTACATGATTTAATAAAAAAATATATAAAATCAAAATAACACACGGAATCACCAAGTTACCAATATATCTTGGGCTTGGCCAAGTCTTCTTCGTATTGTGAGAAAAACGAATGGCGCTTTCTCTCAACTTGTTTGAATCATGGACAAGTTTCTTTGTTCATCACACTCTCTTCTTATGAGCATCAATCTTAGTGCAGATTGGCCAAATGCACAGAATTTGGAGTAGAGCAAACGAAAAAGTTGTACTTTCATATCAGCCTATAGGATATAATAGGTGTGTGCGTGCACACCTGTCTAGTTCGCACAACAGCTGTCCATATGGGAATAAATTAAACCGAAGTTAGGTTGGTGTTGGGTAAAGTAGAGATTAAGAATTTTGGCAAGGGGCCCACACCAAAATGGTATGTGGATCCGCCCAAAAGCACAAAAATGGTACTATGTTACAACACATCCTTGAATTGAAATAACGACCTGAAGTGTTTTGTAAAACTCATTATTACGTGAATTTGGGAATATTTTACATGCAAATGAAAGAAATCAGGATTTGCAAACCTAAATCAAAACCAAAACTAGTGGACAAATAAATAAAATGGAAGATCATTCATGTTATTTTCTTTAAAACATAATATACGGTACAACAAAATATAGCTCAAAAATTAGTCACCCTAACCAATTTAGGATGTATTATTTCATTAGAAGAAAATCAAGAAGCAGCCGCCACGTGTGATGCCGTAAATAACCTAAGCCCTACAACGGATTACTTGAATTCGAAGACAACAAATATGAGCTCCACAATTTCACTCAGAAAAATAAAACTGCAGATGCTACCAAATTGGCACACTACTGTCCTTTACAATCAGAATCTTTCTCTGTCCTCCCGGCAGAATATGTTTAATGTTGTTTTGGCATAAATCCATCAACGGGGAAGTTTCGTGTAGCAGCAGCCAATGCTAAGCGAACTCCATCAAGTTCAGGTTTTGCAATCACTTGACAACCTAACCGGGATCTGTAGAAAATCATTATACAAAACTATTGTGCTTCGGTGGTAAGAAAATTTGTCAGCGAATTTCAAGAGAGAGAAACCTACGTCTCTGTGAGGCCAAAATCAAGATCTACTATGTCATTCTCCTCATCAGCAGCTTTTTCTAGTTTATTGTAGTACCCCATGTCCTAAACAACGCAATTAGAAGTCAATTAAATGTGGTCGAAAACACATTGGACACACGAACTTCACAGAGGAACACTAACTCATCATCTTACCAATTAAAATGCAGTATACTTCCCAAGCCACCAAGTATTTAGCCTTTAAAGGACATAGGAATGCAACAACGTAAGGTCACAATCACATGACAAGTTGAACAGGCAAGCAACCCTTCACAAGCAGGCAAGTTTAGATTGCCATATCACGATCTAATCTTAAAGGCCAGCCACTCCATCTCCAACTCCAAAATAGCCAAGTGACACTTGAGCTTTCATCTTAGTCCCCTAAGAACCAGATTGATAACATTAGAAAATTACAAAAATATGGAAGATGATAACATAATGCATAACGTGGGATGCAAACCAGATGGTAACGTGCTTTGAAAGGCCTACCTTCAAGCTCTATGTCATTTTCATGTGCTGCTTCTAACATGGACATCCCGATGGGGACATCAATATGATGCTCCTCTCCATCTTTGAATGTCACAGATATTCTGCAGACACAGGAGATAGACAGATAGTTAGATGCTGCTGACAGTATACTGATTGGTAGTGTTCAAAGATCCAAAAGTAAAAGTGGTGACTACATAGGAACATTATGATTTTCGCTGCAAAAACTAGAACAACAGACAAGTTTCTAGGGTGACTGACCATTTTCATGCAGATTATGTAAAATGTGTTATATAACTCTCTTGTTAGCTCATTATATACCTCTTTTAGTATTAAACCACTAATGTTCTTGATAACTTTCATTCATTTTTTTCAAAATTTTAATAATTACGTAAAAGAGTTATTAACCATCTACCACGAGAAGAAGGTAGTTCCTCAAAAAATTATTAACTAAGTAATTGAATATTAGTCAGTAGATGCTCAACTGCAACTTCATGAACTGCTCTGGTGCTTTAAGCTACCCCATAAACTAAGGTCTATAAAAACCATGCACTTGTTCATAGGAGACGAACAATATCACAGTTTCAGAAGTATTTCAAGGCTTTCTGTAGAGGCTGATGCCACAAGGTACTTAGTTGTTTTGATAGATCCACCAAGGACAACATTGTTTGACAGATATTGTACACCTCAGCATCCACACAGCTTTGCCCATCAACCAGAAATCTGAAGGCTACAAGCTTGACTCAAAGGGCTACAGCTTTCATACAATCTTTTGGTCAAGATTGCTCTGTCCGACAGTATTTCTGTTTCCTTTGGTTTCCTGGTTGTTCGTTTGTTGAATTCAAGTCTTCACAATGTCTGCTCTAGCGCCTCTCCTTTGCTGCTATGAAGGAAACCCTTCACCCCACCCCCAACCGCCACTACCATAAGCAATCCAACAACACTTTCATTTAAAGAAAGGAATCAAGGACGAAGAAAATACAGATTGATATTCTGTAAAAAAGCAAGCTTACTTTTGATTTTCTTTGCTCCCTTCCTCCTGAGCCTCATCAGTAACCGTCGTACAAAATGGTTCATGTCTCTGAAAACAAAATGAAATATTGAGCAAATTACTACATCAGGTGAAAGATGAGATTGAAATAGATATTAAGTAAACAATGCTTTAGTGATGTGATGGTGTTCTATACAAGATGGATTGAACATCAAATTAACATCCAACAAAATAAACATATACAAAGGTGAATCTAACAGATTACTCTTAACAAAACCCATCTATTCCTTTATTTTCATCTTCCAAATTGTCTTTTTTAGGGGGGGAAGCAAGCCTAGCAAGTAGGAAGAATATGATTTAAGGGGAAAGAATATCACTCTTCTGCATGCAGTCATAATGTCTTTTTCCAGTGAGAAAGTCTGTACAAGCTGACATTTGCGCAGGCAATTGAAAGCACCTATAACTAGTATCATGCCAAGGGAGCTGGAAAATATCAAGTACGCAAATTGATCTCTAACTTATTTGTCAGCAGTGCTGGAAGCCATTATGCCCCTTACAAATCCTTCCTTTTACACATTGGAGGCACTTAGATTGAACTTCAGACATAAAACTAGTCTAGCTTTCACATGAAACAACCTCATACATTAATTAGGATTAAACCAGCAACAAGGTGATATCATTCAACGACATAAAATGTTAAAATAACTAGGTTAAATAGCTGTTGACTAAATATACAGTGAGTCAGATTGCACAAAGGAACTGGTTATGCATAAGATGATACACCATGTACGCAATTTGCATATTTTTGCCTTGGAGTTGAATGAATACTAACCATTTTGAGCCGCAAATAACCATTTTGAACAGCATTATATGAAGTTCTTGGCGTGGACACCAACAAAACTGCGATACGAGTCATACGACAAAAAGATTAAACAGAAAGAAACATGCAAAATCTTTTGAATGTTTACAACAAATCACAGGTGGAAATGTCATGCAGATTTCCATTCAACATTAAAGCAACATGAAAAAAAAAATGAAGGTAGCTAAAACAAATTCTGGTACATAAATAGCCTGTATGACCACACACCATTTCTTCTCAAATTCATGTGATCAGACAAGGCTACCACCAAATCACCAAATCCAAGTTCTCTATATTAGGCTACCACTTACTGTTACATTACTGGTTTTCACAATATTTTGGTTTACATCTCTGCACTTGACTAAAACAGGAGATCCTTGTGGGGAAGATGAACTTGTAACACTCCATTCTCATAAACAACACCAAAGCAAACAACCACTCAACAGTAAGGCAAAGGAGCAGAATATATAATTCATTGTATAGCCCTCACCAAAAGGTTCAACATTTTCCTAGTTATGCTATCATGAACTATAATGAAGGTTTACATGGAATTTATTCAAAATGCATCTAAGTTCTACAGTTGAAAGCAAAGAATCCATACATGAGATCACTCAGGGCATAGAACAAGAAAGGGGATTTCAGATACTACTTTCCATTGCAATTATACACCATTTGATCTTTACATATAGCCGTTTCCTTTGACAAATATTGAAAATGTTAGCGTCAAAATCAAGAGAATTATCAAAAGAGCAGAAAACAATTAGCTTGTGATAATTCTTCTCGCTCCCTCCATAGAGGCATAATAACAAACACTTGGCAGAACGAGAGAAAGATGCCTATAAAGTATGATTGATTTAACAGCTGTTACAATTATTAAAGACAATTGAATGTCGAAGTAAGAAACGTAATAACAGAAAAAACCTTATTCTGTAGGTTGAGGGAGATCTACACTACCGCTGGAATTTCCGGAACTCTTTTTGTTGAATGTTGTGGGGCTTTTAGCTGAAGCCTCTACAACTCTAAATAAACCAGAGAAATTGCGCTTTATTCGGAAATTGTAAGGCAAATAGCCACAATATACGACGTCGTTCTTTAAGAATCACCTTTACAAAATACAAAGGCAGATGCCAACTTGCTTGGGTTTGGGGCCTTCCCAGATTTAAAGCCTTTTGACCATACCTTGTCATCTTGAAATGGGCTTCGATGCTTGGGCCACAAAGTTGTTGGCCCACAAAATATTTATGGATGGAGATGCGGGGTATCGAACCCCGTACCTCTCGCATGCAAAGCGAGTGCTCTACCATGTGAGCTACATCCCCATATGATAATTGTTTGCTCAAACAACTTAATTTTACTTTAAATTCATTGCGACAGAACCTGGGTCTCAAACCCAGGTTGTTGCTCATTCCCCAAAGAGATTGTCAACAGTTACGAAACCTTTGCCTCAGAACTTCTTCATTGAACATTCTGAATTTGTGTCAAAAAAAGAAAAGGACATTCTGAATTGAATCAGACAGATGGCTTCTAGTTTTTGGGGATTTGAGTGCGAATGAGCACAGCATAGACGTGGAGGCCCACTTACCCTAAAAAGATCATGGCCTGGGTCACACGTCTTGGCCCATGAATAGCCCATCCCATTGGCCTATGAACCACTATCATGATAAAAAGAGAATGAGAAAACTATAGGCAGATTTGGTGGAGGTTTACAAGCAAAAGAGACAGGATACATCATGGTATAGACCGCCCAGCTCATTGGCCAAAATGCAGAATTTCCTTGTTGTGATCGCCCCTTATTTGAAACCATCTGTATTCTGAAAGATTTATAAATGATACTACCTTAATAGGCATTCGAAATCTCGGTATCACCTTAGCTTTCTTAGCAGGGAGGGATTTCAACAAGCTACATTAATTCTATTCCTTCCCTTTTGTTTTCTGAATATTCATTTCATGGCTTCCCTTCTTTCAACTTCACCAATTGCTTTACTTACCCTTCCTCACAGTGCTCCCATAGTCAAATGCAGCACAAGGCAGATTAGCTTCTCTAATATTGTAAGTGCCTCCTCAATCTTCTTTTTAAAAATGGTTTGGAGATAGAGAAAGAGCTTCAATTATTCTCAATTAATTGCTTATTTCTGATTCAGAGTGGTCCGTCTGGATCTCTAAGATTGGTGCCAAAGGTCCAAATCTCAAAGGCAGCAACAAGATCATCTCCACTCTCTCGTTGCTTCAAAACAACAATTTCATGCTGCATAGTAACAGTTCAATATTGCTCCACTCTAGAAATAAGTAGTTAGTTGTTTAGAAGACTCAAAAGTATTAAACTTGTCTACATACTTCTGCAGGCTCAACCAGAAACTCTGCAAATTGTTCAAAGCACCATTGCAAAGCAACTGTCCATTGATGAAAGCGCAGTGACTCCCGAAACCAAATTCGCTGACTTGGGTGCCGACTCCCTTGACACTGTACGTTCTACTTAATCCTATAATCCTTCCCTTGGGGAAAAAAATTATTGGGTCAGAGGACTTTAAGAAAGTTACTTCATCATATGCATTTTCAGACACATCTTCAAATTAACGCTTGGAGTTAAACTATTATAATATCTGCCAACATAAAATCTTGAACACGCAATTTTTTTTCAAAATTGCAATTCAATTCAAATTGAAGGACTTCATTCCATATGAGCTTTAAATATCTTTGGTATAAAGAACGATGTGTGTGTGTGTAATGAAAACTTTCCAATAAACTGAAATAGGTTGAAATTATGATGGCTCTGGAAGAGAAGTTTAGCGTGTCAATTGGAGAAGGGGGAGCTGAGAATATTGCAAGTGTTCAAGACGCTGCTGATCTGATTGAGAAAGTGAAGGCACCTGCAGCATAGACAAAATCAATACATCTAAAAATGTAGTCACTAGTACAAGCCAGCATAATTAGCTAAGGAAGTGTCCCTCTGCCTGATGACGATTTTTGTTTCTGCTTTTTCATGCCCTTATTTGTGGTTTTTGTTTCAATCAAGCCTGAGACTTTGTTGAGCCGAACGTCATTTTTATGTTTTTTTTCATATTCTCCTTCCCAGTTAAGGGGAAAAAATAAATGCAAGTTTTCTCTTCAAATTTTGAGGACGGAAAACAAACCATCTATATGGAGAGTGACATTAATTTGGTAATTAATACCATCAATTATAGTTGTGTCATTGCTGTATTCCAATTAAGATATATGGACGCAAACAAACCCAGACCCACATGAGAGAGAGAGAGAGAGAGAGAGTAGCATGACAGGTAAACAATTAAAGATGATTGACAAAAGCTTCATGTGGGTTTCATTAAAGAGGATGGGATGGGTTATACACAACATATTTACAAGGAAAAACTCAAATACAAGATCAAGAACCCCAAAAAAAAGAAGAAAAAGAAGACCAATATAAAAAAGAAATACCAAAAAAAAAAAAAAGAAAACCATCACTCCATTCAAATGGAGGAAACAAGACTCAAAAGTGAGCTCTCCTACTACTTTCCCCTGTCGGAAACTCCAAGAAGCAATGGTTCCTGCGGTGGTGATTTTGTTCATCAGAACCATTTTATTGTTGTAGTCCTTAGATTATAGTGCACTCATATGCCTATGCACAACCACATCATATACATATACACATACATAAATATATATATAACAGATGATCCCCTCGAGGTTCTCTATGTACAAAAACATGTCTCTCATTCATTGGTGTTTCTTCACACAAAATCGTCAAATATTCCTCTCTCACCGATCCAAAGCACTCATCACAATCCTGCAACACATGTATCTCTTATATGTTAGTAAAAACATAGAGATCAAAACGACAAGATGACAGCAATTACAACCTGTGCTGTATTAATCCATCTAAAAAAACCAATCAACCATTTCACGGTTTTTCGAATCCAACAACAATAGCTTAGAATTGTTCATTTAGGTGTACTTTCTTGTTTGTAGTTTCCCAAAATTTTTCACATCATTTCTTGACTTAATCATTGCAAAAGTCAAACCCCTTGAAATATATGGATCAGAGCAAACACCGGTATGTCATGCAGAAGATTAATACGAAATTCGAATGCAAATCTCGAGTAATTTTAACTAATTATCGTGTTAAAATTACCAATCGTAGCCGGTTGGCGGACCTCCAGGCTCCGCTCGTTGTAATGCTTCTGGAGTCGGCTTTCTTCTCGTAAATTTCTTGAAATCTCCACGGGGTGTGCTCGCTGCGCACAATAAACACCCACGAACATAATCATTACAAACCCCAAGAACCAAAAACTTTCATTCAAAAACATAACCGAAACGAAGTTAATTACGTGAAAAAGGGGAAGTGGTTGTGCTGGAACCAGCCGGTGAAGCTGGGACAGAACCGGAACCGGCTGAGATGGCCGAGGTGGTTCTGAGAAGGGTAATGCTCCGAGTTATGGGGGTTTCATTAGGAGTGACGGTGGAAGGTGGAGCAGAAGATCTGGCGGCAGAGAAAGAGTTGTACTTTCGTAGTTTGCCTAGGCCGGTGTCGGGTGCGGGGCCGGCAAGCGTGTCATCCCAGAGCTTGTGGAGGAATCCCATGATGTTGTTGTTGTTTGTTGATGATGATGATGATGCCTTCTTCTTCTTTTGTAACAACCGAAATAGGTGGTCGTAGTTGTGTATACAACGGTGGTGGCACCACCTGATACGACTGTTACAAAGGTAGGGTGGAAGCGAAACGAAAGAGAGAAGATGTCTGGATTTATCTAAAGAGAGTCTCTTCGAGAGGGGTGGAGGACCATGGGGTTCTTATAGAGGAGAGAGAGAGAGATATGCGGTTGGTTTTGATGGCTTTTGTTTGGCTCCTGTTACATGGCTTTGCTTGAAGCCATTGAACTGATTTAAAAGATGAACCTCAAAGGATGGAGACAGATTGAGCCATCAAAATTTTCTGAAATTTATATGGAGAAATTTTTAACGAGTTTAACGCACATGTGACGCTGTCATGGTATGGAAACCCAATGAGAATAAGAAGTTGAAACAAAACGGCTTGTGGGTAACAAGTTGAACTTTTTTTAAAATAAAATCTAATAAGGTGATAGGCGGTAGTTATTCATTTGAAATGTTTAATTTTTTATTAGTAATGTATTTTTTCTTCGAGTTATTTATTGATGACCAAAATGTGAGTTGAAGGACATGACATTTTTATTAGGATTGTTAAATTTTGACACGACACGATTAATTGACATGAATTAAACGGGTTTGGGTGATAAACGGGTTGAAACGCCAAACACATTTAATAAACGGAGCGTATTCGGGTGAAATTTGTTAAACTGTTTATTACATGTTTACCCGTTTAAATAAAATTAATTTAAAAAATTAGTAAGAAAAAAAGAAATCAATAAAAAATAAAGTATAGTAGTAGTTCAAAGATAAAATAGAGGAGATGAAAAGCACTTCAAAGACAAAAGCAAACTAATATCTTTTGTTTTTGTCCCAAATTGAAAAATGAGAGGAGATGGGAAGGGTTGAGTTGCCTATAAAAAGCAATGACTTCTTACTTTTTTTTTTAAGCTTTCAAGTCTTATTTTATGAGTTTTGGCTAAAATTCTTCTTTTTTGAGATAAGTGCAATTGACAATAAAAAAATGTGGAGTATTAAAATTTTTTAATATAATTTTTTTAAAATTAAACGAGTTAAACGAGTCGTGTCGTGTTACCCGTTTATTAAACGGGTTGTATTCATGTTGAGATTTTTTACCCGTTTATTAAACATGTCGTGTATGAGTTTATATATTTTTCATTCATCACCCGTTTAACTTGACACCTAACCGCTTAACCTGACTAGTTTGACACCCCTAATTGTTATGTGGTAGTGTGATTTAGACGGATTTTTGTTTTTTTGGTCACGAATTTGGATTGGTTGAGTGAGTTAAATTTAGTGGTTGTAATACATTTAATCAAAAAATTAGATCAAAAAATTATATTAAAATAATATTATTAAATTGTAAAATTTGTGTGAAGTTAAAGTTTAGAGTTAATTGTTTTTTACCTTTATGTGATTTCGGTTAGAAGCATCATATCTACGTGACGTTTAAAATTATGAACATTATTTCGTTTAGTTATATATCCAAGTTAAATGGAGAGTGTGCCCCCACATACCCAAAATATGTTGTGAGTTTTGTTTTCATTGTTTTCCTCCAAAATAATATTGTCTAAAATATCATTTATAATATATATAATATAATACACAAATAGATAAGATATCAGTCCCAAATTAAAAAACATATAAGAAAAACATAAGTGATTTTTACCCCCGAATCAAAACCTCACTTGAGGGAAAAAAGAAACTCAACATATTTGATTGAAATGTGTTGATTTGTTGACATGTTTTATTAATTTTATGGTCAAGAGTAAATGAGATAAACAATCTAATTTTAAAAAGTGAATATTATAGTAATTTTTTTTATTTCGTTAATAACGTTAATTAAAAAACGTGATGTGAGCCTCACATACCCAAAATATGTTGTGAGTTTTGATTTCATTGTTTTCCTCCAAAATAATATTATCTAAAATGTCATTTATAATATATATAATATAATACACAAATAGGTAAGACATCGGTTCCAAATTAAAAAACATATAAGAAAAATATAAGTGATTTTTGCCTTCGGATCAAAACCTCACTTGAGGGAAAACAGTGACTCGACATATTTGATTGAAATGTGTTGGTTTGTTGATATGTTCTATTAATTTTATGATCAAGATTAAATTAGACAAACAATCTAATTTTAAAAAGTGAATATTATAGTAATTTTTTAATTCCGTTAATAACGTTAATTACTTCACTTTAATACATTATGGTAAAATAGTGCGCATAATTTTAAACATCAAGTAAATAAGATGTTTTAGCAAAAATTACAGGGATAAAAGGTAATTAAGCCTAAAGTTTATATAAAAAGGAAGCCTTTTTTTTTTTTTTTAATTTTTAGTAATTCTATAAAAATTGTAAATATAGGGATTGATAAAAACAGAAACTTGTTTAAAATAGTAATTTACCCACTTAGTCCATGAGACCATTTTGATGGTCAACCATAAAATCTGCTCCTTCCATGTTCCAACTAACTTCCAAGAAATTGGGGACCTTTTGGATAAAGGATCATAATTACCAGTCAAATTATCGAGTGAAAAAAAAGTTATAAAAAGAAAGCAGTTTTTAAAGACCCAATTGCCCCCAAATAAGGTAGTAAAATTCAGTGAGCCAGCCAAAAATTAGTAAAACAGAGAGTGGCTTAAGCCGAAGCGAAGAAGAGAATAGAAGAGGAGAGATCTGATCCAAAAAGGATGGGCGTAAGAGTAGGAGAGAAATAATATCGGAGAAGCTGACTTGGTCATTTGAAATGACAGACAGCTTGGCCCCGCTTTATTATTTTTTTAACACGTCATCGGGATAAGATTGAATTTCCAGATCTGCCAAACCCTTTTATTTTTATAATAAATAGATTTCTAAAAGTAGAGTTAAGTAGGACCCACATACAGTCACGTGATAAGGATGGTCCATCCATCCTCAAGCGTTTCGTTTGTCAGCTGAGGCAGATAATTGAGTTAACTTGATCGAGATTTTGTTCAGAATTGACTCGTATAACACTTAATTTAATTTTTATTTATATTTTAAATGAGATAATTTTGAACAATTTTTTATATTTGTTTAAAAACATGACTTAATTTGAACTTGTAAAATTTAATTTATAAACAATTAAATTTCAAGAAATTGGCTCGGGTTCTATGAGAATTTTTCAAGGGCATCAAAACATAATAACAATTTTTATATGAGAAATTCAAGCACGCAGTCAGTTATGTATTGGGCAAAGATTAGGATTAATTTTCTCCACCCTTTGAGAGCAACTCTCTTCACATCTCATCATCGATATGTAAAAAAGTAGGTCCAGGTTTCCTCTTCCCAGCAATTCGCCCCCAAAATGGGAGGCTGAAACATCAATTTTCCAAAGAAAAATATAGACAGACAGACAGATATTTTCAAAATTGGTCCCACCAACTTGTGCATTGCACTAAAGATGAATTGTCCCAACAAAGACTTTGAGAATTATGAGTCCATGGAGTCATAATCACCCATACTTCAACATCTAATAATTTAACGGGGTTAGGTTTCACAGTGGACTATTATAATTATTGTTCATTTGCTTGACTTGACTTGGTTGTGATCAATGAATGATACTAATTAAATTGTATAAATTTTCTTGGTAGTGAATATTTGTAGGAGAGGACCCCAAATGCATGACATGAAAAAGATCACAAAAGTAAATTTCAATGGCTCCAACCATCAATGTTTCTCCATACTCTTAAGTGATCGTGATTATACAAATAAGCATTAGTTTCTGTACGATATGCATCTTTGCTATCAATTGGACAGGTTAGTTGGATCATCCTTGTTATAGCCCAATACATGCTTCAATGACTATATAAATTACACAATCAGCTCTACAAATTAATCCTAAGCCTAAGCCTAAGCCATGGTACCATTACCATCAAGTAGAAAGAAATACGGGAATACTGGTTGGAGGAGACATCATCATGGTCAAATGAAACCTTCTGTTTCCTGCTACTACTCCTGCGTTGGACCTTTCCTATCATTCCTCCTTGTACTGCTTTCCCCAACGTTCGGCCTGTCTCCACATCAACCTCAATGGGCAATACATGAAAAAATTCAACTATGGGGGTAAAAGTCAGTAAGTTGAGCAGAATTATCAGAGTTTGTGGCGACAAGTGCTTAAGAGGGCCTCCATCGACTCCAAGAGCTTATATTCCAATTTCAGTTGGTGAGAATGATGAAACCAAGCGTTTTATGGTTCACCCGGCAGCCCTGGGTGATGCAGATTTCATGGAGCTTTTGTGTCTGTCAGCTGAAGAATATGGCTTCTGTAATGATGGCATTCTCAGGATCCGATATGAAGCTGAGGCTTTCGTGGATTGGTACATTAAAGGCGCCAAGCAGAAGATGTTTAAGGTTAGAACAACCTAGTCATCGGATGAGTTACCTGTACTATTTTCCAGTGATTTAAAATCATCACCACTGGCAGTTTTTTTCCTTCTCATGGTCATGAGTCTGATTTTTATGGTATGGTGAGTAGCTGAATGAATGCTGTAACATTGCACCGCATCTCTCTCTCTATGTTTGCTCAGGAAAAGATTTGGCTATTTCCAATTAGGCTAACAGATAGAGAGGATGTGAATAATGTCTTGTAAAAATCTGTAACTAGAAGAAGATGTTGAGAATTCACTCGCACTCTAATTTTTGTTGATCAAAGATTTTAATAGTAAGTGAAAAATAAGATGGGATATTAATTATTGGTATTTTTTATCCTCAATATTCGCTGCAGTCCTGCATTATATAAACTCCTCATTAATGTTCAAATACAAAGCCAATTACATGAGATGGGGGAGAAGATGCTATGTTAGGGAGAAGATTCTCAAAACTAAAAACCGAATAGATCGATACCGGAGGGCACACCCGGGGCAAGAAGGAGGGGTTGGGGTGTTTGGAATCTTGTTCTTCCTGGACCATGGTTTTTGGGTTAGGATTACGCTGGTGCCTCAGACTTCATTTGTTGAACTTTTGAGTTGGAAGCTTGTGTTAGCATCCCCTGTTTTCAAATTAGTCACTACCAATTGAGACTAGACTTATTTTTGCAACCATCCGGGTGAATCAAGTCTGATGTTTTTTCCCCGTCTTAAATCTTAACTGGGGTCTCCGTCATCGTGAGGTTGCAAGTACGTCAGAAGTTGCTGAGGAAGTTCTGATTGCCTGAGAATTGCGATCTCTCAACAATTGCTGGACAATGTAAAAATGGGGTACTGAACGTGGTTGTAGAGACGCTGCCTCCCCCATCCAAGTCCAAGACTATTGAAATTTCAATCTCCTGGAGGGAATAGTGTCAAGAGTGAAGCTTTTCTTTTTTTGTTTTTTTTTCTTTCATGTTCTTCGTGACAAGAATGATGTTGGTATCCTATCTTTACCATTCAAGTTTGTGGAGGAAGTAATCTAGTATAGATATATTTTTGGGTATCCCAAAAGCATTAAAGAATGAGCTCTACCATTCCGTTTAGGTAATAGTCACCAATTTCATATCTAAACCACTTGTGTATGTAATTGGATTTGATAGTCCAACATATAGAACGGCTCTGTTGAAGTTGGTCAATGAAATGGTTCATTCCAATGCTTTTGATCGTTTCTAACCGAAAAATTCAGAATAAGACGGATTTTCACACTGTGTTTGGCCGGCTAAACTTATGTCCACAAATTTGAAAACTCTGGGATTGAGTTTGCAGTGTGGGGAATTCAACTAACCAAGCCCACTTTGCTCAACAATATTTTTTTTTTTTGCTAAATAAAAATTGAGATTAAGGAAACAAAAGAGTACAGGTAATATAATCGAGCACCAATGAGGCTTGATATATGCCCACTTTGCTCAACAACATATTCCTCAGCTAAATAAACTTTGGACATTTCTTCCTTTATTCTTTATTTTTCATGGAAAAACATAATACACCTCTAGGCATTATTCACTGAAGAGAAAATGATTGTTTGGCAAACTATCAGCAACATATCATGTGGCTATGATGTCCGCTAGTGTGTCCGTTCAAAGAGTGATTTAAGATTGTAAGGCCCAATGACGTTGGGAATGCCACTCCACATTAGCTCTGCGAATTGCTGGTTGCCCATTTCAGTAGGATGAGTTGAGTCAAAGAACATATACTCACTCGCATTCTTGCATAACTCAAACTCTGTTAGTCCTCTCTTTCCTCCACAACTTGAAATTCCACGTTAAGGACCAGTGCCACAGCACGCTGTCTTGCCTTCCTTGAAACCTTTACATGACAATTACAAACATGTATGAACACGGTAGAACCCATTTATATGGGGGAAATGACAAAATTAGAAAATGACATGACAGGACATTTTAAAAGATAACCTTGACTTACCATATTTTGATGGATTATTTATTCTTTCACTCCACGCAGTGTAGAAATTGAAATTAGAATACATGAACCCTTTCAATTGTTTCTCTAAGTTTCTGAGGTTTTTGGAAAGTGCCTTGTTGTGTTGTTTCACTAAAGGTGTGATTTCTGTCATGCATTCACCATTATTTTCAGGCTCGAGTGCTCTAAATCCTGGCAAACAACCCAAAGGCCCCAAGCTAAGAAACCCGAATTTCCGCCCTCTGTTCATATAAATGTCCTCTTTAGAAAATTAATAGTAAGCAGAATTAGACCGGTTAGGAATGCAAACGACAAAGATTGGGGGGGTGGAGGCTAGGGTTTGCTAGGAAAAGAGAGACAGTGTCATTACCTTGATCACAGCTGTTAAGTTACTGATTACAATCTTGACGTATTCATCTTGTGAATTTGAATGAAAGAAGCTGGAGTTTGTCAATAAGGGCCTTCCATAATCGTTGCTCCCTATGCTAAACAAGTATACGGCATTCGACAACAGTTGCTTTGCTTCCCCGTCCCCTAGATTTTGCCTCAGTTGCTTCACTACGATTTTGAAATAGCTCAGCTGGGTTTTAAGGTCAATCACCTACAAAAGGATGCACAACACTGTCTGAAAATATGTCTAATATATAGCTTAATGAAATATGTTTTTTCATATGAAAATTAATCTCAGAAATATATAGTATAGTTGCATTAATGCTTTTGCACTGGATAATACTGAACACTGACCCTTCCTGGAAAAGTTTCAGCTAAAGCACCAGCTCCGCCGGATGCAAAGTTTGCCCCATAAACAAATTCTTGATCACCAGCAGGCTGCGGGAGATATGGTTGAATTAGTGGCAGCTTGGCATACTCAGCTGCAAGAGTTATGTGCGTGCTGGATCTTGCACAATATAAAATCGAGAACAGATCTCTCCCTTAGTGAACTCGAGTGAATCAATGGAGTGGTCAACCACGCTGTTTGGAACAGCCTGTGAGATCTGTGGTAACCTGGAACGGTAATGGGAGACCTCGTGGATCAAAGGAACGATCCAGTAAGGCTGAAGAAAAGTTCCTGGAACAAAGAAGAACGAGTTAGAAGAGCGCCGGAATGTTTTCCGGCGTATCCCCTCCGATGATCAAGTCAGTCTTTTTGAGAGAGAGGAAGAAGAAAACACTGAGTATGTATTATAGCAAAAGTTTTTTGTTGCATATCGTCTTGCCTTTTGCGAGGAGTATTTATACCTCAAAAACTCATGATTGCTGTCAGTATAGTCAGTAGGTGATCATTAGGTACAGGCAGTGTGCGCACTAATTCTGATGATGAATGTCTTCTTTTTTAACTGCTCGGGATCCTGAGCAATCAATACTGTGTCATCGGGCTGCCGACTGTTCAATGAGCTCCTCTCGGGGAGGACGTAATAAATGCCCAGCCTTAGAGACATTTATTGCCTTTCAATTTCGAGCCTTACCGCATTGAATGCAGTCTCATCAAGGGAATGACGTAATTAAATGCTTACTTTCCCAAGTCGTGTGTCAGCAAGGGCATGCGGTCTTTCTGTCTCGGATGTGACATAATATGCCACGCGTCTATTCCCCATTGGCTGTGGCCCCTGCCTTCCTATGCCTTCTGACACCAATTGTGTAAGACGAGGTCATGATAGCTAACCTAGACTAGTGACCTGTACATTAATAGCCTCTGCTGGAGCAGAGAACGGCATCCTGGACGAGGGGGTACATCTCGGTACCAAGGAAGAGGTACATCTCGGAGCCGAGGGAAGAGCCTAGCGATCGATGTACCATATCAGACCGAGGAAACGTGTCGGTACATAAAAAAGTACTGGATGCCACTCGATCCCCATGATCAGCACCTCGGGGGGAGAGGGGGACTTGTGACCTGATGGGTACGTGATCTCGATAACAAGGATCAGTGACACCGAGGACACGTGTCTTCATCTTGGAGTATTCTGGAAATGTCCCATCAACTGCCCCTTAGCTTTCGATCTTCTGACACCGAGGACACGCGTTGTAAGGAGACGAAGGGTTTTGCAACAACTCCAACTGCTTCATCATTGCCCCTAGCCGTTTTCCCTGCTTAGGATGTCGTGCGCATTAAATGCGCCGTTTCATGCTTCGCACCCAATGATGGGATAGGTGCTATATATAAAGGGGCTTTCTCTCTTCTTTTCTCATTTCATCGTTCTGAACTTTTCTTCACAGAGAGCCCTTGCCTGAATCTTCGCCAGAGACCTCTTTCCTTCCGTTTGTAAACTGCCCAACCTTTTCACTGAAGCTTTAAAGCCAGCAGACCCATCCTTGCTTCTGAACATTCTTCGAAGGAGTCGATTCAAGTTTTCTAGAAAAAATCTCTTTTTACACTCTGGTGAGTCCCAGTATCTTTCCTTTTTTTGCCCTTCTGTCTCTTTTGATTTTTCGATCACCGGAGGTGTTTTCTGGTTGCCCTTCAGCGACCAATCCATTTTCAGCCTTCTTGGGGATCTTCGTGGAAAAGACCCCCTCTATTTTTTATCACTTTTTGAAGATGTCTCGTCGTCGCCCTGCCCCCGAGAACCCTCAGGCCAGTACTTCGAGGTTAGGGAAGTATAAAGTAAAAGACGGTGAACAAATTAATAAATTTAGGGTTAAGTACAGTGTTCCCCCGAATGTAGACATAGAGGATTATGACCCGGCTGTGCACCCTCTTACCCTCGGTACCAAGGACGCAATGCCTTTTTTTATCAAAGTCATCATAGAAGGTGGAATTAGGTTCCCTTTGCCTCCTCTGCTTCTCCAGTTCCTCTCTCATTTTCGCCTCTTTCCGGGCAGTGTTGTCTTAATGTCTTTAGGATAATTATGGGGGTCCTAGAGCTCAATAGGCGTCTTGGGGTAAACGTCGGGCTGAACGATATATACTTTTTTGTTATTCCCTCTTGAGAGTTACGCCTCAACAACACTTCTACCTCAAAGCTAGGGACCCATCTATGTACCTCGTAACTCACCTTCCTGACTCGGACAAGGGGTACAAGGATGACCTACTCATCTTCAAGG